GGAGCATGCGGCTTGCCAGGGCGGGCCGGAGACAAGGACGATGTTGGTAGTCAGGCCAGCGGACAAGGGCCAGTGTGGTGCATTGCGTGCAGGGCGAGTGGAGCCAGGTGTGCGCTGGACGACGTGGACTTGTCTGCTTGCGGCTTGGGAGGTGCATGCTAAATAAAGCCAGGCGCAGACTTGCGCGAGGGGGAGCGCCGGGGCTCCGCCAACGGTAGGTAACAAGACGACTCGACCTGCACCGCGCCCCTCTCTGCTGCCTTCGTCCTGTCCCTCCAAGCCGGACGGGGCTCTCTTGTTCGTGCTATTTCTCTCGCTTTGCGCTGCGTTGCTTTTGTCTTGACCCGTCCATCTGCTTGCGAGGGCTGCCGACCTTGTTCTCCCACGCGACTTACTACTTAATACCACACGCATACACCATACATACAACATACATATCCAGAAAGAGAAGAGCGCGTTATACAGAAACAGCCTCGCACGCGTAAACAACAATAATGGCGTCGGACCAATCCCAGGCACTGTCGAAAAAGGTGTCGATATTCCGACGCTTCTCCAGACGAGACCGAGGCGATACCCCTCCATCGCCTTTTCTCATGAACCAGGGCATCCGCCCGCCTGTCCAACGAGCACCACGAAGACTGCAGCGTAACCGCTCCCACGCACCCGCTCCTGTCGGCCTCCTCACACCACCGCCATCTCCACCAGAGAAAAGTTCCTTCGACTCCAGCGAGACATCCACACGTTACCGCCAGCCTGCTCACAACCACCTCACCACCCCTCCACATTCGCCAGGCTCGCGAGAACGCGTCGTGCCCAACACTCTACTCACCAAGCCCTTTCCCGGAAACCCCCAAATCACATCATGGAACATCTTCCTTCCCCCTTCGCAAATATACTCGCTCTATCTTGGCCACGCCCCTCAGGAAATGGAGGATAAGTGGTTCATCTACAGTGAGGGGCCAGACCAGGCCGGCAAGCTCAAAGTCCACTTTCACCGGAGTTGGACGGGCATCAAGGTCGCTGAGCTGTTCGTCGTCATGGACACAAAAGGTGAGGGTGCAGGCAAGATTGTCGGCATCAAGTGGAATGGCGGCGAAGACATGAACTGGATGAGCGAGGAAGAGGCCAAGTACATGATCCGCACCGCCTGCCGATGGCAATTGAATGTTCACTTGGAAGATTGAGAGTGAGAGAGTGAGAGTGAGAGCGAGTTTGAGACGGCCTGACGAATTTGTTGTTACCAGGCCGACGTTTTAATGACTGGTGTTAGCGATGCCCCAACATGTTAATATGGCTTGCTGCGATTTTCAAAAGAGGCTCTTTAGCCCTCGTACTACGAAGTATGACCTTTTCCGAATATACGATTTATGAATGTCTGACCTGCTGCCTTCTTTTGCTTCCAGATAACAAGTATATGAATGTTTGACCATGTGACTTTTCTTTTTCAATGGACCCTCTTCAGACAATGAATTTTGCTGACTTTTTTGGCATTTATTATTTCGTTGAGTGCATTAACGCGACAATGCTTACCTTTTGGCTTGCACCATGGAGGCATTGTTGTACCGCGCTGCTGCCATGCATGCATCCACCCTAGGTGACTTGGGTTTTTTTCGCCCCAGATCGTCGCATCCAGGTCGCCTGCCCTCGTATAGCGACCCAAAAGGGCTGCGCATGGTGACGGCCTGGATTGCTGCGGCGCCGTGGGGGCTGGCAGCCACACCAACTGCACGTCTGCACGCCCCCGACCAGTAGAAGATTCCTTCGCCTCTTGTCATTTCGGTTTTGCTGCTCCTCACCCCCATTTCTTCCCCCCGCACAGCCCATGCCATCGCCGAGTAAACCACGACGTATCCAGTCGATTCGGCCCGAAAATGCATACCAACTTTGTACCTACGTCCGACAGCTCCTCGCCCCAACCCCAACGCCTTCCTGTCAACCCAAGACGGCACAAGGTCGCGCCCGACCAGAGAAAACGTGTCGTGAGGGCGTAAGTAGCATTCCGTCATGGGCCACCGTGCCAGAGATTTGCTCCCGAGTGATGCCAGTCTGGCCGTTGAAAACGTCTGGAAGAGCAAGACTTAGCAAGACGCCCCAGCACCGCCACCACCACCGCCCTCGCTACAAAGAAAGCACCCCTCCACCGGACCAGGACTAACATTCACCACGCAGATGCAATGCCTGTAATGTGCGCCGTGTCAGATGCTCTGGCGAACAGCCTTGCCAACGATGCCACAAAACTTCGCGGGAATGCGAGTATCCAGCGCCCGAGTCAGACAAACTCTCGCTCAAGGACGAGCTGGAGCGCCTGCGAAGAAGATGCGCAGCACTCGAGGCTGGCTTTCAATCAGCAGCTCCAGAAGACGCAGCAGAGCTCATTGCCCAACTCGACCATGCCCCATCTGCATCACGCCAGAGTGGCCCTACCTTTCCATCCGTGTCCATGGATTTGGACCAACCTGATGCTAATGATGGCCGCCTACTCGTCGACCCTTGCGGCACCCAGAGATTCCTGGGCGAGACGTCTGGGGCGACTTTTCTCGATTATTTGAAACAGTTCATGTTAACCCTAGTGCCTTTGACCTTCCACCCGGAGTCGGCAGATGGGTCTTCTTTTGTTGCGTCTATAGGTCGTTACCAGACGTACGACTCGAGGCCGATCCCAAACCCCAATGTGGACCCCCTGTGGTTGCCTGATTGGGCAGACATGAACTTGATGCTAGCAGAACTGCGGTCCTATGTCCAAGACGGCAAGGACGGATTCTTGTCTGGTGGCATTTACTGTAAGCCATTGGATGCAATAGCCGACATAAACCCACTGACGTCTTCCTCTAGGGTGGGGCGACCTCAACAATCCTCCCACGCACACAGCCAGCTCTGTCTCGTTGACTTCGATGACTACAGATGACACACACAGATACCTAGCTTTCTATCACGTGTGCTTTGCTCTGGCCACGTCAATCGGCCACCCTCTGTTTCGAAAATCAGATCAACATGCCGGTGAAGCCTACTTCAAGCGCGCACGCAAGCTTCTGGGTAACCCTCTGGACACTGTGCGCTTTACCCTGAGTGATGTTCCAGTGCTAACTCTTATGGGTTTCTACTTGATTGAACTCAACCGTAGAGATGCGGCTTACGTATATGTCAGTAATTCCCTTGTAAGCAGCGTGTACCAAATGCATACTTACTTGGGACTACCCCGTCCAGGTCAGCCTGGCGATCCACATTGCCATGATTCATGGCGCATTCAGGTCCTGCAAGGATGAAGAGAACAAGCGCATCTTTTGGACACTGTACATTTTGGACCGATGGCTTGCTGTCCTCATGGGACGCCCGCCGACCATAGCTGACGAAGCAATTCGGATTCCTCTTCCATGCGATGAAGGGTAGGTATCCTGCGTTGAAGTATATTACAACGAAGTTAGCCGCTGATACGCCTAGTTCACTGCCACCGTCTGTGGGCCTCCGTGCACACGTTGAACTATCCCGCATCGCCGGGTACATTGTCTGCGAGACGTTCAAGATTGCTCCTCGTAACTTTAGACCTGGCTATTCAGTCACGAATATAGACAAGGCCCTCAAGATGCTTGAAGAGTGGAATTTGGAACTCCCGTCAGTGCTCGCGAGCGGAGAAGGTGCAGATTCCGCCGTGCTGTGTCTACATATGGCGTCCAACCAGCTTATTGTGCTAACGACACGCCCAATCTTACTAGCAGCCGTCAAACAAGCTGTAGCCGAACGATACATTAACGGCCAATGGTCGTTGCAAACTCATGTACATGGCAAGCATATCCACATTTGTATAGAGGCAGCTCATCAAAATATCATGTTGGCCCAGCGATTGTGCCAAGTGCGAAAGCTGCTCCAAGCGGGCTTGCATTTTGTCTTCAATGCTGGCGTCGTCCTGCTACTTGAACAAATACTCCACTACTCCGGTGGCCACAAGACACCGACCCCAAGTATACATACGCCTGAGATTGAATTTACAATTCGCACATTTGAGAATGAGTCAAGAACGGGGACAAACTATCCCCGAGACTGCTTCAAGGTTCTCCAAGATCTCAAGGCCTTGGTGGATCGGTATCTGTCCCACGATCATGGGAGGTTGGAGCCGGGAAGCTATCCTCATGGCGCCTCCAACATTCCCGGTCCGCCTCATGCGGCGCCACAAGACGCTGGAATGCAGGGCACCACGCCAGGTCCTGGTGAAAACAACGGCTTGTACCAAGAGATGAGGACGTGGATGCAAAACGACGGGCTACAAATGCATCACGGCCTACCCATGTGAGTGGTGGGCCGCGGAGATGCCTTCCTAGCCAATGTCATGATGAGGCACCGGCTCGCTTGTGGCTGATGGGGACTTTTTTTTCCACGAGCCGCAGCATGACCGGCCTATAATATGGTTGGCGTGACTCACCGTGCAGAGGCTCTTTGACAGCTTGCAGCTGGGAGCTGGGAGAGTCGTAGTGGTCAGCTCAAAGGGGACCAGGATCCTGCTGATGTAATCCTGGCCAAGCAAGACACCACACCAGCATCCCTATTCGGGAAGGAGGAGAGAAAGAGGCACGGTCACGAGCCATCACCCTTGCTGACATGGATGCTGCAATCGATACTCACCCTACACCCCCGGACCATTTTATACCCAGTACGCCCAGTCCTGACGACCGCACCCCTGGACTTTGCCCTAAGAACCCTGCAAGAGAATCTGATCTGGCTAGGCACATGTAACCCAGCCATCGAGGATAAGCGCGCATTAGCAGACAGGCCACTTGCCAGGCTCAACACCCTGATTGGCCCGTCTACGTGTTTTTTTCCCCGGCTCGATCGGGAGCCTGTTGCATGCCAAGGCTCTACTACATCGCCAGCGTCGGCCAAGCTGCTCCACAGAATATTATATAAAAACGTCACTAGGAACGTGAGCAGTGCACGAGGCTGACCATGACTGTCAAAGTGAATCAGGTTCTTTGCGCTTGGTCGCTTTCACTGTGGAGCCTGCCTAAGTCATGGCCCGTTTGCAAGAGAATGAGTGTGAGCCCTTGATTCCCTGTAGTACTTGTACTCGCAGCTTGAAGTCTGCTGCTGTAACAGCCACCAACCTGGTCGAGTCGTCGACAATGTCAACCGGCGATCAGCCCACTTGCCTTTCTGGCGAGCCTACATCTAAGCATGTCAATAGAAAAATCGATATCGCTCTCCTACCCTTTCTGTCACTACTTTATCTCCTGAACGGCCTCGATCGATCTAACGTGGGGAATGCGGAGACTCAGGGTATGTCAAGATCTCGCATTGTTGATCGCAGCAGCTAACCATACGCTGCCCATAGGCTTTACGACAGACATCGGTGCTACCCCGGATGATCTCAATCTTGCAGTCTCGCTTTTCTTCATCACCTTTGTCCTGCTACAGCCTCCCTCAGCTGCGATGGGGAGATGGCTTGGCGCAAAGCATTGGATCACCATCATCATGGCAAGCCCCACCACTTATGCTTACATCATGTGGCTGGTGTCCTGACTTGTGTTCCAGATTGGGTGGGGAGTCTTCACAGTAGCACATGCCTTCATTCGTGGCCGGAGAGCGCTTATTGCTGTTCGGCTCATGATTGGAGCATGTGAAGCCGGCTTCTATCCTACTGCTATCGCATACCTCTCAGCCTTCTACTGCCGGTACGACCTCGCAGTCCGTATAGGTCTGTTCTATGGCCAGTATGCAATAGCTGGCGCTTTCTCGGGATCAATTGGTACGCGGTCAGCATAATGGACAGTAGCAATACTCAAACTGATAAACATGTGATTAGCATTCGGCATTTTCCACCTCAATGGCACTATACTGAAAAACTGGCAATACCTATTCATTATTGAGGGGGGTATCACCATAGTCGTTGCATTCGTTGCTTGGTTTTGGTTGCCCCAAGGGCCGGGATCAGCCTGGTTCCTTACAGATGAAGAGCAAATATTCGTCACACAACGCATCATCAAGGACAATGCCCCCTTCATCGATCATGAATACAGCAACGATGGTATACATAAAAAACGCCTTACAAGACGGGACATTATGGAAACAGCCAAGGACTGGAAGCTTTGGTTTATCCTGGTGTTCAATATCTGTGCAAGTGTACCAAGCCAAGCATTCTCCGTCTTCATGCCTATGGTTGTTCAAGGCTTAGGATACTCATCCATCGAGGCAAACCTGGTAATCAAATCCATTTTCTCGAATTGAATGGTGCAGAAAATAACTAATTCAATTTGTTATAGATGTCTGTACCCCCTTTCGTTTGCGGTGCTGTAGGCCTCTATCTGTTTGCCCTCAGCTCAGATCATCAGTATATACTCCCAAGTCAAGTATCATGGGCTTTGCTAATTATGCCGTCAGGAAAGAGCGAGGCTATCATATCATCATGGGAACATGCATCGCGCTAGTGGGTCTTGTCGTAACTGTGACTACGCAGTGCCACAGCATTCAGTACATAGGTCTATGCATCCTGCTGTTTGGCAGCTACGTCTCAGCCCCTCTTACGGCAGCCTGGCTGAGTGGGAATAATCCTGGTAAGTCAGGAACAGCCCCACTTGGCCGATCGTCGCATCGACATTAAAGATCACTATGCTAATTAATCCTTTTAGAGCCAGGTAAGCGCTCCCTTGTCTTAGGGGTAAATGGGTTCGGCAATCTTGCAGGTGTAATTGGCAGTCAGCTGTACAAGAAGAAACATGCACCAAGATACCTCACGCCTTTTTACGCTACATTGGGATTTGTTGCAGCTGCGCTTGCAGGCTACATAGCTTACAGGTATATTCTCAAGGCCACCAATGCGAAAAGGCTGGCGATGGCGAATTCGATGAGCGCAGAAGATGTAGAAGCAGAGCGTCTAGATCGGACTAGATATGCGGACGCAAAGTGGACATTCTTGTATGGGCTGTGAGGCATTGGCTGTCTGGCGCACTTCCTATAGAAGGTTCATTCAACTTTTGTGATAGGTCTGTCACAAGACATAGAGATTGAATACACAACACCTAAGATAGAAGAATAGTTGTCTAATGTCTTTGAACGTGCTACCTTACAGTACACTGAACCCTCACTCATTAAGATGCCTCGGCCCGCGGCGTTAAGACCGGAGATACCAACAGTGGGGTACAATGCCAATGTCATGCATCACCGTCGTACCAGTTACACGGCGCAAGTTAGCCCATCTTCCCTTCAAAGCGTCCTATTTTCGGCCCCGATAACTTCAATCGGCATGTTCCAATTCTCATCACTTGTCCCCAATCCCTTCTCATCACGATCTACACGTCTACTGCAGTCCTCTGACCCACCACCATCGCCACCACTACCACCCATGGCCGACGACGCACCCGCCCCGGCCCCAGCCTTCCCTTTCCTTCGCCTCCCACTAGAGCTCCGCGAGCAAGTCTATTCCCACTACTTCCACCCTGGCGACCACCTCGTGCGCAACACTGCGCTCGAATCAAAGGGTTTCTTCGGCGGCGTCTACCACTGGGACCTCGACGTCTTCTACGTAAACAAGCAGATACACCGGGAGAGCAAGCGCGTGTGGCGACGCGAAAACATCTTTGTCAAGATCGCGACGCCATGGCCGAGTGCTGGTATGTATCGTGTTTATCTCTTGGCTACGGACGGGGTGCCCGAGCAGCTCCATCAGTATGGCGGTATTAGCTTGTCTGGTAGTCATCGTGAGCTCTTCTCCCCCCCTTCATGTCCCTCTTCTACCTTTCAACTTATCCCCCCACTTTCTGAGAGAAAAAAAAAGCGTCATTTGAAGGGGAAAACGTGGGAATTTCAAGGCTGATTGTTGATGTTTTGAGTATCTCTAGTCAATCATATCTCGTCAGAGGGCTTGGTGCCGATTGTATGTGCGGATGCACAGGCGAATGCGTTTACGGGGCATCATGCTGTGGTGCAGATTGATTCGCCGATGCAGATTGTAACGCCGGAGCATATGGTTGTCATGCTGGCGGATGACTTGCCGTTGTTCACACGGACATGGTATTACAGTGCGTTGTCGTATCCGACGCTGAACGAGCGGCTGAACACTACGTTTATGCTGCGGAATCCAGCGAAAGCAGACGAGGCCAGCGAGGAGGATAGAGAAGAGCAAGGACAGGAACAAGAACAAGACGAGCTTGGAGTCCCCCTCGCCGTCCAGCGAAAACTCCTCCTCCCATTCGAACACGTAAAGGGCCTCCACGGCTCCCTCTTCATCGGCTTCTCAAACACCGTCCAGTCGGAACTCGCGCGCCTCCAGGCCCGCCCCATCCCCTCCCTCGAGCAAAGCCTCGAATCAGCAACAGACTATCTAGCCGCCGGTGACGCCGCGCTAGCAAAGTCCACAGAACCCACCGCCCTCGAAGCAATCGAGCTCTATAAGAAAGCCTTTCACGCAATTCATATCTTAATCCATGGCCGCACCCGCCGCGTCATGGCCGACGTCTTCTTCCAAGAGGCAGTCTCCCACGGCCGCTACGCAGGCCAAACCGGCATCACCGTCCGCATTGTCCTGCGCCTCAAACTTGTCTCTCGCTTCCTCGCAGCCTACAACCAGTTATCTCGTTGGGACGACTCCGCCTTTTGGGGCATGCGCAGCGTCACCATCCTCGAAGAATCGCTCAACCCCGATTTCGAAATGTTCCTAGCAGAGGTCTTGGGTGGCTCTGACGTCGGCATGATTTACCTCCGCACCGGCATCGCGTTCTGGAATATGGAAAATAAACGTGAGGACTGGATGGGCGAATTGATTAGTTATGCGGATGATGAGTTAGCGGGGAGTCGCCGCTTGTGGGATGCAGCGGTTAGGTTTCTCAGGCATGCGAATAAGGAGGAGGCCAGGAGCGAGTTGCTGGCGTATGGCGTCCCCCGGGAGACGGTGGCGCTGTTTGCGGATGTGCAGGCGGCGAGGATGGATGTGGAGAGTATGGTTGCGAGGGATGGGAGTAGTACGAGCGAAGAGTAAAGTAAGCAAATAGACAAGATACATTGAGCAAGTTGGGGAAGGAAGGGGGGGGGGGGCTTAATATCAGTCCCCCCCTTTCTTTGTTGTTCAAACTTGTATACGTGCAATGGGTAGTGTTTTCTTGTGTGTGATCATTTACTATTCCAACATAATATATAGTACAATAAAGTCTTCTCTCCCGCCCCGCGCGCGCGTCATGATAGCATAACCCACGCACGGTCAACTTTCTTCTTCCTTTTCCTTTGTTCCTTTCAGAGGACTGTGGTATCAAGAGTGGAATACGTATGCGTTCTTTTCGTAGTTGGTATCTTTTCATCCTCATTCAATCACCAAATGGATAGAGATTTCTTATTTGGTCTGAGTTGGCTGTGCGCCTGCCTGATGACTAGCAGCAGCTTCCTGTGCAGAGGCTGCAGAAGGGACGGTAGCAGATTGCGGTGCGGCGCCGCCTAACCAGCCAAATGCGCCGGCCTTCATATCCTTGAGCTGGGCTTCCTGCATCTTCTTTTCCTCCTCAGCCATTTCCTTGAGCCATTGCTCACCATTTTCGCGGATTTGCTTGTCTAGATGGATGTAGTTTTGCTTGTTGAATTCGCGGTACATGTCAATCATCATCTTGCCCTCGTTCATGCCCTGCGAGACGTTCTGGTCGCCGAGGACCATGCCTTGCTTGGCGGTGTCGAGACCCAGACTCTTCATGAACATGCCGCCTGCGCTGCCTCTGCTCTTCTTCTTTTGCTCAGCGAGATCGCGCTGGAATTGCTCCCGGAGTTTGGCTTCTCGGCGCGCGTATTCGGCGGGAATGTCTTTGCCCTCCATGGACTTTAGAACAGTGCGGACATCAATGGGCGTGCCGGTCTGGCTCATCATGGCGAGATACTCAAGGAAGGGAATCATGGCGATAAGGCCCTTGTCGTTGGGGTCGCCTTTCCATTTGGGCAAGACAATGGCGTTCTCCGGCTGGAGCTTGACGTGCGATGGGTCGGTGTCGATAATGATAACTTTTGAGAGGTCGCGATTGAGATAAGAGAGATCCTGAGCAAATTAGTAAAGTGAAAATGTATTTTTTGAAGCAGCTGTGGACGCACCTTGATGTACTCGCCCTTCTCGAAGCGTGTCGCCTCGCGGAACAGAGGCCACATGACGAGGCGGAAGGGATCGAGTTTGCGGATAATAGGGTCGGCGTCCATGGACTTTACGGAGGTGAAGATGACAAGCTCGTACTGTGAGCTGAGGTAGCGCAGGAAGTAGTCAAGGCCAGGTCGCTTTGCTAATCGGTAGCCGTGCTTGGTAGTCCATTCCGAGTGTAGTAGCAGATCTTCCAAACTTAGGACAAGCGTCAGTTCAGGAGCCCCTCCAGGAATTTTGTCCTTGTCTGGTAGCAGTTTTTGGAAGGTGGGCTCAGTGTAGTAGGCCTTTTGTCCATTGATGCGAGCGGCTGCGCGGGCATACATGAGGCCCACTGTCCACCCATTTGGAGCATCTGGATGTGCTGATTCCTCTTCCTCACTCTCCCAGTTCCTTCCCATGAAGACAGCCCCAGTGGTACCAAATAGCAGCATTCCAAGGTATGACCAGTTGGCAACCCTATTCCGCCGCCTGTCGGTACTTGTCTCGTATGCAGATTTGGGTAGTTCCCCACCCGCGCCTCCTTCACGGCCGCCTGCAGCGCCTGGTATTGGGTCTTCGTTGGGGTCATTCGGGTCCCTCTTTGCCTTGCCTTGAGCTTCGGCTTGCTCTTCAGCAAATGTTGAGGGAATACCATATCGCAGATCGGGTAGAGGTTTTTGTGGCTGTTGTGACTCGGGACTCTCGGTGGTGGGATCGGTGTTCTCAGCAGCCAATTTGGGCCCTGACATCTCGGCGTGCTCTGCGGTGTTGAAATTGTTTCCTGCATCTTGTGACGCCCGGGTGGCGCTCTCAATGGGTCTTGAAGGCTGTGATGGTGTTGTGTTGCTCTCTGAGGATGCTGCAGTATCAAATTCTGGCTGCTCTGAAGAGTTTACCGGGTTCGGCTGCGCCTTGTTTTCCTGGGCAAATTTTATGGGATCCGACGGCTTCCAGGTGTTGTCTTTTGGCTTTCCAACTTTGGCATATGTGCGATTCCATTGCCATGTTGAGGCTATCGACACTGTGCGCGGAGCAGCAAGTACAGGCCGCGTGCGCAGCGCCCGAAAGGCACCTCGCGGCAGCATGGCGGGCAGAGGGTGAAACCTAAAGGAAAGCACAAATTAAGAAGAATAAAAGCGTTGAATAAGCAATGCGCCCGTAAAACACATGGGCTGAAGGATACACGAGGGCGAGGTGGCGGGCGGTATCAATGGGAGTCGAAACCTTCTGCGGTCTTCCGATGAAATAATTGACGGCGAGATTTCTTGGCGCAATGACGCTGCTTCGGCATATTGTAATCGTGTCCTTCACCCGGTCAACGCTATGCGCCCCCACCCCTTGCAGATATAGGCTTATTGACACGTCTACCCTCCACTGATAAAAACAGTACAGTCTGATGTCGCCTCACGGGCACGCCTTTGCCCATGCGACAGACTGCATGGCCTCTGTGGCGGAATGCGCCAATGCCTAGAGGATCGTCCTTTCAGCTACTATGGACACTCATACTATGCATATGTTTTTGGGCGACTCTCGCACGCTGTATGACGGATGAAGCCATAGCAGCCCTAAGGTAACTTTGTGCCATATTGCGCATACAGCCGCGTGCGCTCGCTAATGATACCAGGCAAGAAACACGCGATATATTCGACCATGGCTACGACAGCTACATGAAACATGCATTCCCTGAAGACGAACTACGTCCACTTACATGTGCCCCTCTTACGCGTGACCGCTACAATCCTGCGCACATTGAAGTCAATGACGTCCTGGGAAACTACTCTTTGACCCTGATCGATAGCTTATCCACCCTCGCCATCTTCGCCTCGACCCCGCCGCCCAGCAAAACAGGCGCCAACAGGCCCCTGGCAGAATTTCAAGATGGTGTCAAGCTCTTGGTAGAAAACTACGGAGACGGAAGGCCCGGACCAAGTGGCCAAGGGGCAAGATCAAGAGGCTTTGACCTGGACAGCAAAGTGCAAGTCTTCGAAACCGTCATCCGCGGAGTTGGGGGTCTGCTGAGTGCGCATCAATTTGCGGTTGGAGATTTGCCAATTCGTGGCTACAAACCTACACCGGAGCGCAAGGACGGCAAAGAAGGAATTGTATGGCCGAACGGATTCGTGTATGATGGGCAGTTGCTACGTTTGGCCAGAGACTTGGCAGAGCGTCTCTTGCCAGCCTTCAATACACCCACTGGACTGCCATATCCCCGGGTCAATCTGCGTCATGGCGTTCCTTTCTACGCCAAATCCCCGCATAACATGGACGCCGAACACGGACAGTGTGGAAGAGATCCTAATGATAAAGGGACCGAAGTTACCGAGACCTGTAGCGCTGGAGCGGGAAGTCTGGTTCTGGAGTTCACCGTCCTGAGCCGGCTGACGGGCAATCCTCGGTATGAGCAATTGGCCAAGAAGGCTTTCTGGGCAGTTTGGCAGCGCAGAAGCAGTATTGGGCTGATTGGTGCCGGTATCGATGCCGAAACTGGACAATGGGTGAATGCCTACACGGGCATTGGGGCAGGAATCGACAGCTTTTTCGAGTATGCCCTCAAGTCGCATATCTTACTCTCCGGCCTGCCTTATGACGAAGCCAATGCTGCCACTGACTCGCCCGACGCCTTTCTTACTGCTTGGCTTGATGCGCATGACAGCATCAAACGACAAATCTATCGCGGCGCACAGCATCACCATCCCCACTATGCCCAAGTAGATCTTTACACTGGCGCCATTAGGGCATTCTGGATTGACAGTCTCAGTGCATTTTACCAGGGGCTATTGACCCTGGCTGGTGAACTGGATGAGGCCATCGAGACACACTTACTGTACACTGCGCTGTGGACGCGATACTCTGCGATGCCTGAGAGATGGTCGACTGCAACTGGCGGCATCGAGCATGGTTTACGCTGGTGGGGCGGTCGGCCAGAGTGGATTGAATCGACCTGGTACCTTTATCAAGCGACCAAAGACCCATGGTATCTCCATGTAGGAGAAATGGCGCTTCGCGACATCAAGAGGCGTTGCTGGACCAAGTGTGGATGGGCGGGCCTGCAGGACGTGCGCACTGGTGAACTCAATGATCGCATGGAAAGCTTCTTTCTGGGCGAGACTGTGAAGTACCTCTTCTTGCTCTTCGACCCATCGCATCCGCTTAACAAATGGGATGCACCCTTTGTCTTTACGACAGAGGGACATCCTCTGATCATACCCAAACGCCTAAGGTCAAAGAAAAAGACGGCATCTAAGCTTCAGTCTGACAGGCAGACGGCTGAAACGTGCCCTCTCCCGCCAGCCCACTTGCCATTCAGTATTTCGGCGACTGCGGCTCGTCCTGATGTCTACCATGCGGCAAGTCTGGCAAAGTTGCATTTGATGCCGACGATTGAGACACTGGACTCGCCGTTGGTGGAATTCAACGCAGATCATCCCAGCATCTCAATGTCAGATGTTCGGTCGCCTTCAAACTACACATACTACCCATGGACTCTGCCTCCTGAGCTTGTTCCGCACAACGCTACTAGCTCATCCATGGCGGTTCGGTCAACGTTTGATTTGACGTTTCCCAATATGCCGAGCACATCGCTAGTTGGGGCGCTCCAGAGAGTACAAGAAGGAATCCTCGTCAACTCGATCAGCGGACTGCGGTTTGGCATGGTGCGCGAGCTTGACCAAATGCCTGCAATGGACAGTGCGGTTGAGATGGACGAGCAGTTTCGTATTTATGCCATTTCCAACATTGCCCTGGGACGCGACGAGAAGGTGTTCATGTCGCGATCCACCATGGACAATTTCAATCCACTCGATCCCTTCTTTACTCGGACACGAGACGCTCAGGTCCTGGACTTGGTGATTGATGTCGCGCCAGAGCCGACGTCTGTAGTGTCGAGTGTACTGTCTGACCTGGTCAACGACGTACTTGATGGGACAGGCAACTTGTCTGATATGGATGTTGCGGATGCGGTTGAGTTTGAAGTTGACGCGGAGGCGCTCAAAAGTGAGCCTTCATATCTTTCCAGCCTCCTTTCGTCGCTACAGGCTCTGTTGTCTGCTCCGATGCCTACATCGACGTCGACAGCATCGTGGTCTGGAGGTAGGGATCGGCAGCTTACGAAACGGTATTCTCTAGCGGCAGCGCTCCCGACTGGTCCTGGTGCAGTACCGATGCCGGATACGAAAGATGCAGATCTAACGTACAGCGCGGATAAGGCACTAGCGTGGAAAAAGATCTACGTGCATCCTACTACGCTGTGCAACGAGCGACTCGGAGCGGAGACTGCGAAGCAGTATCAAGTGATTGTGATACCTCGGGGCGACTGCTCGTTTTCTACAAAGCTTCACAATGTGCCTGCATACCCGCCAAGCAGCGCATCTCTACAGCTTGTGGTTATCGTTAGTTTTCCCGAACACGAGGATGGCTACAGTGATGGAGGACGGGCACCCGCTCAACCACTGCTAGACGAAGCACAGCATACGCCGACGGGGATGCTGCGGCCGAACCCTGTACCGCTGGTCATGGTGGGAGGAGGGCAAGTGACCATGGACAAGCTGAAGAGAGCCAGCGGGATGGGGATGAGAAGACGATATCACTTCCGCAGTCAGGGGGTCAAGATTGGGAATCTGATTGTGTTGTAATAGGGATATGGGAGTGTGGCTGTGGCTGTGGCTTGACCGTGGCTGTGGCTTGCGGGTATGTTGGAGGGGGAAGGGTCCGGTTGAATACTTATTCCAAGTACTAATGCCAAAGATGGAATCAAGATTGACACGACCCAGGGTCCAGTTGCAGCGTGGACGTTTGGCTGTCGCACTTGTCACCCGCCTCGGTCCGTTGTGATGTTGTCATAAGTCAGGGGCGGCGGCGATCTCCTCGGCTCGCGCGATGACAAGCACGACATGCCTTTCCGCTTTAGGGAGGTAGAGCAGCCTTGGGCACGTGCTCATCTAACATCGCCGCATCTTGTCTGGTGTTTGGTTGCAGCATCTGGAGCTGTATCGGAAGCCGACCACAAGGAGAAGTTGGCTATATTGTCCACGTCCACAAACGGCAGGATACGCCTTTTGTCTCTTGTCTTTGCTCGACCACCTGGTGGCGACTTGTTATCATCGTCTTGGGGTTGGCTCAGCCCTGCATACACGGCATACTACATACCAACTGTACACCCTCACCACCCTCACAGTCTCCACCTTGATGCTCACAGGGCGTCGGGCCTGAGCCTGGCCGGACGAGCTGTGGCCACGATGATGCGCCTCCGCCGTGTCTCTTTGATCTCCAGTGTTCCTGTGCAGCCATGAGGACGGCGTGGTGGGGGCCTCGCAAAAGCATGCTACCGCCAAACGGGCAGGAGGCGACGCCGCCAAGTCCTGCTATCGCGCAGCAATAGCGTGCAATCGTACAGGCTCCACCACACACATGTACCCTACCTATCCAAACCCTCGACATGCCCGCAACCACTACAACCGCCTCAGGCGCATTTCCGCCCTTGGGGAAGCTGAGCAGCTGTGGGGTTCAGCTATACGGGTTCCTGCAGGCTACTGCTGCGAGCAAAAGCACTGCCATGGACTCATTGCTTGTGCTGGCCTTCCTGTTACAGGCCCCCAGTCCAGGGGTCCCCATATGTACATTTATGCTATACATGTGGGAGCGGAAATAACTATACACCATCCCGCGCCTGTAGCTGCATCTGGAAGGTCCGCCATCTCTCCTCTATATTGTTAGCATACCGATCGGCCAATTTCCTACCTTTCCTGCCTCTTTCTACCAAGTTGCCAAGCAAATCGTTTAACTGGCTCCCGTACGCTTGGGTATAGACTACGCATGAGGCGAGGCTAAGAAAGGAAGCCGGTGATACATCGCTCCTCGTGTAGGCGCCGTTGCCACCAAACGTGATCCACCAAAGCCTGCCCGGCATCGCACCGACACCCTGGCCCACTGCCGTCTGCTAGACGTGAATAGGCTGCTTTGGTAGTCACCGTAGCGAGGGAGGCCTACATACAACTTCTATAAGACTCACGCCCTACGCCCTCAGCTGTGTCATCATCCACATCTCGCCACCCTCTCTTCCTTCGTTCCCTCTTCCCTCTACTTCGTCATGCGGTCCACACTTCTCGCTTCGCTGGCTTCGCTGTCGGCCATTGGCGTCTATGGCCATCCCCACACCAGCCACAGCCAGAACGGACTTAGCAAGAGGGCCATCAACCTCGATGCTTTCCGTATCAAGCATGCTGCCCAGTACATGAATGTCACTGAGGTCCAGGAGGATCCCACCATCGAATCCTCAATCACCAAGCGTGCAACTGCTCAGGAAACTGCCGACGAATTGGTCAAGGCTACTGTACCCGGTGCTACATTCCGTCTTGCGGGAGACTCATATGTCGGTGACAATGGCATTGCCCACTTTTACTACAAGCAGACCGCCAACGGTCTGGACATTGACTCGGCCGACTTCAACGTCAACGTACGTCCCATGAATTCTCACTCGAATCCGACACGACTAACACGCTCTAGGTCGGTCGTGATGGCCGTATCTTCTCGTTTGGAAACTCTTTCTACAAGGGCGAAATCCCAGCACCACCACCAAGTCTGGGCAAGCGTGACTCTGCTGAGCCTGTAGATGCCCTCAAGTCGGCCGTCAAGATTCTCTCCCTTCCCGTGTCTGCCGACTTGGCTGCTGCTGAACCCCAGCAAGAAGCCAACACATTCACCATCAAGAAGACGAGCGGCTGTGTCAAGGACCCAGAAGCACGCCTTGTCTACCTTATCAACCAAGAGGGCAAGCTCTCCCTCACCTGGAGGATCGAGACCGACATCCTGAGCAACTGGCTTCTCACCTACGTAGACGCAGAGACCGGCGACAAGGTCCATGCTGCCGTTGACTACTCTGCCGATGCCACCTACAATGTCTAGTAAGTTATCGCCATTACGATAGGCTCGTGCATTGCTGAATCTCTCCTCTTTCTAGCCCCTGGGGTATCACTAGCCCAGACGAGGGAAGCCGAAAGCTTATCAAGGATCCCGAGTACAAGCCGGCCAGTGAATTTGGATGGCACAGTGACGGTACGACCACGTACAAAACAACCCGTGGTAACAACGCAGTTGCACACACCAACTGGAACAACCAACAAAGCAACCTTATCACTCTGCCACGTCCCAACGTACCCAATGACATCTACGATTTCGCCTACTCACCTGCTACCTCGGACTGGAAGTCCTACGGTAATGCCTCAATCACCCAGCTCTACTACACTTCGAACAAGTACCACGATCTCCTCCACGTACTAGGCTTCAACGAGAAAGCTGGTAACTTTGAGGCTAACAACAACGGCGCTGGTGGCCTCGGTGCCGACTTTGTCTACCTCAACGCTCAAGACGGAGACAGGACCGACAACGCAAACTTTGCTACACCACCAGATGGCCAAGCCCCACGCATGCGCATGTACATGTTCACCTCCACCACACCCTGGCGCGACTGCTCCTTTGATGCCGGTGTCGTTATCCACGAGTACACGCACGGCCTCTCCAACCGTCTGACCGGTGGCCCAGCCAACTCAGCCTGCCTCAGTCTGTTCGAATCTGGTGGCATGGGCGAAGGCTGGAGCGACGCCTACGCAACCGCCATCCGCCTCAAGGCCAAGGACACCCGCGCCACCAACTACCCAATCGGCGAATGGGTCACTGGCAAGCCCGAAGGCATCCGCCGCGCCCTCTACTCGACCAGTATGACCGTCAACCCCCAGGTCTACTCTGACAGCGATAGCGCCACCGCCGTCCACCAAATCGGCAACATCTGGGCCTCAATGCTCTACGAAGTCCTCTGGAACCTCATTGACAAGCACGGCAAGAACGACGCCGACCTCCCCACCTTTAACGCAAAGGGCGTCCCCACCGACGGCAAGTACCTCGCCATGAAGCTCTGGCTCGACGGAATGGCCCTCCAGCCCTGCAACCCTACCTTTGTCTCTGCCCGAGACGCCATCCTCGATGCCGACAAGGCGCTCACCGGTGGCGAGAACCAGTGTGAAATCTGGAAGGGTTTCGCCAAGCGCGGTCTCGGTCAGGGTGCTATTTACAACGCTACCAAGCGCACAAACAGCTTCGTTGTTCCTACCGGTGTGTGCAAATAAGCGTGAATGAAAGTACGGGAATATGAAAATGATGGATTTTCCTTCCTGGTTCGTTGTATATATTTTTTGTATTATCTTTTTTTTTGTGGAGAGGGGAGTATCTTGGGTTACGTATATGAGGAACCCTTCCCCCCCCCCTTGTATTTTTGTTGGGGATGAAACAGGGGAGTTACGCCAATTGGCTATTTTTTTTCGAGGCAAATGAATGAGCATATTTTACCTAGTTACTTCATATTTTGTTTTCCCTGCGAACTGGAAAATGCATATCTTGGTGAAACTTTGGGTTTGAAAAAATGTAAAAGCAGAGAGAGAAAAGAGATATAATTCAGGACTTTCTCAAATTTTGGACAAGGAGAGGATAGTGTACAATGAATAGATATCCAAGAGAGAAACAGACATTCTCCTACCATCTACAACACATCTAAAAAAAACATTATCCAAACTCGAGTTGCTTTACTTGATCATCTTGGAAGATGCGTCGTGCTCTGTCGCATCATCATCCACATCGTCGTCCCATTCGTCTCTCCTCACCCCGCTCTGCTCAGCCACCGAAGCTCCAGCCACAGGCGCGACAGGGGCATCCTCGTCACTCTCATCATCGAATGCTGCAGGGTCTGCCAACGGCTGGCTCTCCGGATCCGCGCTTCCCCTCTCCGGGCTCCTCCTCTTTGGCGCCCCTTCTACGCCCTCGTCAGCAGATACCGAGATGCCTCGCCGTCCCCACTTGTTGTGCGGTTGTGTTGAGTCGTTTCGCTGGCCGCCAGTTTCCTCGTCATAGTCAAAGTCCATGCTCTTTCTGCCCACAAAGCGCCCGACAAGCCATCCTCGGCCCAGATCCTCTGAATCCACCACTCCGCCGTGTCGGAGCTTGACGCGCTGACGTGTGTAGTACACCCATGCAAAGTCGATCATGAGGGCTGTTTGAATAGAGCCCCAGACCCATGATGTAGGGTCGCGGTAGTGATCCTCGTTGGCGCCGCGTACAATCCAATTGAGCACATAGAGAAAGCGGTACGTGCCCAGTGCGACAAGGTAGTATGAGTCGATGACGGTGGGGACGGTAGTTTGGCGCAAGAGGAGGAGTTGAGGGATGATGCAGACGGATTCGAGAATTTCCGAAAAGACCCAGAGAAACTATTTTTGGTTGCGGTTAGCTCGGTTGTTTTGGTGCTTTCTAGCAGAATGGGAAAACTAACCTTGAGGAAACTGCTATGACCAATAAGGGTCTTCTTGAAGATGAGATACCAAAGAGGGGTGATGATGATGCTCCCAAGCAGACAGTACATGCCAAATTTCCACGCCTTTTCCCGCTCTCTTGTGCGCGCATATACACTCGTCATAAGAAAGATGATGTATAAAGAAGATAGAGTGTAGAAGATCTAATCCCAGTCAGTCCGCTAGTTGCCAGCGTGGACAGATCCGAGCGCGCCCTACCTTGAGGGAGAAGTTCCATGTGTGCCATACATCCTTCGTAGCCGAGGAGGTGAATATATCAAGGTATCGCGTGCTAAACACGAGTGCGTAGAGGACTTGGGTGATGAGGGACACGCCTGTGTAGTATGTTAGCAATGCTGCGACCGGTAGCCTATGGCTAGTCCAACCCACCCTCTGCACTGCTGTTCGCGTGTATGGCCCATATCAATATGAGCTTGGATGAGGTATGCGAGACATCGCCGAGGATGTGGAAGAGGTTGAACCCCATGTTGGGGACGGAATGCGGTGTGCGACGGCTACACAGTAAGAGGCCTGTGGCCGGCGTATCGGGTTCAGGGTTCGATGTCGGCACCGCGTGCCAGCACTGTTCTTTGTGATGAGGGATTCCAGTACGGGCCGGCCCAGCGCCACCTGTTGGGAGATTCGGGAATCGGAGATGAGAAATAGCAGAGATATGGATAGGTTGCGTGGATGGTGATGCGTTGTGGAGCTGATGGCTCGCGTCCGCATACGCAAGCTACCAGGTATCCGTAACGGCTTGGCGGTACCCCGGAGTCCGGCAATCCACTAAGCCCAATGCAGCATGGCGGATAGAGGGGGTCCGTCAGCATGGGATTCTAAGGCTGACCTACGCATCTTCTAGCCCTGGCAATCCATGGCCTAGCCTCGACAGCCACACAAGGAGATTGACTACAAGACAGGACTACATGGCTTACCCATTTGTACGGAGATATTCAAACACACCCTTTGACGTCCTTCCGTGACTTGCTAGAGCGATGTGACCAAACTGTCCGCCTAACCTTGGCAGCAAGGTTCCTTGTGCAGTCTTCATCATAATAACTATGACTAGCGTATTCTAGCAACTAAAATCGCAATCATGTCCGTTCATAGACATTGTATATCTGCTATCGACATTGCTATATCTTGTAGTAGCATAGCGGCGGATGAAGGCTTTTGCCTCAATCTGTTGAAGTTCTTACACAGATATACGAGATGCACGGAGCCGAGAAAGCTCAACAGATTATCATCTCATTCGTTGCATTCTAACGCATGTATCTGACCATTGATAAAACGACCAAAAGGGTTAACATTGAGCATGTGGATTCGCTCCAGCATGTTTGCTACTCGAAATGCAGTGGGCCACCACCACATTACAGTTGACGATCCGGCTTGGAGGATGTGCCACAGCCGGAGCAACAGGATCGACAGCATGGGCAAACAAATGCGTTCCCATTGGCATGTTGTCCCAAAATAGATTGTCGGGAAACCTACTGCTTTACGATTTCTTCTCTGCTCATTTCGTTTCGCAATGGGGCCTCTTACGGGAGAGTCCATCGAGGCTCATGCAAGGCCTGCAAGGCCTGCAAGGCGTCCAACGTGGCACATGCGACAGCGGATGACAACAGCTTTTGGAGTAGCTCTGGAATGATGCAGAGACCGGCCCATGTTGACGAAGTGTCTCCAATCATTAGTTGCAGTCACTGCAATCTTGACGGACCCTGAAACTCGTGACTTGGCCGAAGTGAGTAGCATAGCGCGTCATCTCGTCGTATTCTTGATGCACATACAAGGCCCTAGACCCTCCACCATGGTTGCTGGCCACGTTTGCGGCGTAGCTGCTGCAAGTGTTGGGATTGGGGACACACACAAATGCACTTTCCTACCACATTCCAGTAACCTTCTCTTTGTAAGCGCCGAAGAAGCCGAGGGCGAGATGCTGGTTAAGACAAGGCAGATTGTGCTAGGAATGAGTAAAGATAGATGCTTAGAATGGCGGCGGAAGACTTGTAATACTGAAGAGTGGCTGTATCAATGTTGGTGAGGCAGTGTAGAGAAAGCGTTGCGATGCGGCACGATGCGGCACGGTGCGGCAGCGAAGTTTAACGCGCAGCCGCCGAACAAAAGCCAATGTTCTGCTTTTAGGAACTAGCACGGACAGGAAAAAAAGCCTGAGACCTGGAAGGCGTCAGGAGAGTCCCGCAGACACGGATTCGTCGGCCATGGTCAGTGGTGGACCTGACGAGCGAAGACGATGAGCAGGCGACAGCAAGGGAGCGGGGTGGAATGGAGATGGGCACAATCAGAGGCTTTAGCCGACCGACAACGCACAGTCTAGGAGGACTAGTAGAGATGGGACCATGAGGGTGGGGTGTGACCAGCAGCAGCTTGGTCCGTCAATCAAGTCGGCCCAGCACCGGGTCGCTGAGGCCATGGTGTGGGGCGATTGTTAACACGGAGGGCACGCGCACTGGCTGGCGATATGAGTATGTTAGTGGTGGTGGCAGTGATCATCGAGGCTTGCGTGTATGAGTGGTGGTTGAGGGGGACGAAGCGAAGGAGGAGGAGAGTTTGGGAGGAAGGGCGGAGGGGAGGAAGGGTGGGTGGCACGAATACGGCGAATTAGCGGCCTTTAGCCAGCCGAGTGGAGATTAGCGGCCAATGGCAGCTACTCCATCCACGCATTTAAGCGCCTTTGTGTCCACGACCACCAAGCTTACCCTCCTCATGCAGGCCTATTTGCTCGCTTTCACCTCTATTCACGCGGCACAGTCGTCCTGCACACCAAATAGGAAAACACGGCCTAGCCAAATCTCGTCCTGCTGCACCATGGACTGCCCCCCTTGTTGTCGGCATCCTATGACGCCGCCAGCTCAGGCGGGCTCGTCAATATCACGCTGCAGCGGCGGAGGGAAATTATCCTCTGGCAACGTCCTGTTTCCGTAAAAAAACAACTCGCAGCAGAGAAGAAGAGCCCGACGTCACCAGGCCGGCCGCCTGAACCAGCGTTGTATCCGGTGGTCCCAGTCGTTGAACCGTCGTTTACAGACGGCGCGGCACGCACACGAGCATTGCGGCGACGAGGCCACTATTGCTATGTATGTCCATGGCGGCTGGCCAGTGGGGCTGAATGGCAATGGCAAGGCTGGGCTTGCGCCTGCACGTTGACTTGTACGCCATGATCATCGCCGTTGTCGTAGACCGCGCCCACATGGAGTGAACCCAGTATGCCGTTCCGGGTCAGCAAATGGGTCGGACACAACCGTCGACTGACCATGCATGCCTAGCCAATTCGCGGCTCAAGCGCAACGCAGTGCAGCCGGGGTCTCTGCCGCCATACCGTGACGAGCCAGCCTGGACAGCAGGGTGAATGCCCGGGGCGCTAACGTGCAGGCCTGACAGTCAATGCGCGCAGCACCCAATCCTTCCAGGCCTACCGGGGGCACGATACAGTCGATGCACTAGAGAGTAACCTGCACAACCTGTCCGCTATACCATTGCTATCTTGATAAATATGACGGAGGCGTCCCCCTAGCCTAGTTGTCTACCTCGAGCCTAAACACCATCACTGCGCGCCTTGCCTTGCCCACCCTACTCTTGCTACTGCCCCGTCTTCCTTGCTTGCTGGCTTCATTGGCAACCAGCGTAGAAGAGGCGCAGCAAGAATAAGGCCCTTCACTCTCCCGCCAGGAATAGAGGCCATGTCGATTACACTTGAATGTGCTATCCCTCCTCCACACCTCTTCCAGTCAAGGTCATCCTCGTGGCAAAGTCCCTACCACAGCCATACTTACCCCGCCTCGACCCCCTCGCCTGCTCCCATGTCTCCTCAGTCACTCCAGCCCTCAATGTCACATCTGCCGGAAAGTCCTCTACCCTCTCACGAGGCCATCCATGTCCCAGCCTCTGCATGGTATGGCCCCTCGATTTCGGCCCCCGAGTGCTCTAGTGAGGTTTGTACTTGATTCTTACCCTGCGACTGGTTACTCACATGCACCCACTTAGACTAGCTATGCCTCATACAACAACTACATTACTTCTCACACATCCTCTATCAATCTGTCGCCGCCAGCAACAGCGTTTCCTTATATGCCAAAACATCCGGGATCCGCAACACAGTTGGACCCATCTGTTACCCTGTCTCCAGGCACAGTCTACTCTCGAGACTCGGCGGTACCCGAGCCTGCCAGCCCATCAGAAGAGCCTCAGTCCGACCCAAGGTGTTCGTTACATCAGTCAACCATGCGTCTAGGGCCACAGTCACACCTACTGGACCGAAATCACAGTAGCTTGAGTAACTTGAATACCACAAGAGCGAACATCTCCTGGGCCATGAACCCCCTGGGCATCCACTCCAGTCATGAATCGTACTATCCGGCGTTTCCATCCCTGAACCATAGTCCTCGTCTGAGTGAACCGTCAGTAGAGCTATCAAACCAGATGGTCTCACCACAGCCACGGCGCATGTATACCCCTATTGCCCCTCTGCCACAAGAGACGCCTCGATCGCATAGCACCAAGAGGTACCATGAGGATGAAGAAGAAACACTCGACAGCTCTAAGCGTAGGAAGCGATCAGATTCGCAAACATCAACACAGTTTGAGCTGAGTGAGGAGGACAAGCTCCTGCTCAAGCTCAAGGAACAAGACTCTATGCCGTGGAAGGATATTGCAGCACGTTTCCAGACAGAACTGCAAAAGTCTTATCAGATACCTGCGCTACAGATGCGCTACAAGCGCCTAAGAGAACGGATGCGCGTCTGGACCGACACCGACCGTAAAGCACTACGTATGGCGCACGAGTACTGGTTACAAAACAAGTTTGAGATCATTGCGCAAAAGGTATGTGTCGATTGTAGCAATTGAAGTGCATAGCTTACCAATCTCATAGATGTTGGAGTTTGGTGCGCAAGAGAAATGGACAGCACGGCAATGCTCACGTCAATGGCAAATGATGGACCACCCACCATTGCCATATGCGCAGTTCGATCATCATGTTCAGCAGGGCTTTGCCCCTTACGCCATGAGTCCTATTGAGCCGCCGCCCAACAATTCCCTACCCTTCTTGCACACTTGAATGAGCTTTCCAGGTCGGGGGTATGACAGGCAAACTAGTCACAGTCGTGCCCCTTTACTTCTTCGTCTTCGTCTTCGTCTTCTCCTCCTTCTTCATCTCCGTCTTATCCATCCTCCTCTCATGAATCATTCGCCGGAATGATAACAAGCGCTTCGCCTGATACGATGCGGCACGGGCATGGCGTTTTCCAGAAAAAACGGGCGGCTTGCACAGGAGATTGGGACGTGGCTGGCAGCGGCAAACGAGCACTGCGCACCGCCCTTTTCCAAGACTTACAGATCCATATTTTCCTCTTCACTAGATACCCTTGCTTAAGGTCAGCAATGACCGATGTTGTAACGATCCATTCTTTTCTACCGATTGCCACACCAGGTGATCCCTTTCTCCATCATGCCTTATGCACCCATTTTAGACTCAAACGGCGCAAGCCTACGTACGCACGTTCGGTCGCACATTCAATAAACGAACCTACAAGACTCTCTAAACAAGCAAAAACATTCTATTCCAAATAAGCTTACCCAGTGCCCTGCACCTTTACTCCGCACCGTCCCTGCTCAACATGCACAAAACACCTACGCCGCAATCTGCAAAGGAAGAAAAAAGACTGGCCTTTGGCCGCGCCGCAAATCGCCCCAAAAAATGCATCAATGACTAGCAGCGGCGCAACACCACCCTCCATGACTGGGCCTCTCTGTCTACAACCGCCAAACCGGGGCACGGAATAATTCCACACACCCCATGCCGCAGTAAAATACGCATCTCTCTTCCTTCACCTGCGCGGTTGCCCAACATAACCTATGCGTAGTATGCGCCAAAAGCGGCACACACACACACACACACATACGTACCCCTCTCACGCTCTAACCATCTCCCTCTCTCTGATGATGACTCTACCATACTCCCACCCTACCCTACCCTACCCTCCCCTTCGCTTCCCTCACTGCCGCTTTTTCTAAAAAACTGCGCCGTACGCCATTCGGCCCGTTTCCCAACCGTCGATAGCGCTATACAATAACTTACGTGCCACACACACACACATACGTACCTCGGCGCGTGCAGAAAAAAAAGCCTCCCAGCCGTTTACTAGCACAAAGTAGCGGCTTCTTGCTGTTGCGGGCAACATGTGATTGCGAGCACATGCGCGCGCGCTCGCACGCGCGGGTGCGAGGACCCGGATGGGCGGGTTGGGGGAAGTGTTGCCGCGAGGAGGACTTACTTTGGACAAACGTAGGACTTGACTGGGTAGTACTAGCGTGATTTGAAGGGCAGGAGACCTGGGGAGAGAGGGGTGTGGGTGGGTTCCACACACACACACACACACTCACACTCACACACATACTCTCAGCAAGAGTACTTTGTGGGTTTGTGGGTTGCACGTGTGAAGAAGAGTATCAGGGGATTGAGCCTTTTTTGGGATAGTGCTGGGTTGTGGGAGGGTGGTGTGGCTCGGGTAGAGTTGCGTGTGCGCGGGAAGGCTTGGGAGGCGAGGTTCGCGCGTGGATATGGCGCTGGGTGTTTTTTCTTCGGGAATACATGTAGGGATAGGGTAGGAAGGGATAGAGCGCGCGCTTGCGAGATTTTGACAAGGGGACATATGATTGGTACTGGTATTCTATCATGTGTGTTTTTGATATACTACATGTGTGTGCATGTGGCTGGACCAATGCCAGATGGCGCCTTGGTCTACACTACCACTATAGGTTTGCGACGAGTTCCACTTCTTTTTGGTGGTACAAGCAATTTCTGTATAGGGTTTGCTTCATCGCGATTTGGGGTATGAGTGACGCACAGGGCGGGAAGAATGCAAGGGCAAGTGGTCTCGGATGATGCACATCGTACATACCTGGCCAAAGCAAGTGAATATGCACCCCTGCATCCAAGATCTGAATGCGGAAATCTCACATTCCTATTGAGTCGTTTTACTATCACTGGATCTGAAGAGGTTGGGTGTGGTGATTGCGATTGGAAGGAGTATGCTTGCCAGGCCATGTCGCTGACCAGCTGGATGAAGTTTCTCTCTTATCGATGACCATACTAATGACCATATTTGTCTTGCCACAATGGCTGTGCTAGATGTCTGACAGTGGGATTTAGAGGTTGCAATGTCTCTGGCAGAGAGGACAGGAGTCTGAAGCATGTATGAGCCGAGAGTATCCGTCGAAATATGTTCCCGCTACCTCGCATGCCGAAGTCATGAATTACTTCTAGATATCGTTAGCCATAGAGGCCCATGGTAAAGGCAGTGGTCGCGCGCTCTTGACATGTCCCTACGCCGTATCCTATTGAGAAATGTCTTCGATTTTTGATAGACATGTGATATCGTTGTATTTTTTTCAGCGCACATGTGTAAGCAGACGTCTCGCATCTTGGAGCTTTTCAGAGGAAATCGTCGAGACAGGATCCTCTAGATGTGCCGGCAGTTGCATCAAATACGACCTGACGTGTATCACTGCTCCTTCACTGTCGCCCACCAAGACTGAGAAGGCAAAAGTAGGCACACGACTATAGTGAGCCAGATCCAAGTAGGATAATGCGTCTTCTCGCTGTGACTGGCTGCCCTGATAGGAAATGTGATGAGGACGAATTTGCCATTTGCCATTTGCTCAGTGATTGCTCACAGCTTACTCGGGGAAGAGGGAAGTTTCACTCCACAAACTAGTAAGCTGACTTACATCCGCTCGCTAATGTCGTCGCGGACCGTGTCCAAGGCCGGTTCACTGTGCGCATAAGCGGCTTACAGACTTGTGTTATAGGTTTCTAGCGGCCCGGCCGACCCTACGGCAAACCATGGGATGCCTGATAGCGGCTGGGCTCCAAATACTACGTCTAATGGGAAAGGAGTACGAGCAAGGAACCCCGGTGTCCGGGACCTTCTGGAAATCTTGATAGACTGCTTATTTTCTTACTCAAACCCTAGGAAATGTGACGAGACACGCTGTCAGCATTAAAGCAGGCGTAGTAAACCCCCACGCCCGCGAGTCGGTGTGCATCTCGCAGTTGCCCGGAGGCCATTGCGGTCTCAGATGGGTGGCTGTCGGCACTCGACAGCGGTCTTTGCTTTTCGTGTTCGTAGAGTCAGCACCCAATCGTGACTCGGCTGAGGAGCGCGGGAGGCCCAATGGCGTGCTCGGCGAACGTTACATTGGTCAATCCCCGAGAAGTCATCCACGTTGCTGAACGAGCGATAAGCCGAGAGTCAGTTTGGAGACTTGGATTTTGTGGAACCTTCCTGATAGAGCCATAGTCGAGATATATGTCGAGCCACAGAGCGAGCAAGGAGCCTGGGAACTCGAGGGGTAACTGGGAGGTTGACAACGGAGGGGCAAAGCGCTGTACTTGTGAAAGAGCACTCTCACTCTGGTCCAGCGCCTCGACCGGGTCCATGTTTCATGATCTGCGCCCTACATTAGCGAAGTGGTGTTTCCCTTCCTACGGGTTTGCACAATGGATTCGGCCGATAATCATAGGCGTTGTTGAACTGCAGTCCATTTAGCCGCACCATACAGGGTTCGTCAGCGGCAAGGAAGGCCGTCTGCTCGGGCTCGTGAGGTCATGCTGCACGTGTGCATCAGCATGCCTCCCCCACCCTCCCCTCTCTCCAGCTGATGAACGATTGCTCGAGCTTGCAAATCGTCTGGGTAGCAGGCTGACGGGCGGACAAAGCTCGAAGCCACGGCTGAAATCGATCTTCAAAACCAAGATGCGATCGGAAGCCATCGAGGATGGGTTGCACGACGTGTTTATCGGCTAATGTTGAAGAGCTGTTGAACGAGTCGAAGAGTCTGCCAAGCTCAGAAACGTAAGACATGTCCTGGGAATGTTGCCGAGGTGCGGAGTCAAACGCCAATCTACCGGTGAATACGGAGACGGATGAAGGCTGCAAGTGAATGTCCGCTTTGAGCAAGCGCATGTCCATGGTACAATGGCAAAGTGGCAGATGCAGACGAAAAAGTCCGGGAGCTTTGCAGACTTGTAAGCTCGTATAGGCATGCACGGTGGCTTCTAGCAGCGTCCACGATTAGGCACGGAATTGTGTGTACTTTGTTTTCGCCCCACTGACCTTCTTGTTCGGTATCTTCCCCAGATCTTCTTCGGCCCTTCTAGCGCTTATGGCGTCCGTCAAGTCGGGTGCCGTGCAGCTGAGGCCCGCGAAGCCGCCCAGGGTGCGCATGAGACTTGTAGACGCGACGCTTGTGTGCAAGTCTAGAGCACTGGATACATGAGCGTTTACAGCAAGCGCACTGAGCGTGATAGGAGACGTTTAATATTTAACCGGTCATGGTGTTCTGTCTAGGTTAAATGTGTTGCTGCGCCGTATCCCGGGGCTGTGGAACTTGTGTGCATTGAATTACCATTAATACTGCCGTTTTGGGACGGAATGTAGGATAAGTTTGCAAAGGTGTGAGGTTTGGGGTGTTAAGTTGCGAGGTTGTCGTGAGGGGCATGTGGGATAAGTCGGACAAGAAACTAACGGCCGACACGCACACGTTGTCATCCACGAAGGCAGCCACCAATAGCTCTTTACTCGTTTGTCAGGGTGTGTTATCTCCGAAAACTCCGCCACCAGGCCGTGCATCTATACGTAATGCTTCTGTGTGTTTGATGTCTTATGAACGGCGAAGCTCACTTACAAAAGGCCTATTGTCTTTTTACTTTGTTAACGGAACTAGGTATTATGCGCACGGCATTGGGACGAATCTCGCGTTTGACCTCTCAACTTCCATCCATCAATTCACCCCGTTTCCTTCACGTCTCGTCAACCAACATGACGGCTCTGACCATCGAATCTCGGTACTTGATGCCATCAGGCTACAGGATCCCCGTACTTGGCTATGGCGTGTATCAAACACCTGCAGAAATTGCCACGGAAGTGGTTCAGCATGCACTCAAAGTCGGATATCGCCATGTAGACTCAGCTGTGGCATACAAGAATGAAGCACCTTCCGCCGAGGGTATGAAGAAGTCAGGAATCCCCAGGGAAGACCTCTTCTTCACCACAAAGATTCCGCCAAAGGATATGTCTTACGAAACGGCAAAAAAGCACATTGACAGTACTCTTGAAAAGACGGGCTTTGACTATGTTGATCTTTACCTGCTACACAGCCCATATGGTGGCAAGGCTAACCGAATCGGCGCATGGAAAGCACTCATTGAGGGTGTACAAGCGGGTAAAATCCGGTCCATTGGCGTGTCCAACTACGGTGTGCACCATCTTGATGAGCTCGAGACATGGATCAAAGAGACAGAAGAGAAAGAGGGTAAAGGCAAGGGTGGAGTTATTAGCGTCAACCAGGTCGAACTACATCCTTGGCTTGCGCGGCCTGATATTACAGAGTGGTGCAAGAAGCGGGGTGTATTGTGCGAAGCATATTGTCCGATTGTACGCGCTACCAAGAATGACGACCCTTTGCTCAACTCGCTTGCGCAAAAGTACAGCAAGACGCCGTCACAAATCTTGCTACGGTGGAGCTTGCAGATGGTATGTTCAAAGCCCTTGCTGGTCGCTTACAGGGACTAACAACCAGGATAGGGATTTGTACCACTACCAAAGTCTGTTACCAAATCTAGGATCGAGGAGAATGCAGAGATTTATTCCTTTGAACTCTCTGAACAAGACGTGAAGAGTCTTGATACTGGAGCATATGAGCCTTGTTCATGGGATCCTACCGTTAGTCATGATTAGTGCTAGGTATAAAAAAAATTCTGGCCTAAACTTTTAATCCGTTAGGCCAGATAATCTCGTAACTTGCGATGCTTTACCAACGATTGTAGTCCTATCTGGACTCGACTTGACACGTGATTCATCTGTTCCAGCTTTGAGCACTGTTGTTATAGGTGCCGAGGTTGCCCGACATATTAGAATGGGACTGCGAAAAATATTGGAGACTCAAGTGAGCGCGTCGCATGTGACGTTTGCGACGCGCAAAAATATGGCTACGTCATCCTGACCTACACTAGGCATGAAAAGCGCATACAATTCAATGGAGCCCTTACGAGATACTCATCAACTTGCCTAGTTTCTTGATACCCTTTAATACCCATTCAAGTCTTTTCAATCACAAATTGAGCGGAAACCTTGCTACTGCACCTACGCATAAGTCACCATGGCACCAAACAAAAAGGTTCTCATCATCCTCTCTGACGCCAGCTCTTTCCCTCTATACAACACGGGTAGCGATGGGAAAACAGTCTCACAGGATTCTGGCTATTTTCTCATGGAGCTCGCCAAACCACTATCCAAGATTCTAGACGCAGGCTATGAAGTTACGTTTGCATCGCCCGAGGGCAAAGAACCCACACCAGACCCTTTGAGCGTGTCACTCGCCGCCTTTGCAGGCAACTACTACGAGAAGCAGCGCGAACTGAACCTGATTGAAAGGATGAAGAAGGAAAACGGATTCTCAAGCCCAAGGAAGTTTGCTGAAATCAGCGATGAGGAGCTCAAGGGCTTCGGCGGTGTCTTCATTCCTGGAGGACATGCACCTCTAAGGGATCTCGGAGACAATGCAGATCTGGGTCGTGTGCTATCGCATTTTCACGGCGAGTCGAAGCCCACAGCAGCCATCTGCCATGGCCCGTGGGCGTTTTTGTCGACTAAGTATGGACCTAAGAAGGAATTTGAATATAAGGGGTACAAGATGACGAGCTGGTCAGATGCAGAGGAGAAGATGATGGAGACGATGTTGAGGGGTGAGATTGATAAGGTTGAGAGTACGCTGAAGGAAGAAGGTGCTGATATGCAGGAGGGTATCGGGAAAAGTCTGGGCAGCATCACTGTAGATAGGGAGCTTGTAACGGGAGATAACCCGATGGCGGCGAATGCTCTTGGAGATAAGTTTTTGGAGATGCTGGCTGCAAGATGATGGGGTATGATGATTATGACGAAGGAGAAGACGAACAAAGTAGATACAAGTATTGAGAAATTTGAGCACGAACAAGGTATTGGTAATGTGCTGTAGTGTCATGCGGCGACAGTCCTCACATAGCTGGATGGTGAGCAATGGGCCCAGCGCATGGCAGATCGGATGGACGCGGAACAACCGAGGAAGGCACATACACACACACACACACACACACACACACACACACAACAGCTGACTGCACGTGCCTCAGGCTCGCCAACGTCAGATTAGGCAAAGAACGGCAACAGTAAATGTCGCAGCGTACAAGGCGCCCGAACCAAGGGCTTCGTTGATAGACATGGCTGACCGCCCGGCCGCTCAGCAGCTAGCGAACCCCGCACACAGGAGCCAGAGGCTGCCACTGATAACCGTCGATATTCCATTTGCATCTACGCCATGGCAGTCGGATCAGCGAAACACCTTGCGTAATGGTACTGGCACATGGCTGTCGACATCCGGGATAGGCGCACGACTAGAACTCTATACGGGAATTTCAACAGCGGCAGCCGTGGGGCGATTGATATCACACGCAGCCAGTTGCCGAATACACATTGCTTAGCTGCCGTTACTATTGCCCGTTCGGCGGCGGCCCCAGTTTGGCGGCAAGCCGCTTTTTTCTTCTCGAGTGGCAGAAAAGCATAGTTTAGACATGACGCAGGGCCAACTGACAGCCCATCGCCGACCCGACCCGCCCCTTTATATCTGATCCCCAGCCGCACATCGGCTGCCAGCCTCGAGAAATCACCCCCGCAGCATGGCCGTCCCTGGATACAGGCTGGGAGTTGACGTAGGAGGGTGAGTAATGTGTCGCTCCAAATCTGCTCTACTGGCTGCCTAAGTATCGCCCAAACCCGGCATACTTACACAGCTGCTAGTCTCGAATCACATCATGTCCGAGATGTTGCATTTGCCCCGTAGCCACGGCTATATCCCCTTGCCCCTCCCTTCAAACGCCACCAGACACGGAAAAGCGACAATAGCGTGCGGCTGACTCGAGCCCAGGACCTTTACCGATGGTAGGCATCATCTCATGTAGCCCTCACATTCATTCTTTAACCCACTCAGTCTGTGTAATTACCCCCAGCGGAGAGGCCGTTCGCACAAAGATACCCACGGACACCCAGGACCAGTCCATTGGAGTGCAAAAAGGTGTGCAGCAAGCCCGTAAGATCCTGAAAGAAAAGTACAACTGGCAAGGTAAATTCCAATACATACACCATGGCACCACAACTGCCACCAATGCTGTCCTTGAAGCCAAGGGCGCCAAATGCGGCCTTATCGTTACAAAGGGCCACAAGGACATCTTGGCTGTCAGACGGAGCCATATTCCAGGTGGACTCGGAGCTTGGATGAACTACGAGCAACCTGAGCCTCTTGTACCTCTAGAACGGACCATCGAAGTCAAAGAGCGCATCAAAATTGATGGCAGTGTCTACTGCGAATTGGATGAACAGCGCTTTCGGCATGACTTGCAGGACCTCAAGCAACAAGAGCCCGAAGCGATTGCCGTGTCCTTGCTGAATTCATTTACCAACAACGCCCATGAAGAGCGCATCAAGGCTGTATTGCATGAAGAATTTGGGCCACACGTTGAGATTGTCACATCAGCGGACGTCTTGCCAGAGATTCAAGAATACGAGCGCACGGCCACAACAGCTACAAATGCAATGGTCAAACCGGTAGTCAAGAAATACATGCAGAACCTCCAGAACAAGCTTGCCAAAGATACCGATGTAATTCGGATCCTGAAGTCTGATGGAGATTTGACTTCAGTCCAGCTCGCAGGCGAGACACCTGTGCGCATTCTCATGAGTGGCCCAGCTGGTGGTGTCAAGGCTGTCTCGCATTTGGTTGCCAAAAACACACCCTACAAGAATCTCATAACGTTTGATATGGGCGGCACGAGCACTGACTGCGCTTTGCTCAAAGGTAGTGAGGCCATCATCCGACAAGAAACCCAAATTGGTCATCTGTCAGTGCGCGCGCCATCAGTCGATGTAAATACAGTGGGGGCTGGCGGAGGCTCTATTGCGGTATACAATGACTTCACCAAGAGTCTGCGTGTAGGACCAGAGTCCAGTGGCGCCACACCAGGTCCGGCAGCTTACGGCAAAGGTGGTGTACAAGCGACCGTTACGGATGCGAACCTGACATTAGGAAGACTACCGTCAAAGCTGCTGGGTGGCACTTTCGAACTTGATGTCGTAGCATCCAATAAGGCAGTTGAGTCGCTCGCCAAACAAATGGGCATTGATACGACGTCGGCAGCCGAAGGGATCATCGATTTGGTAAACGAATCTATGCATGGCGCTCTTCGCCTGGTTTCTGTGGAACAAGGCTACGACCCCAGGGACTTTGCACTTGTAGCGCTCGGTGGAGCTGGGCCTCTTCATGGCAATGCTCTCGGTAAATTACTTGGTTCTTGGCCTGTCATTGTCCCCCCTTCTCCCGGAGTGCTATGTGCTCAGGGTGATGCTATCACCAAAATGTCTTACGAGCAGACTCGCACGTATATCCGAAACCTCTCGCAAACTTCCGAAACGGAACTCAAGGACACGCTGCTAGGACTCAAGGATGATGGTGTGACCAAGATGAAGGCTTCGCTTGCAAACGATGACGCTGAACTCCATGTCATATATCAAGCCGACATGCGATACAGAGGTCAGGAGATGACGCTTACTGTCGGGGTGGACTCTGATGAGCTTGGAAATTCATCTAGTCTGCTTGAGAATCTGCGCGATAAGTTTAATAGAGCACATCAGCATCAGTTCGGCTTCTCCAATGACCATGCAGAAGTCGAGACCATGCGCTTGCGTGCCAAAGTCATTGATGCTTCTGAAGAGGTGGCCTTGAAGCCCGTCGAGCGCGCCAATACCTCGGAGCCATCAGAAGATGCTATCATAGCGAAGCAAAACATTGTGTATGACGGCAAGCAGGTAGAAGCAACTTTCTGGGACCGCACGCTACTTGGTGGTGCTGGAAAGATTGTATACGGTCCAGCTGTCATCTCGGAGATGGACTCTAATACTCTGATACTTCCCGGCTTCTTTGGCGAGATTGATTCCATGGGCAATATCCTCATATGGCCTATAGACAAGAAAGCGTCGGAAAAGGTGGCACATACGAGGGAATCCGCAGAGAAGCTTATCCGGGATTATCCCATCGTTGCAACTCTCATTGCTTCTGCGCTTGGTTCCATTCGAAGAGAAATGGATACCCTTGTTAGTAACTCCACTAGCAATTTTCGTCTGACACATACTAATGTTCATGATCCAACTATAGATGCTTCGCTGCGCGATGAGTCCAGCTATTCGTGAGCAACAAGACGAGTTCAATGTTATTACCAATACCCGTGGCCAAATGCTAGTTGGTCAATTCGGGTCTTTCATAACTGAATTCTTGGCAGGCTGGGACGGGACTATTGAGGAAGGCGATGTATTCATCACCAACGATGTTTATCAGATTGATGGTGCTGTCTCACACCTTAACGACATCGTCGCACTGCTGCCCATATACTACGAGCATCGACTTATAGGCTGGGCGGCCAACTTTGGCCATTTGACCGATGTTCAAGCCAAGGTACCAGGATCCATGAGTGTCAATGCTAATACAATCTTCGAAGATGGCCTGCAAATTCCGATCGTCAAGCTCTACGCAAAAGGCGTATACAATGAGAGTCTTGCAGCTGTCCTTTTCCGCAATTCACGGGTGCCGGAATGGTTCCAGAGTGATCTCATGGCCCTTGTGACTGCCTGCCGCACAGCCGCTACTCGGGTTGTCGAGCTCTGCGACCGTTACACACCAGAAGTATACGAAGCAGCCACGGAGTCGCTACTTGAGCAAAACAGGATCGCCATTAAGACCGTTATCGACGAGAAACTCGGCACCCAGGAATCAAGCTTCACAGACTTTGTTGACGACGACGGACAAGGCATAGGACCGTATGCGATTTCATGTTCCATGAAGAAAGAGAATGGAAAGTTGGTATTTGACTGGGACGGTACATCGCCGCAATCCAGTTCTGCGATGAACTTTTATCTTTCGGTTAACATGTTCAAAATGTTTGTTGGTTATCACCTCCTGGCAATACACGACCCCCACGCCATTGTCAATGATGGCTTCCACGATCTACTCGATGTCAGAATTCCAACTGGTACCATTCTTCGCCCTGTCCGACCAGCTGCCGTCAGTTGTCGGACACATGCCTTAGGTCGTGTAATGGACATTCTACAAGCGCTATTTGGGCAACAAAACCCTGAACATCGCAGCGCAGCTGGATTTTCAGATTCGCCACATCTCTTCTACTCTGGCTTTAATCCTGAAGGCGAATTCTTTTTGATGTACCAGATCGGTTTCGGAGGTGTCCCTGCACGGCCCATTGGTGACGGACCCGACTGCCACTGCCTATTCCCCGCAATCAAATCAATACCCACGGAGAATATTGAGCTTTACTTCCCCGTCATCATCGAAGCCAACGAAGCGTTACCGGACTCTGGAGGTGCAGGATACTATCGTGGCGGAAACGCACAAAGAACAATATACAGATTCTTATGTGAAGGAGATGTCAGCATTCACGATGACAGATGGCTCGTCAAGCCTTGGGGTGTCAATGGTGGCAAGCCTGGAAGCAGGTCAAGGAAGGTGTTGTATCGGAATAATAGTTTTGGCACAGCGGAAGAGAAAGACAACGTTGAGATGTGTCATTCCAAGCAAGATTATTTGCACGTCCATCCAGGTGAGATTGAGACCTTGCAGTGCACCTTGACGTATAAACTAATAGCACCCAGGCGATGTTTTGGAATGGATAACCTGGGGCGGCGGAGGCCTGGGTGACCCCCTCACACGACCTCAAGAGCAAGTAGCCAAGGAAGTCCACCGCCGACTAGTCACTGTGGAAGGTGCCAGAGCCAACTACGGTGTGATTGTTGACCCAAAGACCTTTGCTGTCGACGAAGCTGCCACTACGCGCCTTCGTGAATCAATGCACAATGAGCGTGCGAAGACGGGATATACCACGCATGATACGATAGACCGTGGAGGCAAGATGAGCGATGTATTGGCGAAATGTGAAGCAGAGACTGGAATAAAGCCGCCCATGCCGCAATGGGAGAAGAAGGCTTATGGACCGCATGCGGGGTTGGCGTACGTGAAGAAGTGGTATGAAACAATGTCGCGGGAGGGTATGAAGAGATGGAATGAGCTGTGAGCTGGATGTTGGTGTAGTTGCAATTCAGATTTGATGCTTTCATCCCAACCATCTCAACATAATCAACATGACAACTGTAAGTCGCAAAAAAAAACCTGCGTTTATGTTTACTAAACTATCTCAATATCTACAACGAATTCAAAATGCAGCATGCCCATCGGACCACAAACACAACGGGGACACAACTTCTGCTAAAAATAATAATTCTAGCAGTTTTTTTTTATCTGCCTTTCTAAGTGCAGATAGTACGGCCACCATTACCCGACAAATTCCACTTTGTCTTATTCACCGTGCAAGGACTCTCGCGCACCGTCGTGCCATCCACCCTTAGCGAAATCGCAATATCGCGACTATTCGCAAACTCTGTCCTAGCCGCTAGACGTACCTCGCCGCCGCCACTCACGGTACCGCCCTTGATGTTAACATTGTAGCAGTTCTCGAGTAGGATAGCGTTATTGCCCGTGTTGGCTATGTCCACACTCGCGATCTCGGCACCACCAGACGCAGAGACGCAAAAGACGCCGCGGCCGCCTCCGCGAGCACGCACGCGGTTGACGTAGATGTTAGTTCCGTAGCCGCCGTTGAGCTTGCCGGCTTCGTTGGCGAAGCGGAGGGCAGCATAGCCAGTACCTGCGCCGCAGTTGTCGCAGTCCACAGTGCCGACTTTGGCATTTGTGACTTTCTGGAGTAAAAGGCCGCACTCACCGACGTTCTTGCCGATGACTGTGCCGATGTCGAGGCGGTCGATGTTCCAGGTCTCGATGCAGTGAGATGTGCCGCCGTTGCAGGTGACGGTGCCGATTTTAACGTTGGAGTTTGCGGCGCGGTCGCGGTCGAAGCGGATGCCCATTCCTGATTGCAGGTTGAAGGTTAGGGTGCCGAGGGTGAGGTCCTTTGTGCCGGAGAAGCGCAGGCCGAAGTAGGTGGAGCCGGCCATGGTGAGGTAGGGGATGCTGACGCCGGTTTGGTCAGTGACTTCGATGTTGCCGCTGCCGCTCTTAGTGGCGACGGTGATTGTGCCGCAGCCTTCGAAGGTTTTGCCGCTGGTGATGCGGATGGTGTTTGCGCCGATGTTTCCGGATGCCATGATGGAGACGCGCTGGCCGCTGGTGATGCCGTCGACGGCGGTTTGGATCGCTTTGAGGTAGTCGGAGCCCGTGTAGAGGTTTGTGGATCCTCTGGTTGCAGTGAAGGAGCTTCCTGAGCCGGTGACTTTGGCGTGGGGAGTGCCTGAGCCGCACTGGGCGGAGGCGAGTGAAGCCAGAGCCAGCACGGCTGTGAAGGTACTCGACGAAAACATGATGGGCGAGTCGATCGCAGGTCGAGAGAAAAAGAGGAATGGATAGAGGACAGGAAAAAGGGAAACCCGCAACCCTTTTTCAAACAGACATTTCAGGAAATTGTGCAGTGCAACCTTCTCTTTTGTAATACCATAGCACACCGTGGCTGGGCGGAATAATACCACTCACCCCATCCCATCACCCCCAAGAGCCTTGGGACCTGTATAAAATAGACAGACCCGCACCCCCCCTTCCCCACATCCCTGTCTCCTCTCCGCTGAGCGAGTGATGTTGCGGGTTGAACGCAATGATGTCGCGAGCCCCGCCCAATTAACGTTAATTTTCCGAGCAACCAGCACGGCTCCAACGCTGGCACGAAAAGTTAAAAAAAGAAAGAGGGAGAGAGAGAGGACCGAGTCCGGGGTACATTCCCCCATTTCAAAACATGGTGTAAGCAGAAAGCGGGCAGAGCAAAATCGCGAATTACGGCTACCAAGACGCGGGATTGCTCACAACCCAACTTTACCGCCTCAAGCCAAACTTGAATGGTGGAAATTGAGAGAAAAAAAACCGGCATGATTTCTGCATATGCTCAGTTGATCTTCTTTGACTACCTACCTACCTACCTAATCCATCGGCCTTCAATCTGGCGAATTCTCAGCGCGCGCCTCTCTAATCACAATGTCCCACGTATCCCGCACCCCCGCGGTACTGCCATGATTCATTGCTCACCCTCATCTTATTACCCTCTCTTTTCCTTTTCGCGTAACCTTCGTCCGCAAAACGAACCACGTGCAGACTTGGCGGTTATAACCTTTTCATCTCCACTATTGGCCATCCCCTCCCCGCCCATCTCCGTCTGTCAGATATTCGCGAATGCGTGTGCGTGCGTGTTGCGAGAAACCCCCCGCTGCGGGCTACAAAGTGGACACGATATAGTTTGAGAATACATACAGCCTTTTTTCCCCTCCCCCACATGTGTTCAGGAAGGAGTCCCGCCGGGAGAAAAAAAAGAGGGGGGGGGAATATGGAGGCGGATGGCTATTTCTGATTTTCTCCGCTGCATCATCGCGCGTGCATTGGGGGGGTTGTTTGCCAAGTGAGGAAGAGGGCGCGTGTGTAAGTAGCCAAGAGGCCAAGAGTTCAGATCTAGAGTAGATCGTGAAACGTAGGTTTCAGGCGGGATGGGTAGTGCGCAACACCCTGGTATGCGAATTTCACCGTCTGGTGATTATGTAGTTTTGGAGATGCACATTTGCCTCGGGCGAGGGATGGGTTTTTTTTCTGGAAGTACTGTGGAAAATGTGCGTACTTGCTGGGAAAGAGCGGAGACGTGGGGGTGTGTGACGGTGGTGCTGGTGGAGTTTATGTTTGGATTGACTCCCGCATATAGCGTAGTAAGTATTCGTACGTATGATCTTAGTGCTGGGACAGTCGAGGGAACATGGAAATTTTGCAAGACGAACGTTTTCTCAATTTAGATCTAGTACTAACACTACATTGAGCTATACACGTCCGGATTCATGAAATCGGACCTTGATTGATCCCAAATATACAATCATGACAAACTTCCTCGCACCAAAAAAGAAACCCCCATTTACAATCACAACAACCGAATACAAACTTACTCAAACACATCACTGACATACCTATCCTCCTTCACCTTCTCCAACCACGTCTCAGCATCCTCCTGCGTCTTCCCAGGAAACGTATCCCTATAAATCTTCATACACATCTCGCCCGTACTCTTAGCCAGCTTGCTCGCGCTACCACAAATGAATAGCTTCGCCCCCTTCTCGCCAAACAGCTCAGCCAGCTCCTTGCGCTCGTCCCACATGCGATCAGGCACATGCTGCACTTTCTGTCCCTCAGGAGCGACTTTGGAGAAGCAGCCGCGCACGCTGACGACGCCTTCGGCTTCCCACTGGGCGAGCTCGTCGGAGTATATGAAGTCTTTTTCGTGATGGCGGCAGCCAAAGTATAGGATTGCGGGTCCAATGGCTGCGTTGCGCGCTTTCTTGATGGTCGCCCGTTCCTGAATGAAGCCGCGCATGGGGGCGAGACCGGAGCCGGCGCAAATCATGATGATGGGCATCGTGGGGTCCGTAGGCAGATGGAAGTTGATGTTTGTAGGCCGTGTGAAGCACTTGATTCTCTCGCCTGGTTCTCGGCTCGCAAGGTAGGTCGATGCTACGCCGTGGAAGCGACGATTCTCTCCGCTCCAGGCAGCCTCGTCGTGCACATCGTAGGTTATGGAAGCGGTCAGACGCTGGACAGTCGAGCCGTCTGGTGCTTGGACAAAATCAACATTGGCTAGCGGAGAGCTGGAAATGCTGTATTGGCGGGGAGACAGGGGCTTGAGTAAGTCAAGGTAAACAGCAAAAGGGAGCTTGCACTCGGGGTGGTCTTCGAGGATATCCAGGATGCTATAGCGGGAGGGAATGACCTTGGCCTTGTAGACTTCATCGCTTGCAAACTCGAGCAAGCCGGCGCGCTTGTCTTCCGGTGTCACATCCGCAAGCATCTTCAACTGCTTTTGTGAGATTGGTGTACCAAGCTCCACACGCGTCATGAGAATTTCGTAGATGGATGCATGTCCCTCAGTAGCCAGAAATGTCTTGTTGGTTCCAGTAATCGAGATGGTGTCGTCCGGCGAAAGATCGAAGCGTCGCATAACTCGCTTCACGGTATCCGAGTTGTTGAGAGGCAGGACAACCATGTAGTCTCCAGAGCGGTACGAGCTGCCGGCTGGCAACTCGATCTCCATGTGCCTCTTGGACAGACCGACCTCAGCCCCACCCAGGTCTTTGTTGACCTTGACCTGCCCAGAGGAGATGTTTTTGCCCCCAAGATACGTCGCGAATTTGGGAGCCTTTATCTCGGCCTGAAGTGTCCCATCAAGAACTTCGACAGTTGTACCACTCGCCTCTCGAAGACTAGTCCACATTTGTTCAGACCAGCTCTCCCATGGTCCCATGATGTCTTCCTTTACGTTGACAAAACCGGTCTCTGTGAATCGCGTTGCGCCCATCTTCTCAAGAAGCTCGTCGGTCTTCTTTGGGACACGGTGGTATGTGTGCGTCCAATCACTGTTGCCAACACCAAAGACGGCATATTGAACACCCTCCAGCATCTTTGAGTCTGCATTATTCTCCAGCCATGCGGTAAATTTCTTCGCGTTGTCTGCCGGTTTGCCTTCATACGAAGGCTCAATAATGACGATTGGCTGATCTTTTGGAATGTGTTCGGTGGCAGAGTCCAAGCTGCCCACGTTTGCTTTGAATCCGAATCGAGCTGCGTTTGTCTCCAGATCCTCGGCATATGATTTGCAAGTACCCGCATTTGATCCATAGAGGACGGTGATTGGCTTTGCATCTCTTCCAGAAGCATCTCCTGCTACCTTGGCTTTCCCATCATCAGCGGCAGGATTTGTCGATGAAGGAGCGCTGCCACCAACTGCCCCAAGACTGGCCATCGTGCGCCCAGGCCGTCTCCGTACTTTGATCTTAAGATCCTTGGGCTTCTGTGTGATTGTGACCGAGACCTCTGCCATATGAGATTAGAAATGCTACAATGTTGAACTGTTTATATGTGCACTTACGGAGTTGGTAGCCGGGATCTGCCAGTTCGACTTGGAACTTTTGCAGAATGAGCGCCACAGTCATGATCATCTCTTGCTCGGCAAAAGTACGCCCAATGCAAGCTCGCATACCATCACCAAACGCTTTCCATGAATTTGGCGGCAGGTTCTCCCAGCCGCCATTCAAGAAACGTTCAGGCCGGAATACATGGGCGTCGTCGCCCCAAACCTTGGGGTCGTGGTGTAGGCCTCGCAAGTTCATCAAAATGACATCCTCTGGCTCTACTTCATACTTTTCCTACTGGTCTTTAGTATGTACAGTCTACTTGGGGAGGAGATGAAAACTTACAGCAATCTTGGTTTTTTGCAGTGCGTGCTTGCCGTTGATTCCAATAGGACCAAGGAAACGCAGCGCTTCATAAATGGCGTACTTGATGTAAACCAGCTTTGGGATGTGCTTGATGTCCAGAGGACCATCTCCAAGAACCTCGTCAACTTCTTGCTGGGCTCTGAGATATGTGTCGGGGTTCTTGAGAAGATGGAAGAACAAGAAGCCAAGAGTACCGCTCGTTGTTTCGTGGCCAGCCACCAAAAAGGTTACCATGTTGTATCGCACAAGTTCTTTGGACATCTTCTCGCCAGTCACTTTGTCTACACCTTCAAGCATGGGGTTCAGTAGATCTCTCGCATCTGGCTGCGGATGTGCTATGCGCTCCTCGATGATCTCATCGCAAAGTTTATGCATCTGCCTCACATTTTCCTGGCGGTTGGCTTCGGCAAAAACACGTAGCTTGTTCTCAATGCCAGTGCGAGTAGCTCGCCTTCCAGACTCAACGAGGACTTCGACCATTTGTTCGACAAACGGATGCGCCTTGTCAGAGTAGAAGTTGTTGAACCTGTATCCGAACGCGCATAGACCAATCATGTCGAATGTTAATCTGGTAGTAGCGGGTGAGCAACTTTCCCTAGCAAGACCAGCTGACGCAACTTACCTTGTGAAATCATCACTGCAATAGATTTCGTGTTCTGGTCCGAATCGGTCCCATCTAAGCAGCATCTGTGTCGTAATGTCCATCATGTCATCAAACATCTTACGGATGCCCATGGGGCCGAAAACAGGCATCAGCAGGCGATGGGCAACTCCCCATTCCTGATCCGTGGTCAGCTGCAAGCATCTCACAAGGCGAAAAATTAGCTCACCTTCTCGCCTGGGTAGGCTGTGAAAAGCCCATTTCCAGTGAGAGCTCGCACTTCTTCAAGAGTGGCATTGATTGGCTTTTCAAAACGGTCTCCGTCGCAGCAGTCGTTTATTGTGTCATGCGAAGAGACGACTATTATTCTTCCTGGCCGGCCTGGAATATGAAGCTGAAAGATCTCGCCATAGATATCTGAAAGTCTTTGGATGGAGCCTGGGGCATCGTCTGAATCGATGGCTCCAATATTGCCGATGAGCAAATGTGGTGGTGGCTGCGGTATTGGGACAGAGTTAGACGACTGGGACGCCATTGTTGCAGGATGTCCAACAATGGAGAAGATATGAATTGAATTACAAGAATTGTAGCCTCTTGCAGGTACAGAGGTGGTGTCTTTGAAGTTGGGGCTCAGCCTGCTTCCTATATACCACTCAGCCTGGTAGCAACAAGCGCCGTGCCTTGTCAGCCTTGCCCTCATCCATGTATGATGGTTGGCATGCATTCGGCCGACTCGGGCGAGGCCTGGTGGACTTGTCTGCCTAGCTGCTGACTTTACAGGGATATATCAGGCCAGGAACGTTGTTCATGCAGCCAGTAGGCTGCCCTGAAAAGCCAAGGTGTGGCACAGTAAGCCCTTGTGAGTTCAGCTGCACGAGGCTGTGTCATCCTCACGGTTACCTATAGCGCTGTGTCAGCGCATCGAGCATGTATGTAATGCCAGCTCCGACCAATGCGTGTTCGCATCAAGTGTTACGCTGCGTTCGGTCATGAAAACATCCTCGGCCGGTGACGACCTCGGTTTCCAGGGCGCTGGGACGGTCCGTCTGCTCTTTGCATTGGCACTCTACTACTCTGCTACTAGTCGCAAGCAGCTACTATAGTGCGTTATTTCATCTGGTAGACTCCAACTGTTGCTAAGCCTTACAGAAATCTGGAATACAATCGCAATGCTCTGTTTCGGATGATGGGTGTCCGGTGCATGTGCCGGCTTTGATCTGAGGTTGTTCAGCTGCTATTGACGTAATCGCAAGGCAGGGAAATCGGCTCACGTATGAATGCTCGCTTTGCCAAGGCTTGTGCTAACAGCTTTTTTTCAGCAGCACCTAGGATTAATTGCATGGAGTAATTCCGCCCCTGTTGATAGATACGAGCAAAAGCATGTGTTTGAAGTTCAGCCCCGCATGTATCGTATGAGCATGCAGGTATAATGGGGTTGGTAATTCGTCGTTACTGTATCAAAGAAGGCAGCAGTTGCGACATACTTTTCACCATCTTCCTACCACATCTTTGACTTTGCCTATCTTTGTCACTAGTTAAATGTCTCAGTAATCGCCAAAATATTCCAAGGGGACTGATCGCGTCAATGACAGTAGCAGGACATGCCGAACGGGAACAGTATCTCCTCACGCGGCCAGTGCGCAAGGCAAACGACTCATAATAGATGAATATGTTTGATTCAAAGTTCAAAACTAGAGACGCGAAAGTCCACCGACGCGCTATGCAAAACAACAAAACGAGCTCCGTCTTAGTTCGCGACAGAAAAATCCCAAATCGGTGAAAATTTACCCAAGGCATCCTCTTATCAGGACTCAGCCCATCCCAAACGCCATGCTCAATGCTATGCTTCGCTGCGTAAAAACCATTGTTTCAAGAGACATTTTTTTGAGAAAAAAAAAGGTTGGACAAAAGAAAATGAGGTGAACAACTTAGGCGAGACCAAAGGTTCCCTTCAGGCGCCTCCAGAGCTCCTTGCCCATGGCTCGCCTGGTGTCTTCGGTACGGAGCGCAGCCTCCTTGTTCTCGCTGGCCCTACGGAGCAAGAAGTTCAAGCACTCGGCAGTAGTGCCCCAGGTCATGCACTTGACAACCTTGGCCTGCTTGTCGGCCTTCATGGTCTCGTCTTGAACCAACGCCTGGGAGATTTCATCGGCCATACCCTGGAGTTGGGCATATGTCAAACGCGGTAGCTTCTCGGGAGAGGTGGCGAGCATCTGAGAGGCACGGATCTTCTGAGCAGCTTTGACGGAAGCCAGATTGTGAGTTGCAAGGACAATGTTCACCTGAGGGAAGGGTGTGCCGGGTGTTGGTGCAGGAACCTTGTCGGTCCATTGTTGGCGGACGACAGCGTCGGCGATGGCATCGTAGTTGGCGTCGGTTTCGGCCTTGGTATCAAAGGTGAGGTGCTTGGGCTCCGAAGTCAGGTATGCGCCGCGTACGAGCTTGACACCGGCAATGTATCCACCCTTTGAAGCCATCTCGAGATGCTGTGCCAACCGCTCGGCAATGTTGCGGAGGTAGCATTGGTACGTGATGTAGAGAACGGCATGGCCTCGCTCGGGGGTGTTGTACTTCTTCTGCAGAGCAAGTGTCCATTTCTCGAGGCCACGGTTGGTAGCTTCTTCTTCAGCGCCAGGAAGGAGACTGACGCCCTTGGCTGCGGCAGCATCGCAGGCTGCTGTGATGGCGTCCCACATCTCGGGCGTAGCGTCTTCCTGGTTTTTGAGGAGGTGTAAAGCGTGACGACCGAGACCCGACCATCTACAAGATTGTTAGCACCTACTTTGGACGAGTGTTGCTTTGGAATACGTACTTGAGTCCAACAAAGTCACCCTCCTTGGCCATCTCAACACTTTGGAGCATGCCCTTTCTCCATACCTCAATCTCCTTCTTGGTCTCGGCTGCGGTCGGCGCCTCTCCGCCAAGTACCTCGAGTGCGTACTCAAACAGAATACCGCCATAGCCCAAGGTCCTAGCAAAGTCGGTGTTCCTTACTACCTCGTCTTTGTGCTCGCCGACGCAGAACTGAGCGTAAAAGGTCTTCTTGAGCAGGTTGGAGAGGACAGGGTTGCGCTCAATGCTCATGATGTAGGATTTGGACTCGAGCATGCGACGTAGGAGGCCAAAGCATGCATTGAGGAGCAATGGCTGCGAGGACATTGCGGTGATGAGGTAGGAACGGAGAACAGCAGATGTCGGCAGAAGACCAAGAACTGGCTTTGTCTGAGCAATTTGGGACTCTGGCTGGCTGGAAAGGAGGTCGGATGTGTGCGATGACGTCGGTACAGATACATTCTGGCGTGCACTCTGATGAACGTATCTGGGTGTTTGTGAGAGGGTCCTTGAGGTTTGGGAAAGAGCAAGACGCTGGAAGCGTTGGAGGTTCTGTCTCCGGAGCATCATGGCGGACATTGTGATGGGTATTGGGTGGTAGGTAGTGGATAGTGGGTGATGTGTGGTGGTCAAGTCGGGTCCGGCGGCCTCCTTGTATAGAGCACTCGGAGTCAGTGCGGTGCCAGGGCTTCTGAGTCCGGGGAAGTATGCTCGGGTGGATTGCGTAGATCAACAGGTCTTGTGACCTTGGGTGATGCAGTGCATGCCATATATACCGTGCATCGTGGGCGTGTTGTTTGGACAGGGCGGAGCGCAATGCTCGGCTTGCGTCGGCTCGCGCTAGTGAAACTCGACGATGCTCCAGAGGGTACCAGACTGACGCGGGCGTATCGGCCCTGGCCCATTGGCCACCCCTAGCAGCCCCGATGATGGCGTTGCCCTGTCTAGACAGCAGCAGCTTCTGGAAATGACGATTGCGGTAGTGTTTGCAAAGTAGTGCCGATTGCGTCTGCGATGCCTGGTACTGTCCTCGTCGACGCCAGGCATTGAAAACCTGAGGCTAGAGGCAGTCGTGCCTACGTATGCCCAGTCTCGCCAGACCGACCCCTCAGCCGCACCGTCTTGCTCTTGCTTTTGCTTTGATTGTCCAGCCGTGACCATCGTGACCACTCTCGTATGCATGCCTGTTACCCCACAGTCGGCGAGATGCACTGCACGCTGCATAGGTCCTATCGCGGCCTCTCCATGGTTTGCCCAGAGCCGAGCGTAGCCATGCCGTCCTCGCTCTCCATGCGCGGTCAGCCCCCATTCTTCTTTTCTTCTGACAGCACCATATCCACCTTGGCACCGCTCTTCGTCACGCGTCCCGGTATCGGCTCTCGTGGGGGTTACGCAAAATTCTGTAATCCTCCCATGGCTGCTATGCTGAGCGCGATGAGGGCCGTAGCGGCTGCGGAAAGCGTCGGCGGGCCCACAACGGACCTCCGACAATTAAACTCCTTCCCCACCATGACCATTGACTTGCACGCATTGAGCATTGAAACGCCTTTTCTTTTACCAAAATGTCGATGCATTGTAATCTAGGATTGTTTCGCACGAGATCGCATTGTAGGTATGCACATATCTTGTGTCCTGTAGAGCATAAGCAGACGGCTGTTTCCAGTATCGTGTTTAGTGCTACTTGAACACTTTCGTAAACGCTTGTGCGAATATCTGGATTATTAATTATGAGATTGATCATGCCGTGGCTATGCTGTAAGTGGTGTGGTGTTCTGTGTTGTTGCGGGATAAGGATGTGTTTTCTATCTAACTGGTTGTGCTGAGCTTTCGGATAGGTATCGATAACATCACGTGAGCTTTCCTGAATATCAGACCTAGGCTATACCTAACATGTAATCGAATATAGAAAACTAGTATATATCATGTTTTAGCATTTTACTAGTGCATAGGGCTATAAGCAATCCTCGGCGAAGCTGTTGTCGCCTAAACCGTAGTGAAAGAATACGACTTCCTGCACAATCGAAGAGGCATCGAACCCAATAGATTGAATTTTTCAAAGAACACTCTCTAGTTTTAATTACTCACATCCACAACCGCTAATACAAGATTCTCTATGTTGTATAGATGACTAGAAGTAACTAAAGAAACCTTAGGTGAACTTTCATCTCTTACGCACGAAATTCCACGCACGAACCGCCTCTCCGCGCAGTAGAGTACCCCGCGCAATAAGGTACCCCGCGCAGAAAGATAGTCTGTGTAGTATAGTACCCCGCATTTTAAGCTACTCGGAATTGTAGAGTCAGCCGGTGTAGTGTCTCTATAAGCCAGCAGTACCTTCGTAACTATAATCAATATATCATCAAGCAAATCAAGAAACTGATCTAATTTGAACTTATTTATTATCAACCAAGTCTAACATCATGGAAACTCAAACAATTCCTAAGAAGATGCTAGCATGGCAGAAGCATCTTGGAAACCTTAAACCAGTATGTGTATTATTTTTTTGGAGATAGGTTGTCTATCGCTACCCGACGTATCAAATGAAGCTAACATCGATCCGGATTCGCGTTGAAGTCGACGTCCCTCAACCGCCTGAGGATGGCCTACTGGTAAAAGTCCATGCAGCCGGAGGTAAGGTTCAATTTATCTGTTGTTCCGCTTGCTATATACTATTCGCAAAGAAAATTTGAAACTGAGCAGCAAACTAGTGTGCCATAGTGATATCAGTCTGTTAGAGCTGGAGCCACAACCACCCAATCATTTGAGAAAGTATACACTGGTAGGTATTTACTTATTTTCCTTGGACGAAAGTTCAGTGTCGCGTCGATAAAGCCTGGACGAATCCCGTTGACTCATCTATTCCCAGGGCCACGAAGGTTGTGGTGAAGTCATCTCTGTTGGTTCCGCCGCCACCAAGTTCGTACCAGGTGACATAGTCGCGATCTTGTCGACCCCAGGATGCGGGAAGGACACTTGCCCGGAATGTACTAGGGGTCTTGAAGCGCTCTGCCACACCGGCGAACGCTACGGAATTGGATACGATGGCTCGTTTGCCCCATATGTTGCCATTCGGGAAAGAGCCGCAGTCAAACTACCTGCTGGGCTGAGTCCCGTAATAGGGGCAGTTGTACCTGACGCTGTCTTGACTGCATACGGCGCTACTGTTGAAAGAGCCAACATTAAGAAATCAGATACTGTGTTGCTATTTGGCCTTGGTGGGTTAGGCTTCAACGCGTTACAGATTGTACTCGGTATTGGGGCGAGGGTCATTGTAGTGGATAAACGACAAGAAGTGCTCGACGAGGCTGTTAAGTTTGGCATCAAGCGCGAAGATGTAGTTCCGCCCGGAACCAGTGCCACTGAGTTTGTCACGAACAACCAACTCGTTATCGATAAGACTTTGGACTTTGTTGGTGTTTCAGATACCTTTAGAGCGGCTATTGACTCTGGTAAGTTTGTCCAAGCGCCCTTGATCTAGACACTATGTCGTAGTGATATATCGAGGCTAACATGAACACCATAGTGAGAATAGGGGGAACTGTGGTGGTGGTCGGTCTTATAAACCCTGATATGTCATTCGATTCACGTCCCGCGATCCTAAAGGCAGTTAACGTTCTTTTCACCTTTGGAGGATCATACAAGAGTCTCGAGGCCTCTCTGGACCTCGTCGCAAAGAAGATCGTCAAACCACAGGTCGTAACTAGAAGCCTGAATGATCTCCCTCAAGCTTTAGAAGATTTGCATCATGGAAAGGTGAAAAGTAGAGTGGTTCTTGTACCTGAGATCTTGGCTTAATTGTTTATATTGATTGAGGGCGTTATAGGAGTATCAAAGAAGAAATAACAATTAGGTATCGAGCCTGAACTTAGTCTCTTGCGTTTCTTAGAGTTATCTGAACGATCATGTGCATGAATTGGCTACTTTATACATAATCACGGATGCCTACTCGATATAACGTCTTCTGTGTAGATATCATAGTTTAGTGGGGTAATCATCTTATCAAGTTAACCCACTTATGTATATCCTAATCTACTTTATGCAATCAAATAGTAGGACAGGAGATCTCTTACACAAAGCCAACCAATTATCCTCGGCATGAAATCTCTATGGAGTCTTCATCTACTGCTGAGGCTTTTGGTACGCTCGAACGTTACATAACGCACGATTACAACATCACTGCTTGGATTGCACTTCTTGGTGATGGAGTAAGCCAAAGGAATGCCGATATTTCCCCATACGCATCTCCTGCTCGAGCAACAACATCAGCTGGCTTGCCACTGGCCTATATAGATGTTGATGATTTAAAAATATCTGTCAAGGAAGATATTGCGTATGCAGCTAGGCTATTTGATGAAAACATCTCTACGGAATTACATGTATACCCCGGTGTGCCACGTGCATTTGAGGTATGTGCACCCAACATTGGGTCAATAAGGAATAGATCTCTATGTGTCCTTGTTCAAATATAGCTACGTTGAGATCTTTCACATTGATTTAGGGTGTAGCATCTCTAGCAGTTTAGTGTCCAGTCTGCTATATTTCTAGTCTGACAGCTAGTAATGTATCTTGCTGAAAACTTACCATGGCCTCCAATGTTTCAACCGCTGGGCCTGGATCTGATGGATTTTGTCACATAATTTCTATTGCGACTTTTGACCAGGCCTCTGTACCCTATTTTATTTCATTACATGAACAAATGTAAAGAAGATTCAATTATGGAGGTTTGATTAGGGAAGGGCTAGAGCTTAACTCTTCTTGATTTAAACATCGTGGTCATTTGCTAATGTTCATACTCACATACTAGACTAGTCGCAATTCAATGTTTGCGCTCCTCCAATCTCTTCACCAAATCCTTGGTTGAGTCCATTACTTTGTGCTCGGCCTCGCCTTTGTTATGGCGCTGCCATTGCCAGAGCTCACTTACCCTGTTTGGGTATAGCGCCTTGGCTGGGATTCTGTACTTAGCCTCACCTCCCACAGTTCCGAGATAGACAACTTGTACTATATACTGTTTTGATACCTGTCCCTGTTGGCGGCCGTCCCGGCCCGTGACAGTCTTGAGAAATGAGATCCCGTAGTATGTCTCGATTTTGAGGGTTAACCTTGCCACCGTGGTGGTATTTGTTGAATGCCAACTATTCGAGTGGATACATTGCCTTTTGTAGTCCCGCAAACTGGTCCCTAACACTTGCAGCAGTGGTTGTGGCAATGGACTGTTCGTCAACCTGTCCAAACGTGCTAAGCCCAAGTATTTCTTTCATTGCCTGAATTCGCAGAGTCCAAAACTCTCCCTGAATATCAATTTCATCGTAATTCTACCAGTCCAAGAGATCAGAGACGGTCAAAATAACGTAGATAGGGGCTACCATAGCATCTATCTGTGCAGGGGGGGCAATGGCACATTTTGAAAGCCCGCTGGCGTTCCATAGCTAGGAAAACTCCCCTCTCGGCGGCGCGTTGCTGCAGAATACTTTCAAACGTTGTGAACAAGCCAATCCGCGCTGTACCATACACCATGACACGCAGTAAGCCAGCTGACAAGCCGTTATACAGTTTAGCTACTCTTCGCTGAACGATGAGACCACGAATGAGCGACATTGAAGATGCTGCTGCTGCTGACTTTTCGTACTGCATGAGTTGCATGCGAACTTTCAAAGTGTCAATCAGCTGGATCACGACCGTCGCTACCATGCCTGCACCGCAACCGGAGATAAACGGGGCTAGTGCCAATAAAAGTACGTGTTCTCGCCATGCTTTCTCATAATCTTTGCTTTTTCCGGCATACGTCGGTTGCATTGTATAGCGTTTAGGGTGATGTTTACTTCAGGCCAAACGATCTCGCGATATGTCCTTGCAATAGTAGACGTTGATTTGGTTGTTGAGGATCCTGTAGACGTTAGAGACCGAAAGCAATCCTCATAAAACCTGATGGATTGGTGATACTTTTATTTTACAGAGCTGTGTAGAGTCCTAGAGCTTAATGGGAGCTATTTTGACTCATCTGGTAGTAGTATAAACTTTCTGCCGGTCGGCTCTGGCAGCACAAACGCCTCGGTAAGATCTATTTCGCCTCTTCTGCGGACACAAAAACCTCAATTCAGTACGTCGGGGCACTCTGTTTTGAAGCAACTTTTCAAACAGGTAGTTGTACATGTATATATATGTGTGTTTGTATTGAACATTTTTATCATACAAGCCCAAGTAGGTTGCCACAATATATGGGGATAGCACAAATTCAACTAAAAAGTTCTGCCCGTAAGCTCAGGCGAATGGAGAGCTGCAAGGCGCAATATGCTCGGGTCATTGGATTCCGTAGTGGATCCCCCAAAAAAGCCTGTCTCCCCTTTGCCAGTATCCAACGCTAGGACTGGTAGACAAGCTAGTTGGCTGTGGTTGATCGAGTAGTTCTTAGTGGAGATTGATGCCGTTACCAAGGCTTCAGTCATCAGTGCGGAAAGGGAAGACTGGAGCAGCTGAGCTGGGACGAATTTCGGCGCTAGTCTAGCTAAGATTGTTTGTAGCGACTTCAGGTGCGCCGCTATCACATATGACTCCCCATCGTCCCACGAAAATGATCTGAATATATCCAGAAGCACATGCATGGAAACTGCCTATATGTATTTTCTTAGCTGTTTTGTTATACAGAAACACTATAAGACTTACTATGTAGTGTATTGTGGGGGTAAAAGGCTGTACACTCCTAAGTTTGTGGAACACAGAGTTCAGTATCTCGACTATTTGTATAGAATGCTCTACGCAGGTTTTGTGTGAAGCCGAACCGATGCGCTCATTTCTTGGCCTACATGTAATGTCTTTTCTGCCTGGAAGAACTGTGTCTGATAGATGCCAATGGACTGAATTAGCTGCATAGTGGTAATGTAGCTGAGCTGCATAAACTCCCGTCCACCTTTTTGTCAGCTTTTCTTGAATTTTGCAGAATTCTTATTCCAAATGCTTATGCCATGTGGTCAGATCTTCCTCGATTCTGCAGATTTCGGTGAGCGTAGTACCATCGTGTTCTTCCTTTATGTTGATTGAATCGATCGCGACATTGGCCAATGAGGCAATGCGTCGCATAGATACTCCTAAAGTGGCCTCATCTGAGATTTCGGTGAAGTTCAAGGCCCCGAGTCTATCATAAGAGGAGACAGATGGCGTACGGTGAAAATTACCTTGGCTCTCGTGAGCTAGAGACACTGATGCTTTTGTTGTACATGTCCAGTTGTCTACCTCTAGTCTTTGCATCGGTTCAGGAGTAATGAGAGCAAGATTGTTGAATGAAGTTCCTTGTATCATGCTAACATGCGGTCAATTTCCACTACAGCGACAGCCGATTTCTGAGTACTTACCGTAACGCTGCGTTTGTAAACTCGATTGCAAGGCCGCCATTGCCGAGAGCAAATCCAAGATCACTGAGAATTACCAGACCAGCTATGGCCGACTTGCGGGGGGCGTATGAAGATTCAAAAGCCAGGCGCCGTATCGCCTTCGTTCGGAAATCTAGAGCAACGACTGATACCAGCATAATGAGACCCCATGGCAAGTATACAAAGTATCAAAAAGATCAAGCAGTTGCAACCTATTCGCTCGCCCAAGGCTTTGCCTGAGTGTAGTTTCCGGATTACTGGATTCAGTGGTTCGTAGGAGCTCCAGAAATGGCCCAGCAAGTACGAATAGAATGGCTTATCAATCTCTATAAGTCTGTTTTCTGACACATGAGCCTTACATATGTCCTGAATTCCATACGCCTGCGATTTGTCGAAGAAAGAATGGAGTCCTGTCGGCGTCTCAGAACTGCATAGACTTGTTTCCATCCATTCTGACGAGTTGATCATTCGTTCGAGTCGCATACGGGTTTTTAGATACTCCTTGTCTGTATCAGCAGACATGAACATGTCCAAAGTCAGGTCCAACTGTTCGGCTCGCCAGTCGTGGCCGTTCCTGGCCAAGCTCTCCTCTTCGACTTCCAGTTTTTCCCCCTGATACACGGCAGGTGTATTTTATGGCGCAAGTTTCATGATCGTGGATGCTTGTGGTTTCACAAGCGGTCTTCTCCTGCTTGGCGGATTGATGCTGTGTTGCTCCAGCATATTTTGAGGCATTGTGAGGTGTTTACTGCGTAAGGAAGCCACAAGGGGCTGCGAAAAGGGGCTGAACTATATCAGGCGACGGGCTACTTTCATATTCCAAGCTTTAACTCACAAATTTTGCCTGTATAGCTCCGGAAATTCGCATCTTTGGTGATGGTTAGTACACCACGCGCAGGAATGGGCTCCGTCCTGCAAAATGCACTGCCGCTGTTCAGCTGACCTCACCAATAAAGTAACAATTAGGCATAGTACAGACTCTTTTGCGGCGTGCCCGGCATAATGTGCATGCCAAAGTAGCCCTGCGGTATGTTCTCTTGTTTTTTTGTCCGTCAATATTTGGCGCACCTGAGTTGAATCGATCTGTCGTTACATCCATTTCAGAGGGTTATTAGATCTTGTGTTTTATAGGCTTCTTGGAAATATGAATTGAATGCCATAGAACAATCATTGTTACTGGAATTATTATTAGTTAATCGCAATATGGTGATGCAGTCATCTGTTGAAAGAGCGCTTGCCTAACTAGGGAAGAAACCCTCGGTTACTGCACGTTGCACCAATCATGAAAAAGATCAATCGTCATATATAAATAATGAATCGATTGTCAAAATCAAAGACACAGTTCAGCTCTGTTGCCGTGAAAGTACAGCCGAGGGGATGGCCACGACGTCGCATTCGCTACCACTTGCGTACTAACATACGGGTTCAAATACTAAGACCTATACCACATTTTACCTTCCGCTACTGTGCGCTGTACGCCGCCCATCTCTATGGAAAGTCCAAACATGACGGCACCCCGCAGGCTTTGGGATCACCCAAATCCACAAACCACATGGATGTGAAGATTTAAGCAAAGTCTGGAGGATGCCACCGGATTAAAATTCCCGGTACATAACATGGGAATTGTAAGCGTCTGGAGAGCATTGCTGACCATATGACAGGTGTATGAAGATTTACATAATTATTCTGTCACCCATCGATCGGACTTTTGGCGTTTCACCTTCAGTTTTCTGTCCTTGGTCTACGAAGGCCCTATTCCCTCGGTAGTCGTCACTGAGACGGCGCGTATAGATTCCATACCAGAGTGGTTTTCAGGTGTGCACTTGAATTGGGCCGAGAACGTACTATTTGCTGGCAATGAGGCTGGAAAGCCTGTGTACTCCTCTGGGAAAGAAGATGGAAAGATTGCAATTCTGGAAGTTAAGGAAGGAATGACCCAACAAGTCCGACCCGTTACATGGCAGGAATTGCGGACCCGAGTTGGAAGACTTTCGCAGGCAATGCGAGCGCGAGGGGTTCATAAAGGAGACCGAATTGCTGTCGTTGCAAACAACTCTGTAGACACGTTAACAGTTTTCCTGGCCACCACAAGCATCGGTGGTATCTTTAGCTCTATTAGTACTGACGTCGGAGCGCGAGGCATCCTGGAGCGTCTCTCCCAGATTCGACCCAAATTTGTTTTCGTAGACGACCGAGCCTTGTACAACCGCAAGGAGATCGACATCCGCCCTGTAATGCAACAGATATGTCAAGGACTTCGCGAATTTACAGAGTTTCAGGGTGTAGTTGCCCTAGTGCGTTTCCCCAACAGGCCGGCCGATATCACAGCCATCGCTAAATCCTACAAACTGGCGGATTTTCTTTCTGTCGCAACTTCGGATACTCTTATCTTCGAGCGATGTCGATTCTCAGATCCTTTCCTAATTGTATATTCGTCTGGAACAACTGGAAAGCCGAAATGCATCGTCCACTGCATTGGTGGCGTTCTTCTAAATGGATGCAAGGAGAGCCGACTTCATCGAAGTATTGACCACACTTCCGTCCATCTCCAGTATACCACCACTGGATGGATAATGTATCTTGTTTCAGTATTAAGCCTTGTCCTTGGGGCTAGGATAGTCATGTATGATGGTAGCCCCTTCGTGCCCGATCCAGCCAATCTCATCCGCTTGGCAAGCAGTACTGGAGTCACACATTTAGGCATAAGCCCCCGATTCTTGCAAACATTGCGCGAGAACAACATCTCACCACGAAAGGTTGCCGATCTGAGCCGCTTACAGACTCTTTCGAGTACAGGTATGGTACTGTCCGATTCCCTGTTCGAATGGGTGTATGATGAAGCCTTTCCGAGCACAATTCATCTAGACAACTCCTCCGGAAGAACAGACTTGGCGGGCGCATTCACTGCGGGAAATCCTCTCCTACCCTTGTATGTAGGGGGGTGTCAAAGCAAAGCTCTAGGTCTAGTTGTGGAGGTGTTTGAAGCTGGGCAAAATACGGATGGCAGTATACAAAAGGGAAATTCTCTCCCGATTGGACAGGCTGGTGAGCTTGTGTGTACGGCTACTTTTCCCAGTATGCCGGTAAACTTTTGGGGTAATGGTGGACCTCGTCGCTACTTCGAGAGCTACTTCAGTCAATTCGACAATGTATGGACACATGGCGATTTCGTAATGGTCCACCCAACCACGAAGCAGATCTTCTTTCTCGGTAGAGCGGATGGTGTTCTTAACCCAAGTGGCATCCGCTTTGGTAGTGCAGAGATATACGGAGTCATCGAGGCCAGTTTTGCTGATCAAATTGCCGACTGCGTTTGCGTTGGACAAAAGCGCGTTCAGGACACGGACGAAAAGGTTGTTTTATTCTTGCTACTGAGACCTGGACATATCTTTACCAATAAGCTGGTGGATGAGATCAAGAGCGCGATCCGCAGACAACTGAGTCCACGGCATGTCCCACAGTTTGTATTTGAAACACCAGAGATACCAGTAAGTGCATTGGATAGAGCAAAATTTCAAAGCGAGCTTACCCGTCCCATAGGTGACATTCAACGGAAAAAAGGTCGAACTCCCAGTGAAGCAGATCGTTTCTGGAAACTCCATTACACCATCTCGCGCCATTGCAAATTCCAAGTGTCTTGATTACTATTATCAATTCTCCAAGGATGACGTATTACACGCTGCATCTCAACCTTCAGCCAAATTGTAGTGAGATGCGCTCAAAATTTCAGCGGAGACGAGCATACCGGTACCGAAGCACGGTATTGTATATGAAAAATAAAATGTGTTCTTCTACCCTTTCCTTGGTAACGATTACCGAAATTCTAGATAATATGAACTCATTAGAACACATTATGAACCAAGCTCAAGAACTTGGCTATGATAATGTCGAATTATGGAATAATATCTATTGGCTTTATTTCTCAGTCCATGGTTAAGTAATTCCCATAATGGTGATGTTGTATCATCTACTTCATCAACTCATCGTGGATGGTAAACCTAGATGGGGCCAAGTCAAGGAGCTTAATTACATCGACCTTTATCCCTTCTTTCTATACCTTTCATTCCGCGGTATACAGTATCGTGGCCACGATAAAACGTCGTAGGATGAAAATAAGATATCGAATAGACTTTCGGTTCGCAATCGGTGCGTAGTGAAGGTACTGATAGGTGGCAACTGGCAACAATATTTTTGGGGGTAAGAGCTGATTGAATTTTTCCATCTACGATAGCTATTTGGTAAATAGATATATGGTCTGAAAGATATGACGTCCAGCATTCTACACCACAGTATACATCATATGACTTGAAGAGATCAGCGAACCGACCAAGGACATTTTTGGGTCATCAATTAGGACGATTGAACTCCATTTCAATCGCGTTTTGTTCCTCAGAACCAGTGGAACACATAACTTGCTAACATACAACCCTCCATCACAACCTTTCTGTACCCAGTCCTGAGGGACTGGCATTCTCGAGCGGTATTTTGGATCAGCCAATCCTCATCTTTTAGCCGCTTCAGATCACCTTTTACACGATCAACATGACTAAAGTCAGACTGTGTAGCACATCATGTGGTAATTGTTGGAGCTGTGAAAATGGAAGACCAATATCCTGCAAGAAAACTCAGCTGATTACAATTATCAAAGACGTTGAATAGCGCAGGCACTATTTATCCGATCAAAGTTATCGTTCAGCCAAGCCAATAGAATCACATCCCTTTGTGACATTGTCACACACCATATTGAAAGTTAGTCTCAACTTCGGAACTTCCGGGAAGCGAATGGCGTGCCAGCTACGACCTTTGTATAACTCAGCTTATTTTCCCCGTATTTAGTCACAATTTATAGCTCATCTGCATGGAAACAAATCAGTCCCGCTGCAGTTGCCGAGGCTACTCGGTGTTTGTAGTACGCAGCTTTGGTTCCTCGGCAGTTCTTGCAATGCCAACCACAACGTCATGCTTTACAGCATTTAAACCAACATGGGAACCCTTATAGTATTCTCATCATACAAACGGAAAGGAAATGAGCTATAGTCTTTGTTCAATCGCAATAAGCGGTGCAATCGTAGATGACGAGCCTCCGTTACGATGAGCTACCAGAATCTGCGGTTATCAGTGGGTCGCGACTTGACGCTATCAATGGGTGGAACTAGGATTGGATACCATAACCTAAAGAGACCGGAGATAAGGCGTTTACCGACAAACCACCATCGGTTGCGGAGTAACATTGCCCGCGACCGTCATGTTCGGATCATGGAGGTTGGACCACGGGATGGCCTCCAGAACATCAAACAGTTGGTACCCCAGGAAGTCAAGACCGAGTTGATCCAGAGTCTCGCAGAAACTGGGTTGCAGGAAATCGAGGCAACATCGTTCGTTTCGCCAAAATGAGTGCCTCAGCTCGCAGATGGACGGGCCGTACTTCAAGACGCGCTACAATTTGCGAAGTCGAGAAAGTTGTCGGAACCCTACCTCCGTTTTCCAGTTCTCGCGCCAAACATGAAAGGCTTGGAAAATGAAGGACTGCCGGCGCCGATGAGATTGTGGTTTTTGCATCCGTCACCAAAGCCTTCAGCAGAGCAAATCAAAATTGTACGGTAGACGAGGCTGTCTCTCAGGCCAGAGTTGTAATCAAGGAAGCACTTGCCTCTGGTATCAAAGTCAGAAGGTAAGCACATACACATACTCCTTAAACCCTTATTGAAGAACGGAGATCGATCATGCATTTAGCAATGACAGTATGACAGCGCAATTTCCTGTGTTTTCCCGGACCCATTCTCGGGGCCTACGGCCCGTAAAGATGTCCTGGAAGTAGTGCAACAATTTCTTGAAATGGGATGCTACGAAGTCGGACTGGGAGATATGCTTGGTGTTGGAACGCCTAAGGACACGCAAAGTTTGCTTGAAGTCCTTCTCCAGGAGGTTCCTGCACATAGACTTGCTGGGCATTTTCATGACACATATGGACAGGCTGTAGCGAATTCGTACAAATCCTATGAGATGGGCATTCGGACCTTTGACAGCAGTGTTGCTGGCTTGGGTGGTTGTCCCTACGCTCCTGGAGCTCGAGGCAACGTTGTTACGGAGGACCTTATTTACACCTTCGAAAAAGCCGGTGTGAAGGCTGGAGTGGATCTTGAAAAATTGGTCGATGTTGGGCAGTGGATTTCCAAACGCCTCGGCATTCCGTATGGAAGCAGAGCTGGTGCAGCAATCGCTCCTAAGAGGACGCAGACTCAACGCTCTCCGCCACGAAAACATTCTCCTACAGAGTCGAGCGTGCCAAGATCGTGGCAGGTGGTGGAGGATACAAGAGAGTACAGGATTCCTCGTGCAGGAACAGCGATGAAGATCACCCTAACTCGCCCCAAAAATGGCAACGCGATGACAAGCACCATGCTCACAAGCCTAAAGAAATTCCTCAAGAACCTGCACAAAGATCCGACAGTATACCATGTTGCACTTGAGTCGGAGGGTAAGTATTTTTGCACAGGTATGGATCTGAGTGGAGGCACCAACACAACAGATATGACAGGGGAATCAAATTACTACGGAGAAGTGGCTGCTTTCTTTGAGGCTATTGATCATGTACCACAAACCACCATCGCATTAGTTGACGGCCCGTGTTTTGGAGGTGGTGTTGGCTTAACTTTCGCATGTGATGTGCGCATCGTTTCCCCGAAAGTCAGGTGGACGTTGAGTGAAGTAAAAATTGGGGTCAGTCCAGCTGTTATCTCCAAGTTCATCGTACATGAATGGGGAGCCTGAGTGGCGCGGGAAGGAATGCTGTCGGGTAGGGAAATCAAGCCGGAGGAGCTCTGGCGCGTAGGCGCAATCCATACTGTCACCGCAGAAAACGAGACTTCGGACGACGCACTCAATAAGTATCTGAACCAGCTTGCAAAGTGTGTGCCCCGGTCAGCAGCGGTCAACAAAAAGCTGACAAGATATGCGTGGGTCGCACCGGAGACTGAGTCGCACACTTCCCTCGTCAAAAAAGCATTCCATTGTATGGTGGCTGATGGTGGAGAAGGACAACACGGAATGGAGCAATTTCGTCTCAAGAATAAGGATATAGACTGGCAGAAGTTCTGGAATGGGTCAAGCCCATTCAAATATCCAATATACGGCAATCCAGGCGATGGTTCAAGGTAGATATCTCTTGACCAATCTCAAGGACATGAGTCTGGGAATGGAAGGGTTTTGATTCTCTTTCTGATTACTTCATCATAGTTTTCAAGCTTTAAATCAGACTTGTGTTTGTAAGACTGCTTCTACTAGTATGTTCAGTTACGAAAAAATGAAAAAGCATAGTCCTTCTCGACACGACTCCAGCCTCTCTAAGTTTTTCTATCTCGTCAAGTACTGGAGGTGGAGTTCTCAAACTGGCGGCCGTCTGGCTGAACTTCACTGCTGGCCCAATAACCTTAATGCGACCAGTTTTCACGGCCTCCGTTTCCATCTCAGCAATCATGTCTCGTGCCGCAGCTTGAGGATGCACAAACGTACTCTCCATGTTGTTGATTGGAGCAAAAGGCAGTGATTTATCCTGGAAAAGCTTCGTCCATTCACTCGTCGTCTTCGTCTGAAAGGCGGTATTGAACATTGGCGTGAGCAGTTGGCGATTTTCGACTCGCTTTGGGTTTGTCGCAAAACGCTCGTCCTTGATAAGCGCTTCAAGGTCCAAAAGATGGCATAGGCTAACGAATTGCGCATCGTTTGTTGCGCCACACACCAGGTATTGGTCTTTGGTTTTGAAGGCATCGTAAGGAACAATACTGGGATGAGCGCAGCCCCATCGTTGTGCTTCGATGCCAAGATTCAACCAGGCAAGGCCGACATTGGTGAGCAAGCTAATTTGCGTCTCAAACAGGGACGCATCGACTCTCTGGCCTTCGCCTCTCTTTTTACGAGCATGCAATGCGGCGAGAATAGCGCCATGCAAATACTAAAGTCCGGTGGACATGTCAACCATGCCAATTCCAGGTCGTACTGGCGGTCCGTTGTGCTCGCCCGTAACGTACAGAAGACCAGCTTCTGCGCCAGCTATAGGATCGTATCCTCCTCTATGTGCAAATGGACCAGAATTTACATATCCTAACGTCTCGTGTCAGGTCTCACAGATGTTGCTTTAGTCCTGAAGATGACATGTGAGAAGAAATATTCACCTGAAATGCTTGCATATATGAGTCGAGGGTTCACAGCTTTCAATTTGTCATACACAAGACCTAAACACTCCATAGTTCCCGGTTTGAAGTTTTCCCCACTATATGGGTCCTCAATTAGTCGAACGCCATACGATATCCCAAGCAGTTATCATATGTCGCTGCCATGGATCAGAGTCACTCACAGTACATCTGTTTGTTTTGCGAGCTCGAAAAGAATTTTCTTCCCTTTATGATTCTTAAGATTGAGAGTCATTGGCTTTTTATTGCGATTTACCGATGTAAAGTAGTTCGACATGGTTTGAGCAGCCGATTGCCACGTTGGCCCTTCGCCCTTCACGGTCCAATGCCTGGTGTCATCCTACCCAATTCGGTCATTCTTTGCAAGGCTGAAATCGAAATCCACGCATGTATTAGATAATAGTCTTACCCCTTTACCAATTGTTTCGACCTTAATCACCTCCGCGCCGTAGTCTGCTAGGATTTGCGTACAAAACGGGGCCTAATGACAACAATTAGCTTAATGCGACGGCCTCATTAGCCATTATTAAAACGCACCGCAAGTACTCTTGAGAGATCCAGAACCTTCAGACCTTGAAGTGCACCAGCGTTGTCTGTAGTATTTGGATACCGAGTGGAAGTTGTGCGAGCAAAACACCGATGTTGGGAACTACCACTGGTCCATTCTGCCAATACTTTAGTTAATCCAGTTACTTTCCTCTTGGAGTTGTATATCGTGGGCAACATTGTAAAGGGAAGATACTTGGGCTAAACTGCATGAAAATCGCGTTGTGGTTCACCAAAATATGATTTTGGAGGGCCATACTTGCATTCGGACCTCGGAAACGATCAAACCTAAGGGCTGTGGTATGATGAGATCATGAGAATAGTATATTGAATTACCTCGGTATATGTCAAGATGTGGAAAACCGTGTGCGCTTGTGAGGAATCGTACCGACCGATCACAGATGTTCTCTACCAACCCCGCACATGGGACTTCAATTTTACGTTCGAGGGCAGTAAAAAGACACGAACAACTCGATCTAATCTTATATTCCCATTTGCTTTGTTATATCAAAGAATTCTAACGAGCATCTGGTGCAAATGCTTTGCTACAAGGACTTTATCCGTCCATACTTGACAATATTACTAATGATCCATTGCTAGTCTCCTCTGAATCCAAGAAAAGCGGTGCTCCGCCAGAAACAATCAATAACTTCTAGGTAGCCCCAATACTCGCTGACTGATATAATTCCTAATCATTTCACCACTGATCGGAGCGATCCTCGATAATGTGGCTTCCCTCAGATAACGTTCGACGTGATACTCCTTTGCGTAGCCCATGCCGCCGTGAGACAATACTGCTCGTTCAGCAGCTTTGAAAGCAGCCTCTGAAGCTAAGAATTTTCCAGAATTAGCTTGTTCGCCACTTTCGTAGCCTTGGTCGTACAAGCGTCCTGCAAGATAGAGCATTAGTCTTGCAGCTTCCAGATTCATCCAGCATTCTGCGAGTGGGCGTTGAATTCCCTGGTATTTACCAATGGGATTACCAAAAACCACACGATCTTTTGCATAGTTTGACGCCCGACGAATAGCAGCGAATCCAATGCCTAATACTTCCGCGCCTACTAGCACCCGCTCGGCACTCAGTCCATGCATTATCATCTTGAAACCATCGCCTTCCTGTCCAATTAGATCCTCGGCTGGAACTTCCCAGTCTTCGAAGAAAAGAGTATTGCTATCGACCGCATTGCGCCCCATTTTTGGAATCTTCGTAACTTCTACTGCATTCCGATCGAGATCAGTGTAGAACAGGGAGAGACCTTGGCTAGGTTTTGAACATTCTTCAAGTGGTGTTCTGCGTACGAGTATCAAAATCTTTTCCGCAACTTGAGCTGTAGAAATCCAGATTTTTGAGCCTTCCAAGATGTAATGATCGTCGTTCTTCTTTGCGGTAGACTGCAGCTGTAAATTATTCAGTCCTGTATTAGGCTCTGTGACACGAAAGCACGCTCGCTCTTTGCCTTGAATGAGTGGTACTAGCCATCGTTTTTTCTGCTCTACCGTGCCGAACTTCGCGACTGGCTCCAGTCCGAAAATGTTCATATGGACAGACGAGGCGCCATTCAGCTATAGTCTGCAGCATGATGGCCGCTTCCGAGATGCCAAGGCCTGATCCTCCGTACTCTTCTGGAAGACAAATGCCAAGCCAGCCGTCTGATGCTAGATCGTTGTAGATTTCCCACGGGAACAGCTGGTTGTTATCTCTTTCCATCCAGTACTCATCAGGGTACTTTGAGCATATCTTAGCGATGGCCGATCGGACTTCTTATTGCGCACTCGTCCATTCGGGCAGTCCTGTCGGCAGATATTCAGCACCTTGCGCGTGAATCTGCCATTTGGTGGATGTTTGCAGATGGTGCCATGGTCGGCAAAAGCTGCGATTCGTACTGATCGAGTAATCAACCCGCAAGACGACGTTGTAGCCGCACGAAGAAGCCGTTGATGCATATTGAAGGCGAGTTCACGGCAAATAAGATACGTGTGAAAACTTGATGGCTATGTTTTGACCGAACAACTTTGGCGATCGTCGAGCAGGATGTACTCCCTTGATAATGTAAATAATTATTCACGAAACAGGTACCACGATCATAGAGCGGGTTTAACTGATTATTCGTAGAGTTATTGAGACCGTTGCAGCTCTTACATACTTTGCAGTAAGGTGACTATTGAAAATGCCTTGAAATGTTCTGCGCCACTCATGAGTGCCGGCTTCAAGTCAATGAAGTCCAAAAGATCGGACAAAAGATCTGAACTGGATAGCAACGAGCTCACGTGGCCAATGCAGAAGATATAGAGTAAATATAGAATTTGGGGAAAGCCTAGGACTCACGCTGGTTAGCTCAATTTTGTGAAGACAAAGCAAGCGGAACGTTGAGTCGGTTTCTTGAGCTGGACGGCTTACTTACCTTGCGCCCTGCCTCAAGCTCGGTTGCTGAGCCTGATCCCATCCGCTCCGTGCCTACGCTGCACAACAAACAAGGTTCAGAGAAGCATTATTGAAAACTGCAAACCGAGTACCCCTATGCAGAGTTTCATAGTTTTGGTCTCTCGTGTCGCGAGATCCCTGAAGCACACGATAGTGCCTGAATGTACGTAAAGTTCATTATCACCGTCAAGCAACGCCGGAAAGTGCAAAGCGTGCCTAACAGATTGCTCTAATGCCCTGCAAAGAACAAGGTTTAGAATTCTTATGGCAATCTCAACGTAGCGTACCGATTTCCATTGGTTTCACAAGCAGTGGTGCCCATACACTCCCTTCGTGCACCACTATGGTCCCGCCCTGCTCCGCCCACGCCGATTACTACATGAACAACAAACTCTTGTCACCACCTGTCGCTATCACCGCCACCATGAGACTCTCGCACGCCACAGTTGCTGTCATGACCTCTTCCTAGCCATGGCCTTGTATCCTGTCTCCGGTACTCAAGCCGCTTCTCCCAAGGCCTCCTTCGACTAAGCTACTCTGTAAAATAAACACCTAGACCACATTGAGTCCAAATGTTTTCGGTATCACCTCTGAACGTTGCCTGATCGAACTGAAACATACAAAGTGAATTCTGATCCAATTTTACCGTCCAAAAAACGCCGCAGCTAACACGAGAAGTCACACTGCAGTCTTGAGAAATCAAAAGATACGCGTTACGTAAAAGAGAAGAAAAGGAAAAATAAGAAATGTTGATTAACTCAAACTTCACAACGCTCAACCTGCGAGACTTTGGACTCCCTTTTCAACCTGGAGCGAAATGCATTCCAAAATTCCTTCCCCCAGGCAAACTTACTACGAACAATGTTCTTTAATTTTCTAAGAGATTGTATACTCTTGCGCTTTGTCCTTACTATTAGGGCGTCTTCGTCGAAGATCTGATGCCACTGGGCTTTTAAGACCGTCTCTCTGATCGAGAGGTGCCTCTTGAATTCTATGCCGTGGTCATAGCGGAAGGACTCGAGGTCCGGGGTGCGCAAGGCCAGCGGCATGTATTTGTAGGCTGAAGGGCCGGCTGACAGAGGTGCGTTGTCATCGGGTTGGAGCTGGAGCGGGGTGGGAATGTGTGGGCGTTTAAGATGGGGTTTATTGGGTACATCAACTTCGGATTGGTAGTTGAAGTAGTCATGGTGACTAGTGAATGATTGCGATAACACGTGATCTTCTGCCTCGGTGCTGCTAATTGGTGCAACGCAGGTTCCATACGCACTATGTCCATGTGGAATACGAGCAACGATCGGAAACGTGTTTCTGCGGGCCTGGCCCACCTTTGGTTTCAGTCGTGGCATGCTTCCAAAAACAACGCGCGCCAGATTCAAATGTTTCTTGCATCAGAAAGATGCGTCAGAGGGAGATATTTGAAGTTTATAGTTGGTAGGGTTGAAGGCTGGCTCGGAACCTCTGTTACAGCACATGGTTATCAAGGAAAGTTCTAGGACATTGTTTTTTCACAAGGTACTATTCAGTTTATTTAGGTATCCAAAGGTGATTCCAGATTGCATGAGAATTACTCAGGCATTATGCCTGCGCAAGAGATTAGCTGCCACGCTTTCACTCGATGCGTCCAATCGTTCCGACGTATACCCACTCGCCATCTTCTTGTATTTGCCACGGACTTGCAAATGTCTGAATCTTCTCGCCGGACTCTGATCCCATATCGAGATACCATTGTCCGGCGATCGCATCCCACCTCCAGTCTTCCCAAGCACCCAGCCTTTCTGCAGCGTCATTTGGCATCAAGTTTGTTCCAGCCATGCTTACATGTTCCCAGACGCCTCTTGCTTCGTTCAGTTTCCATTGGGACAGGTAGATATACGCGTTTTGAGTAGGTAGGAATGTGTAAAACTCGTGCCATGCGGGATCCCAAGTCCAGGAGTAGGCTGACAACGTTTGTTGGGGGGTGCGCTGGTTGGCGGAAGCCGTGGAACCGATCATGTTGCGAAGAATGCGAATTGTACTCGAAAGGTCTTCAAAATCGAGAGCGGTCGGCAATGGCGCATCCCAGGATGTTGGTGGTGGATGCCATTTACCTATCGCACGAAGCTGTCTTTCTAATCTTAGAGTCTCTTCGAAAAGGCTCTCCAAATGGGTTTTGGTCTCCTCATCAGCAGCTGAAAGGCTACTGACTATTGCCAATTCACCACTCAGTGCTAGGTCATGTGGTATATTCTGGAAGACATTTTGACGCTTGCTTTCTACATCCTTGATGAATTTTCGTACGATAGTCTGAAGGATAAGGACCGCCTCTGTCAGCTCTGGCCCATGAGTTTTGTCGCTTGTCGACGTCATCAGGCTCTATGTGATGTTTTATGACGGAAACTACCACAGCGTTCTTATTAGATGCCAGCGGTAACTCAGTGCAGGATACGTGCTATTGGAGTAGTATTGGGCGATTTGTTGCACACAACAGTGTTTACAACGCTTGGTGCATGCAGCCGACTTTCAGCCATTGTTGCCACCATCTGGACTCACCTCCCGATATAGACGTTTCGAGTATGGACCTTCGAACTTAAAATAACTCAAAAACCCTTGACTTCAGTCGTTCCTTGAAGAGTGTTTCACATGGGCAGTATTGGTTTACAAAGAATTAATGTTCAGCGCGTCTCAGATGTTACACAGATCTTCGGACGAATGATTGCGTCATAACCTTATCGCCGCAGCACGTGGCACTCCACCAATCACTTACTACATATAAAACGTATAGCATAAAGCATGGGTACTATAGCATGTACACAGCGTGCAATGCGGGGACTCTTCGGCCGGCTCAAGTCATGGGACCACGACATTCAACAGGACGACCAAAGTTTTTCCTGCTCCTCTCAATACAATCCAGTAACGTTTCAGGCGTAGTATTGTGTTGTACGTACCCTCCGAAGGATCATACCACGCACCTAATCCGGCATCTGTAAACGCCTTACTTGGCAATGAACAGCGTAAATCAGCACTACTGTATATACTAAGCGAATTAGGGTAGGTTTTACGTGGAGTTGGATGCCGCTCTCCCGTTACCGAGATGTAGCGCTTACATTTCAAGGCACCAATAATTGCACCTTGTAGGGTAGATACGCAGGTCCGCTGGGTAAAAGGCACTCAAGTTCCTCTTCCCAGCAACTTTTAGCTTTCATCCCGCCTCTTGAACCTGGTCCTGGAACAAGCGTACTAACATACGTTAATTTGTCACGCGATTTCTTGATATCATACCAGCTCGCCATGAATGCATACACTTTCCCACCACTAAACAGTACATCTTCTTCTATATCATGGAATACATGCCTACCACAGTTTGGCTTGCCCCCAAGCCTAGAATGCGCAACATTCTCGGTCCCCATTGATTGGGACACGCCCTATGGCGAACACTTTGATCTTGGGCTCGTCAGGCTACCCGCAGCGCCTTCAAATACAACATCCAAGATTGGTTCCGTATTCATCAACCCAGGAGGCCCCGGTTCACCAGCATCATCGCTAGTATCATTAATAGCGATAAGCGCATTCCCAGGCCAGACCCCCCAACTTCGGCCTGCATTTGATATCATCGGGTTGGATCCACGCGGTACTGGTATGAGCCATCAGATAAAGTGCGACCCAGCAATTTACGCAGAAGTTGTATCGCTATTTCCTCAGACAGAAGAGGAGTATGCTGCACTTGCCAACAAAAACAAGAGGTTGGGAGAATCATGCCGTGAGTTGACGGGACCACTGCTTGAACACGTCGATACCATCAGCGCAGCAAAAGACCATGAAGCTGTTCGCATAGCACTGGGCAACGAGCCGATAAATTTTGTTGGATTGTCCTATGGATCTCAACTGGCTGCACAGTACATCAGTTTGTTTCCCGACAACGTCCGCACTCTTGTCCTTGATGCCATATCACAGCACTCGCAATCTGAAGCGGCAGATGTCTTCATCGGCGCGTCGTCTTACGAGCTTGTCCTACAACACTTCTTCGCGTGGGCAGCTACTGGTGAAAACTCGCCGCTTCGCGGGCAGGACGTGAAAGCACTGTGGCTAGATCTACTTGCCAACGCAAAGGAAACACCGATACCCGCACCATCCTGCGACGGCATCACTTGCCGAGCAGCTGTAAGCGACGAGGACATTCTCTTCAATGCGCAAGGCCACCTGAACTTCCCTGGGGCAGGAATAGGCCTGGGTGCGTCCTGGGAGCTTCTCGCGTCGGCACTGTTCAATGCTTCGCGCGGCGATGCAACTGCCCTGTCAACATCATCTGCAAGCCCCGAGGTCTTTTCCCGGCTCGCGATTCAATGCCTGGACTGGGATCGCTCGGATTCGCTTGCAGAAGTCAAGGCCAAGATGGAAATGGCTAATGCGTATTTTGATCTTAACCGCGGCGCAAATCACAGATGGGCTGCGCAACACGCGTGTATCGGATGGCCTGTTCCAGTGAAGAATCCACCTCAGAAATTAGATGTCAAGTCGAATACCACTGTGCTCATGGTGACGAGCACGGGAGACGCTTCTACAGGAATTCCATGGGCGGTGGGTATGTTGGAGGAGATTAAAAACTCAGTGTTGGTAGTCCGCCAGGGTGACGGGCACGGAAGCTTACCACTGGGCGGAGAAGCGGGCGACATAATCGTCGAGTACCTGATCACGGGCAAAGCTCCGGCACAAAGATTCTTGACGACGAAATCATGAAGGCAGCAAAGTAGATGGAATGGATACACATTAACGCTATGAACAAGTCAATCTAGTTCATCGTTCATGACGACCATTGAGAACCTTGCAGACAACATCTGACAGAACAAGACGTGAGAAAAAGGGCGTCCGTAAACGAAGCCCAAAGTGTGATTGAAAAGAGGGGTAAAAAGAATTGTAAGTCAGGGTATATACAGCTGCTCTGCCCTAGTATGTTCCCAAAAGGAGTCCTTCACTTGCACGTTTACAACAGAAGAGCGGCGACGGCACCGAGACCAGCAAGAGCGCTGCCGACCTTGATGCTGGAAGCAGCACCAGTGAACTCAGGGATGGGAGCGCCAGTGCCGGTAGGAGCAGCGGTACCAGAGACGGCAGGAGGAGCACCGCTGATGACGGTGGAAGCCTCGGGAACCAGGGGAGTGCTGGTGGGGTAGACAGCAACAGTGGTTGGGTAGTAGGCAGAGCCACTGGAGGGAGCAACAGGAGTGTGGCCCAGGGTCCTGGAAGGTGATTAGCAAGTGTTTTTGAAGTGCTGTTGGTATGATATGAGACTTACTTGGTGACAGTGACGGTGACCGGAGCGGCGCAAGTCTCGCTAGCAGCCGGGTACTGAGCAGCAACAGCTGCGACGAGAGAAGCGGCGATGATGGTGAAACGCATTTTGCTTATTGTTCTTGTTCTTGGTTGTAGAAGAAATGGGTATAGAACGAAAAAGAGTAGTTGAACGTGAGAGAGATGCGTTGCTGTAAAGAACGTGGGTAGTTGTTTCAAAAGAGTGACTAACAGTAGTGAATACTATTGATTATGTGGATGTTTGGATGGTAAGAAGAAGCAAAGGTATCTATAGGCGAGGCGTAGAGGCGCTCTTATACATGCCGCATATTAACAGTAGATGAAGGAGACCAGTGGATTGATGTATATGGGGCGCACCAGCCTTGCTTGGGATCGACTATGCCGGTTCATTTCCTCCGTGTCGGGGTATGGATTGGATAGAGTCTCATTGCACGAGCCACGGAGCGCAGGGTCAAAGGGTCGAAAGCTGGGGTGATAACGGAGATTAGGACGACGATCCATGAGCGACAGCAGCAATGGTTGGATGGTGTATTTTCTCAGCGGTGGGACTATGGTGGAGTGAAATGCGCATTGCTCCATCTATGCTTGTAGTCATGCGTGCTTTGGGGCGTTCTTCTTGCCATCAGTTTCGAAGTTACACAATGCCATGTGCAGTGCATAGGTAGTATTGGCCCTTGTTAAACACGAGCAGTGTTTCAAAACATGGTGCAATCATAACCAGCAACCAAGACAGCCGCTTGTGGATAGATTAACCCCTCATCTTGATAGGAGCGGCACGAGATTATCACGCGCTTCTTGGCCGCCATCTGAGACGTTGGTGGGGCCCTGGCGCTAGCCGGATTCGTTCTAACGCATTCTGGAGAGATATGAAGGTACCGTTCGATTGCGTACACTGTCACAGTATAAGACAACACCCAAGCAGCCGACTGCCGACGTCATGTCCGGCAATGAGCGGTAGTGCAGCAAATTCCCGTGAGATAGTCAGGAGTTTGCCGGAGAGGCAGCAGGTCAAAAATTTTGCGCAATGTAGAAAAATATTTGTATTCGCTAAACTTGGCGTGGTTATAGTCCTGGGGTATTGCTCTACTAATAGCATCCTCAGCCATGTCGCCGTTGCGCCGACCCACTTCATGCGAGTGTCTAAGTACACCTGCAACGCCAAAGGTCGCCCTGAATCCCACAGCCGACTCCGCCTCACTTCACTCTTCCCATGATCGGGTCAGGAGGTGCATCTTCCGCAATAGGCTCTGCAGCCTTTGCTTTGACTGCATTCAACATGCCCCTATCGAAATCATCTCTGGTCCTCAACACAGCTTCGACCCAACTAATACTGACATCCCGGTAGGCAGACTTGAACTGCACATAAACAAACTGAACCTGGGACTTGTCGCATTCAAGCAAGTTGAGAAATTCTTGCACAGCACGCCATCGCTGCATGATGTCTGCGCCCTGCTCTCCGTACGACCTGAAAAACTCAAACGCAGTGAGGAGATCGTCTTTCATCTTGGCTCCGAATTGGTCCGTTCTCTTGAACTTTGCACCCTTGTTGCGTACGGCTCCCAGATACTGTACGAGCAGCTCATCGGCAAGGGAATCGATAATCAGGTCACGCAGCGAGCGGTGAAGCTGTCCCTCGAATTCAGCGAGATAGTCTCTGAAGGTCAAGATGATGGATGCCATGTCTGTTCTCGAATACCACTCCGGCGTAAAGAATTTGGTAAAGATGGGCTTGAAGTCCGTCAGGAAGATTAGCTCGCAAAAGGTTTGTATACAGTGCGACGAAATGTCAATGTACCCGTTCTTGACTTCGTCAATATTCTTGGACAACTTGTCAATCATGTAATCTTGCGAAACAATGGGCGTTACTTCGCGCTCAAAGACGCTCAAGAATGAAGCACGGCCACTGCCGTCTAGGTCGTCATCAATGCATATAATTTGGTCGTTTGCGAGTGCAACGAGCCATTCTTGGAAGACGGGCACTCCATCCCCATCAAGCGTAGGATTGGCACCGACATATTTGGCCTTCTCTTCGTCTATGAGCTGAGTCCATATGCGCTGGCGTGAAATCAAAGCGCGGAACATGGCGTCTACCACACCGTCGGCCACGTCAGGACGCTGACTGCTCGCTGCGACGCCAATGTTTTGGCTGAACAGCGTCCAAACATCTCCCAGCGATCTCGTCTGGTAAATGCCATCGGGATTGATCTCATATGCAGATCTGTCCTGATCCAGGAAGCTTTTCCTATCTTGGCTGTTGATGCGCTCCATATATTGGTCCACTGCCTGGATGATGACTGAGCGATATGTGCGAATCAGTTCGGCACTACGGTTATCAATAACGTGCGGTTGCAGCTGCTCTTCCGAGAAACCGAGCTTCTGCATTTTGGTGTAGTACTTGTCCACCCAGTTGATAACACCAAGCAGGTACTGTGGTCCCAAGGCCTCGTCATCAGCGAAACTCATCAGGAAGTCGTGCATCTGGGTGTGGTAAATGTTGGTATATGTCTCAAAAATCTTCCACTTCTTGGGCATCAGGTTAACCATGCCTAGCTTCACGGTGTTGAGGTTGTTGAAGTACCACTTGAAGTACTTTTCAATCTTCTCGGGGTCCTCCATGAACTTTTGTCTCACTTCGTCCATTTGTGCCTTGCAAACATATTCAATCGACGTGATGAACTTCTCTTTGTATCCACGGAGCTCCTTGGGACCTTGAGCAATGGATTTGAAGCGCGAAGCAAGGTCTCCAAATTCTCTCTGAGCATCCTGCAAAGCCTTGATCTTCTTGTCCGTCTTCTCCTCCTCCTCAACGACGACAGCCAGGCGCACTACCATGCCATCGTTGCCAGCCTGGACCAGCTCAATCAAGTTTATGCAAGCCTCGCCAACATGCCTGTCAAACCACTCGACGACGTCGTCCAATCGCGTAAAGAGATCTTGTACTGTGACACCGCTTTCAAGGGTGAGGTTGTCGATGAGCTCCGTGGAGCTGTCACTGTTCTTGATCTGCCCTATAGCCTCGTCACGGATGTCGCGCAGCTGCGTCAAGCCGTAGTGTACCTGCAGTAGGTTGGGTTGGTTGGCAGGATCTTGGGCATCTTCTTCCAACAGCATCTCGAGGTTCTCCAGGCGCTGTGCGAAGCTCTCGATATCGGTTCGCATCTTCTCGACCGACTCAAAGTTCTTGTGTGTCTGGGCTACCAGGTTGATGTGGGGAAAGTCCTGGATCATGTTCTGGGCCTCTGCACACAGCTTGTCAATCTTCATCATCTCCTCCTTGATCAGGTTGACGGTCCGCTGTCCCTCAGTAATGCTACTCATGCCCGATTGAGTCAGCTCCAGCTGCTCCTTGAGGCCATGGCGCAGTTGACCATCGACAGCTGCCTTCTTGCGGGTGAATTCGGCCTTGAGGGCAGGGATCTTGTCGAGGTCCTCTGGATGTCGTAGCAGCTCAGCGAGCTTGACTGTCGCGGACTCGACATCGCCCATGGTGCTGAGCGGTGGTGGATTGGGGCAGGCGAGCGCCCATGCCCATGATAGGGTGAAAGTCGCGGGCGGTGCGGGCGGACGGCAGACAGCGGGTGGTGGTTGCGGTCTTGGTGTATGGTGTGTGTAGTTACATGTGTGTCGTGTTCGTGTTGGGGTTCGGAGGTCCAAGGCGTGTGAATGGACGGCTGCAGTCAAGACCTAGCGCGTCCGAGCCCAAGTTTCCATTCCCCCCAGTGCCCCCCTCCCCGCGCCACCACCACGTTGTCGACAAACTATTCCACCCACACTAGAAGCCATGGCTGACGAAGAGTTGAACCTCTACGACGAAATCGAAATCGAGGACTGTTTCTATGATGAGACACTGCAAATCTATCACCACCCATGTCCCTGTGGCGACCGTTTTGAGATTTCCATTTTCGACATGCGAGACGGCGAGGATATTGCGCGTTGCCCCAGCTGCAGCCTGATGATTAGGATTATATTCGACCCCGTATGTGCCGGGCTTGTTCCTTGTGAGTCATGACATTGCTGACATTGCGCAGTCCGACCTTCCCCCGGAAAACGACGACGCACCGCAGAGTGTTGCCATTGCCGCCTAGAGTTGCATCTTCTCGATCTACCAATCACCCGCGGAGACTTTTACCTTTTTTTCAGGCCTTGTCCTTGCAGGTATTGTGGTGTTACATTTCACGGCGTTTGGAACAACATGCGCGCATAACAATTTTGGACTTGTCGCTACTTGGCTATGGACTACCCATTCCCAGGATGTGCGGCCTGAGCGGCGTGCTACAGCAAATGTCAGTGACCATTTTCTGCTCCATCAGCGCGGAACCTCGTCATCAACGCTGACATCAACACCCAGCTCCTTCCTTAGAATCTCAGTCAGCGAGGTGCCGTCTCGCAAATATACCCAGTCTCCAATACCGCATCCTTCCTTTTCGCCCATACCTTCTTGGGACACGACCCAGTCGAAACGCTTTGGTCCAGATATTGGGGAGCTGAGCCAGATTTGCTTGTTTGGGGGTTGCTTGTTCAAGACAAATGTGTTGCTCTGAGATGTAACTTCGAGGACGCCAGACTGTTTATAGACAAAAGCAAATTAGCAATCAATTCAATGCCGATGCATGTGCATAAGGCCGACATACTGAGTAATCCACCTCAATGGCTGGGTCGTTCTCTTGTGCTTCCTCAAGCCTCTGCTGCAGCTCGCCCAGGTAATGGTCTGCGCGCTCGTGGAACTCTTGCATTGAGATGTCGGTCGCTTTGACTGGCGTTTCTTGGGAGGGAAGCTCTGGTGGCTTTGGGTCTTCGGAGTCCGGCATGATGCTCCGCAGGCTGGCGGATGCATGCAAGGGACGGAAGCATGTTGTGTTGGTAGTAGCTGGAGCTCTGCCGGCGATGACGCGACCAACAGGCAATTGGTCGCGAAGCGGCGAGCGCAGGGCACGACGAGCGACCAAGCTGGCGAAGCGAGTGGCTGCTGGTCTCATGATGAGATGTGAATTGGATTGTGCACAAGAAAGACGAGTATAAGAACAGTAATAGTACAGTATAGTGTACAATGCTTCGTGGTGATGGAGCAAGCGGCAGGAGCATGGACCCCCTCCTCGTCCTGCTCGCCTACGTATGTGGTGTGCTACTATGTGCGAACGTCCCCGCATCTGCAGCAGGCGGGGACTCTCACCAACCAACTGCCACGACTCACCGCCGACCGCATCCCATCACCCACCACCCGTCGCTCGTCGCCATCATGATCAACGCCGTCCTGGTCTTCAACAATGCGGGACAGCCGCGGCTAACAAAATTCTACACCCAGCTGGTATGAGCACGTGACCTTTACCGTCACCTCCACCACCATCTGCCTGCTTGTGCGCCGCTAAACCAACAACGCGTAGGAGACCAGCGTCCAGCAACGCCTCATCTCCGAAATCTTCACCCTCGTCGCCAATCGTCCTAATTCAGCATGCAACTTCTTGCCGTGAGCCGCTCTCCATGCCTCCTTTTTGCCCTCCACAACCTGAGCTAATCCCGCTCCAGCCTTCCTCCGCTCCTCGCCAGCAGCTCCAAATCCTCGACTCCTAGCACCCCGCACAACGACACGCCCTCGCTCGTGACCTACCGCCACTACGCGACCTTGTACTTTATCGTCATTTCCACTTCTACTGAGTCGCCCCTCGCCCTTCTTGACCTTATTCAAGTCTTCGTACAGGCACTTGATGGCCTCTTTGAGAATGTATGCGAACTGGACCTCATCTTTAATTTCGAGACACTGCACGCCACACTGGGCGAAATGATTGTCGGTGGCGTGGTCGTCGAGACACAGCTTGACAAGGTCATACACGCAGTCAGAGCCCAAGGCAGAGTCGCCAAAAGACCAGTAAATGAAGGAAAGAATCTAGGCGGTGGGGGCGGCGGTGGCGTTATGGGCGGTCTCACATTCGCTGGGCTGGGGCGGGGAGATGGTATTTGGGCTGGACGTTGAAGACCGGGAAACTAGACCCTTTCCAATGCCTACTTTCAACTATCCAAACAGCGACACCTGCCACCTTGGTATCATGCCGAGACTACTTCTTATCGGATACGACTACAAGCCCGACTCGGCGTTCAAGCCAAGCGTGCCTGAACACGTTTACACCCTTTGGTGTTGCCTTTTGTCCCTGAGGATTTGCCTCTTCGTCGGGGAAACGAGGTTCCGCGCTATTTACAATGTACCCCGAGTTTTGTTTCGACCATATCAGTGCAATGCTTCGACAGTGCAGTTGCATTGTTTCCGGCGGATTAATCTGGGAGTTTCTCCGATCCGTCAGAAACCTGGTAAACGTCAGGGGTTCGGTAGCAATCGAAACCCAAGCGCTTATAATCTTTGCCGAGCTAAGTTTAATTGAAACAAGCTTCGGTCTAATAAAGGATGGTGCCTTCACATCTAAAAACCCCTTCATATAATATGCCTTGCGGCAGAGAAAAAATGGAGAAGAATCGCTCCAATGAATGGCTAGATGTGTCTATTTCCGCTCGTCTTGATTGCTGGACTGTTTCACAGCGATACTGGGCATGCGAAACAAGCTTCCCTTGGCGCACGTACCTTCCTATTCACAACAATGTCTATAAGAGCCGCACTACTTCCACTACCCTATGAATCACCAAACTATACCCATCACTTCTTCAATCCAACACCATGCGTTTCCTCTCTATCGTTTCCAGCCTTTTGTCCGTAGCCGCAGCCGCGACTATCGGTAAGCGTGCTGTCACTCCTGGTACCCTCTCCCAGGTTACCAGCGGTTTTAGCGCACCTACCAAGGCAGGCTTCTTCATCTATGTTCCCAAGAAGCTTGCTGCCTCGCCAGGTCTCATTGTTGCCATCCATTACTGCGGTGGTTCAGCCCAGGCATACTACAACGGTAGCCCCTACAAGACCCTGTCTGAGCAGTATGGTTTCGTCGTCGTCTACCCAAGCTCGCCTCAATCATGCTGGGATGTGAGCAGCAAGAAGACACTCACCCATAACGGCGGTGGAGACTCCAACTCCATTGCCAACATGGCCCAGTGGGCTATTAAGCAGTACAAGGTGGACACTAACAAGGTCTTTGTTACTGGCTCCAGCAGTGGTGCTATGATGACGGTACGCCATTACCCTTTGCGCTTCTTAAAACCCCTGTTACAGTACTAACGTCAACACAGAATGTTATGGCTGCAGCCTACCCCGAGCTCTTCAAAGCTGCCATTGTTTACAACGGTGTGCCCGCCGGTTGCTTCGCGTCCCCATCTGGTGCCGTTGCTGCCTGGAACAGCGACTGTGCTCAGGGCAAGGTCATCAAGACACCTGCTGCGTGGGCCAAGATTGCGACCGACATGGACCCTGGCTACTCCGGCCCTCGCCCCAAGATGCAAATCTACCACGGCAACATCGATACCACCCTCCGCCCCCAGAACTACCCCGAGACGATGAAGCAGTGGGCCGGTGTCTTTGGCTACAACTATGACAAGCCCCAGAGCGTTCAGCAGAACACCCCTCAGAGCGCTTTCACCAAGACCGTCTGGGGCCCCAACGTTCAGGGTATCCTTGCCGCCAACATCGGACACACTGTCCCTATCCGGGGTGCCGACGACATGAAGTTCTTTGGCTTTGCCTAAGAATGTGCGTACTTGCCGCAATGTTCACTGTGAACAATTCTTCAGGAGGAGATTGAACAGGTTTTTGGGTCGCATCACCATGGGCCAGTGATTTGAGGCCTGCTCCCAAGGAAGCTTCGACTGTAAATATTTATCGTTTCTCTGAATAGTTCATTGTTACGCATTGGATGCGGACAATGGCTATTCAACCCCGTACATAAACTGAAATGTCAACTCGATGTTGCAAAATCACTTTTTTTCCGATTTCACAGTGATCCTGAATCTTTTTTTTACTGACTGAAACCTGATATTCATATCAAATATCCTATGATCCTTTAGTTTCTCTAACAAAGGCCCAACTAAGCACCATCCAAACTATCAAAACTAAACTTACTCCCAAGCCTCAGTCCCCCAACATCCTCATCTGCCGAAAACCTACTACTACCCCCATACCTACCCATATTATGATACCCCACCCGCATCGACCCGCCACTCCCCCTATTCTCCCTCCCTCGATTCCTAGCATAATACTCATCGACATCCCTCCTTGAACTCATACGGCGATACGCACTGTCATCACGTCGGCTCCGCGGCCACGTCTCATACACATCATCGTCACTACTGGAATCAAACACAGAAGCTAGTGCTTCCCGCGTTGCGTTTTTTACCTCTGAGATTTGCACGCGGTGGGCGTGCGGGAGGCGCTGGATTTGGTAGGGGGTTGGGGGGAAGGGGGGTGGCGGGTAGGAGGATGAGGACAAGGAAGAAGAAGAAGAGAAGGAGGGGGTGGAGGTGTAGGAGGAGGAAGAAGAAGAAGGAAAAGAAGAAGAGGAAGGAGGTGGCAGGATGTGTTTTTTAGCCAAGTGCCATTCTAGATGGGATTTTTCTTGTTGTCGTTTTAGGTACTTGTATTCGTCGCTGGGAAGGCCGTGGGATGGGGGTGAGGTGGGGTAGTAGGCTGGGGTGTTGTAAGAGGGCATTGTGGTTTTGTCTGTGTGGTGTAGATGTGACGATAATTCGACTTTTTTCGTCTGGTAAGTTTGTCTTGTCTGCTCTGACTTTCTGTCAGCCTGGGTGACTTTCTGGTATGATTGGAGATCAGATGGAGATAATTTAAATATCAGTAAGAGGACTCGGTGGGCGTGGTTGAGGCGAGACATTGTTTTTGCACTGTTTATCGTGTGTGTGTGTGTGTGTGTGGATAATGTGAGGATGGGGGGGATTTACAGTGTATATGGATGGAGATGGCAGAAGTTTATACAGGCTTGGTTGGGTGGGAGACTTTGAACAGAAACATGATGAGTGAAGTGTTTGAATTCAGACGTTTTTGTGACAACTTGTGAGATTACATTCATCGCGCGGGTATTCTGTTCAGTCTAGATAACTAACATGCATACATAATTTTAAGACCAACTAATTACGCCTTCTTAATCCCATAATGCCTAAACACGCATTTTAGGTACTTCTTCAGTCCCATTGCCCTTACTCCCCTCCTTACCAGTGGTCGTGCATCATCATTCAGATCTGTCTTTGCTTCCTCATGCACAGGGGCTATGGGTAGCAAATCCTGCGAGGGTAAAGGATAATATGGGAAATCGTCGTCGTGGATAGTTTGCAACCTAGTTTTAACTTCTGGCCCAAAAATTGGCTCTTGATCAGTTACGGACTGATGCTGTCTACCATGTGTCTGGGTACTTTCCCATTGTGTATGTGACTCGGGCTCGGCATAGAGATGGAAATCGTCTGGTAGAATATCGCTCATCCTTGCATCTGCAGATCGCCAAGTTCCTCGGTCATTTTCTGGAGTACTACCTGTTGAAGTGGATAGTGAATTTACTGAGGTATCTGATGTATTGACAGTTGCCAAGGCACCTCTACAGTAAAAAGGTTGAAGTATGGGAGAATCTGGGCGGAAGCTTTCTTCCGAGGGGGTAGGACTGAGTAGGAATGTTTGCTTGACTGGAGATTGGGTTCCTGTGATGCTAGCGAAGACTCGTTTGGAAAGACGCAGGAGGTTGGACGGAAATTCCCGAAGATCAATGTTCGATGTCATTTTCAGTCTATTCAGGGAGATATTGTGGGAAGAAATGGATGTGGTAATTACGGTGGAAACGTAGCACTGAAATTGCTTGCGAAATTGGTGTTGCGTCAGATATCAAGATCATAAGCGAACAAATTCAGAATTTTGTTGTTGGATCAATATCACCTAATATAAGCCAAAAAGTGCAACTGTTCAAAGACACTGTTAACAAGTGAACGTTGTGGGAACAAAGGGTTGAACAAGATATGCGAACTGTGCAGTACAGCAACAAAGAGACGCTCCGTGCTCTACAAAAGAAATCGTATGTCAGAACACACAAGTCGACACACATTGTACTTGATGTTCACAATTGAGAACAAATAATGTAGTGTATATGGTAAAATACTAGGTCTGGTAGCCTATGGTGTTGATCGTATGTGGAATAATTAGTCATGCTGACGAGTTGTGCCAATTGTATTGGTGTTGTGCAGAACAACATTCTTCTTTACTAACAGACTGGGTTTCGACCAAGCGTATGAATTTCTCTAACCACTGCAAAGTGAGGGGAAAAAAAAGTCAGCGACAGAAAGTATTTCAATCCAAGAATTGCATACTGGAACCGAACTACAAATAACATCACGTGATATCAAAAGTATGGGCGGCTAGTAAGCCCCCCAAAAATGCCGCAGAATGCGGTGAGAGTATTTTTGGGCTTATCAAAGCGGTCAGTTTACGGGACGATCGAAGGAATCTGGTTCAAGATAAGGCGTCGGAGTACCGCAATGTGGTGATTAGTGTTAAAAGACGAGCGATAGGGCGCGCTGTAGTGAACGAGCGAAGCTGTGGTTGAGGCCGTTGATTGGACAATGATTTTCTACGCACAACTGAAGTGCGTTCCTTGGCGTTACTGCCTTGACTAAAGAAGTAGTCGCTCTAGCATCTTTCGTAAACCAGAGAATAGAATATGGTGTATACTATAGCTTTACTGAGTTGCGTACTGAATTTTTCAAAGGCCCGAAGTTTGGAACCGTCCTGTATTGGGGTGCGTCCCAGGTCCAAGGGATTGACATAACTCTCTGTCAAGTACAAGTTCCGTTTACTCTCGAATCGGCCCATTGGACGGAATTCTGACATCACATGACCCCTCTATAGTAATACCATTGATTTACGGTACTATCAATTGATAAGCGTCCAAACCATGACAAAGACTATAATAGACTGCGGTTCGGAATATAATATAATCGACATGCAAAGTCGTCTACTTAGTGCTGCGCAAAAGAATCGTGTCTATAGATGTAGACATTGGAAACTCGATCGAAATGTCATAGGCAGGAAACCACGCCTCTGTAAATAACGCCGTGTATGTCAAACTCCATTTTGGGTAGCCAGAAGCATCAAGCAGTGATGCATAGGCTGCGGTGAATTACATGAGAAAATCGAAGCTCCGGTGCGAGGAATCAACGCCGGCTTTTAAGCCCAGCCCTTGCGGCTGTGGACCGTCGCTCTGGCTTGGACTCGTCCTCGCTTTCAGAGGCACCACCGTCATCCATACCGTCGCTCATGGGGTCTGACATATCCTCGCCCTCGTCATCGTCCGTCTCTTCGGCCTCATCATCAATGAGATCGTCATCCGAGCCTTCGCTATCCTCGTCTGAAACATCATCCATTTCCATATTCAAGCCCATTTCGTCCGAAGAACTGTCCTCGTCGTCTTCCATTTCTGCGCGCAATCTCTTTGGCGTCGCAGTGGCACCCTCAACCGACTCGTCGTCGGAGACATAGTCATCCTGGCCTTCAACGTAAATGAGGGCCTCGTCAGCATCGTCATTGGCGGCTTGGTTGCGTTTCCTTAGGTCGAGTTGGGCCTGAAGCATGTCCAGGCGGCCCTTTAGCGACATGAGAGGCATCAGACCGCTCGAGCGCTCCTTGAGTACTTTGTTGAGTGCGGTGAGTTGCTTGACGATTTGCGGCTGCGATGCCAGATATCCACCGTGGGCGGCGCTGTGTAAAATTAGAGTCAGCGTGCGTGTCTTATGTGCAGTCGGCATGTGGAAGCTTACAGTGACCATTGCACCCAGGCCATCAACATGCCTGCGCGGCCGGGGCTCCGATGCAGGCGCTCGGCCAGTCTCTGCAACAGTGTTCCTACGAGGGACGATGGCAGCCGTTCTACAGTGGCATATACGGATTCTACATCGACAACCTGCAGACAGGAATCGAGAAGCTCCTTGTCGTTTGTGCGCAACGCCTGGGTTAGGACGGTGCCGAGAGAGTTTGCATTGGGCGGCGCAAGCGGGCGGTCTTTTCTCGCAGCTACGGTGCGCTCTGGGTTTGGTTCGAAAGCATCCTCGACGCTGATGATGCGCGACTCTTGTACAGGCTCGGGAGCCTCTGCACGCAAGCGGTCACCGAAAGTAACATCTTCATTGTCCTCATCTGCAGCGGCATTGGGAGCGGGGGTGTCTTGGTCGACGCTGGTGTGTGCGGAGTGGCCGTGCGCATCATCGGAATCGTCATCGCTCTGCTCGTCGGCGCTGCTGATTTCAATGACGTCCGCATCTGCCATGTGGGCATCAGCAGGCCCTTGGATGGCCGCCGTAGCGTCGTCGACCTTTTCAGCGCGCGAATTCTTGAGGCCGGTGGTTTTGGCTGTGGGCTTGGCTGTGCTGCCGCCAGCTAGCGCCTTGAGACCATTCTGGCGGGCTGTGACAGAGGCATGCGGCTGGGCCAACTTTGCCTTCTTCGCGGGCGGGGCGCGGTCGCGCGAGCGGGGAGCTGAGAGGGCGGCGGGCATTGTGTGAGAAGCCCTTGAGGAGTGAACAGTCGGGGTCGATGGGGAATGGGCAGCGAGGAAGACGGGAGGTCGATGAGGCCGTGGTGCTGTCAGGCTGTAGCAGCACGCGCAGAGATGCAAGTGGTCGCAAAAAATTTGGAAAGAGCGGATTAGCCACCCCTGCACGCACGGGCCACCGAGACAGGGATCATGGTACGGTGAAGAGCTGGCCCACGGGTGCTTGATGGCAACGCTCCACGGCGCGGGCAGCAGCAGCACCAAGTGTCGCAGCAACTGTCGCCGTCTCCGCCGCCGCAGCAGAGGGCGGGCAGAGGGGTGATGCAGCAGTGTGCACACGCAGCGGGCGATGCAGCGGGCGCGGGGCGGGTTGGTGGCAGGCAGAGGCTTTGAGGCTTTGGGGCAGAGAGGCAGAGGGTGGTGGTGCAATGGCCGGCAAGGACACGTACCCCGTCCAGGTTAGTGGCAGGTCAGGGGCTCCAGCAGGGCTTGGCTCGGAGATGGAAGGGCCGGGCTACTTAACCCCAATGCCTCTCCTCTCGCGTCTGTCTTCGACGTTCTTGCGTCCATTGTCCTGATCTGCCTCCAATCACTACGCGCCTGCTCCCCATCACCCTAACCTTACTCGCACCCCGCCACACTCGCAACCCCTCGCCCAGGCTCGCCCACGCTTCCCGCTCCCACTTGACCACCACCACGACCACCACCACACACTTTCTGTAATACTTGCGACTTTTAATAATTCCTACCTCCACCCCCCGGCCGGCCTGCACCTGCACCTGCACCGCGCTAGTCCTCACCGGCCGTCCGAGCACCCAGCCCGCCGTCACCATCCCTGCGCATCCTCCATCGCCAGCCATTGTGGTGTTGGATTTGGTTGTGCCTGTGCCTGCGCCTGCTGCTCCCCTCCCGCGCTCGTCTTTGCCGCAGATTCAAAAGTCCGCCGCCGCTCGCCTTCACCTCGACCCTTCCGCCTCGCGCCCCACCCCAGACGCGTCGGCCTTCGCAAAGGCTCATTGGTCGCTGCATAACGTCCGGCTTAGCTCCGACAGCCACGGCTCTTCATCATCTCGCCGCCGCCACTTGGTACGTAGTCACGTGCGTTTCAGCCTCCCCAACATATATGCTTGTCGTGCTGCCCCTCCGTTGTTGCTCGCGTTGCTCCCCACGCTAGTCTCACATCCCCGCCCCACCTCTGCTGCTACACACGCGCCGATATTGCACACGACACTGCACCCACTACATCCCTCGCATATACTGTACTCTACCATCCTGCCATCATTCTGCCACCCCATCACTCCCTGGTTACGGGTCTAGTGCGTAGTCGCGCACGCGCATGCAATGGCTGTCGCTAACAGCCCCAGATTGGCAACGCCTCCAAGCAGCCCTGCTTCCCTGTCAGCCGTGCGCAAATCCGACTTTCCCTTTCATGGCCCTATGGCAGTAATGACCTCGCCTGTTGTCGACAAAACTTCCTTGGACCTGAAGGTGAGCGCTTTTGCGCCGGCAGACGCCATGGCAGTCGACACCGAGACAAACGGGTAAGTCGCCCTTTGCGCGTCCTTGCGCTTGCCTCCCTCATCTTGCGCAACGTTCATTAATACCTGGCAGAGTGCACGACGTCCTCTTTGACGACCCACAAACCAATGGCAAAGTCGCCGACGACCCGGCCCAACCGAAACCAACCCTAAACGGCAACCATGCAGCCCCCGACACGTCAGCGCCTGCCGACGAGTCTGCCATCGAGTCTACCATCGAACCCACGACCAACGTATCATCTGGAATCGATGGCATCGCACAGTATCTACCGGACAGCCAGCAAGATATCAACTCACTATTTGGTGACTCGGACATTGGTGCGACTGTGACAAACGCTGTTGAGGCGCCTACATCGGACGTGCGCGACGAGCCCGCGCCAGCTCCGCAACCGCCTACAGACACCCAGACCACAAGCGACAGCACACAGCAAGTACCCGAGACGCAGATTTCGCCCAAGCAAGAGGAGCCTGCTCCAGAAAGCATGGACACTTCTGCCGACGCACCCGAGTCCACCCTTGCTGAGTCTTCTGGCGCGCCGACAAAACCAATGGATGACTTGAAAATCCACACTAGTGCGGATGACGCTACTACGCTTGTCACATCAACGCAATCGCCAGCGATCGTAGACCGCGAGATGGAAGATGCGCCATTGTCCGGCAAAGTCCGCCCGCGTGAAGACGATGACGATGATGTTCCTGACGCAAAGCGCACAAAGACCGATGACGAAACGGTCCCCCAAACCGAAGTCAAGCCATCCGCACTGCCAAGCCAGCCCGAGCAGACCAACGGCAACAGCGCTACCCCGGGCCCAGCATCGGAATCTGCGCAAGAGGCTTCTGGCGTCCACAAGGCAGTCGATTGGGAGGAATGGCCAACCACGCCTTTGACCGAAGCCCAGAGCAAATTCTTGCTTGAGCGGATACGGAATACTAAAAAGATCAAGGTGTCACTAGCGTTCAAGGATCCTGTGGACCCCGTAGCACTCAACATTCCAACCTACTATGACGTTGTCAAGCATCCTATGGATTTGACTACCATGGAGGCCAAGTTGAAGGAGAAAAAGTACAAGTATGTAAGGGACTTTATGGCAGATCTTGATCAGATGATTACCAACAGCGAGCTATTCAACAATAAACAGCACCCGGTCACGCAGGCCGGATACAATCTGCGAGCCTATTTCCTCAAGGGCATGGGTAAGATGCCTCGGGGCGCTGCTGCTGAAGAGCCGCCCAAGCCAGCAAAGGCCAAGAAGCCGTCGGTCAACACTGCGCAAAAGGCCAGGCGCGAGTCGCGCGTTGCACCGCCCAACGTCAAGTCTCCCGCTGTCCCCACGCCAGCTGCTACATCACCACAGGCTGCTTGGCCACTGCAACAAGATGGCACTCCGCTGATTCGTCGTGATTCATCTACTACAGATGGCCGACCAAAGCGCGAGATCCACAGACCCTCCAAAGACTTGCCCTATTCGAATGCTAAGCCGAGAAGGAAGAAGTTCCAGCAGGAGCTCAAATTCTGCGAATCTGTGATCACCGAGCTTATGAAGCCAAAGTACAGCACTCTTACTTACCCCTTTACCTCTCCGGTAGATCCTGTCGCTCTCAACATTCCTTCATATCTCAAAATCATCAAGAAGCCCATGGACTTTGGCACCATTGAGAAGAATCTCAAGAACGGTGTCTACCAGAGTGCAAAGGACTTCTATGCCGATGCCCAGCTCGTGTTCCAAAACTGCTACAAGTTCAACCCCGAGGGTGACGCCGTCAACCAGATGGGCCACAAGCTCGAGGAGCTCTTTGAGAGTCTGTGGAAGGAAAAGGCAGACTGGCTCGCCCAGCATGCTCCTCCTCCTGAGCATTCTCCAAGCGATCTCTACTCTGATGAGGATGACGACGAGGATGAGGAGGATGAGGAGATAGACCAAGCTCAAGCGCAAGCTCAAGCTCAGTTTATTGCTATCCAGCAGCAAATCGCAGCCCTGAATGCGACTGCCCAGCAGCTCCTGCAACAGCAAACGGGCGCCAAGCGTGCCTCGCCCAAGCTACCTGGCAAGAAGAAGAAGGGCGCTGGGCAATCTGCGAAGAGGAAGAGCCTGCCTCTGGCGGTGCCACCTCCGGCCAAGCCCATCAAGAGCGCGCCCGTCAAGAAGGCAAAGGCGCCTGCACCTCTCAGCTTTGCTCAGAAGCAGGAGATTTCCGAAAGTATTAGCACTCTTGGAGATGCTGAGATGCATCGAGCAGTTCAGATTATCCGAAATGGATGCCCGCACCTTGCCAGTGTCAATGACGACGAGATGGAGCTTGACATGGATGAAATCAATGACGACACGCTTAGGGAGCTGTTGAAGTTCATCAAATCTCTGCGCGGTCCGAAAGGAGGTGCGGTAGCCGATGACGATTTCGAGCCACCAAGACCCGTGTCGAAGCAGACGGCAAGCCGGCCCAAGAAGAACAAGCCCATGGGCAAGTCAGAGCAGGAAGACAATATGCGCAAGATCCAGGAGAAGTTGCAGTCGTTCCAGGGTGGTGCATCGGGATCCAGCCAGTCTCCACCTGGTAAGTTGTCAGTGCTTGATCAAAGCAATCATCCACTAACCTCTGCAGTGCACGATGCATCCAGCGACGACGATGAGTCGAGCGGCTCTGAAAGCGAAGAAGAGTAAACCTCTTCGGCACACCCTCTTGTTTCCGCGTGACTTGCTCGCCTGCCATGCTCTGCCGTACCCCCTGCTCTGCCCTGCGTGTTCGATGATTGGTCCAGCTTCATCCCTTCTCTTCCCTGTATGAATGAACAGCCTTGAGCTTCTTGGTGCGGTCGATCAGGTATCGCCATGGATTACCAAGGGCTGAAGCGGAATGTTAGTGCGTGCTTTAATATCTGCACGTCCTCATTCACTCACACATTGCACGTCCCCCTTCTCATACCCACCATACACAACGTTTGTATAGTATTCTCTTCGCGACCAGATCCCCCCCTAGCGGTACCTTGATGATGGTACCCATGCCGACAATGGATTACGAGTGACGACGAGGTTTGTCTTTTGCGCTGGTCCATCTAGTTGAGGACATGGGCTGCTCGCTGTACCCAGCATTTGGTGTGGTGTGGTTGTAAAGACGGAGGACATTTCGAGTAGTCTTTTTGCTGTATGAATACGCTGCGCGAGGTTGGCAGCCAAAACAAAATGCAGATAATTTGTCCAATGCGTCTTTCGCCGTGTTCATTCGTGTGTGATGTTGTGTTCTTCTTCAGCCAGGCCTTTGTCTTGTTGAGTACTCGAAACTGGGTCGTACCCAAGGACAGGGTCGACAGGCCGAGGATAGGGGAGAGATGCCGACGTGTGTTGAGGGTGAGTAAGTGACCCAGAGAAAGGTGGTGTGTAGCAATCGTCGTTTATTGCTTTACTGCTCGTGGTTGGATGCGTTGGATGCCTGCATGAGCGTCTCGTCAGGGGGCGAAAGAGTAGTAGCCGGTGGTTGATCAGGCAAGCCAGTACCGAGGGGTTACGAGGTGGTGCAAAGACCAGTCCTCCAGGACGGTGGTGTGTAGCGCTGTGCATGAGGAGTGCATCCTAAGAGAGTAGGGGAACTAGATATTGTACGCTTTGTCGCTGGCTCCGCATGTGCGTCGTGTAAGCGTCGTGTGACGGCAGCGGACAAGCGGCGCCAGGGAGAGGGACAGAGGGCTCGACAGTCGGGGGGCAACGCATGCAGAAAACAAAGTTAAGTTAGGAGAAGCAGTGGCGATAGCTTAGAGAACACAAGAAAAGCACACGCTGCAATGTAGTGAGCGAGAGAGGGAGAAAGAGAGAGTGTTGTCCGGGAATAGTGGCTGTTCTGTCTCTGCAAGCGGAGGTGGAGGGTGGGGAATCAGCGGGTGCCCTGACTTGAGTGTGTGCGTGTGAGTGCTGAGCGGTCGGCGCGCTAGCTGTGCCTTTCGCGAACTGCCCATGTCTCGCCCAAAACTTCGAGCTCCATAGACACGCCAAACACGACGCGCCCAGCTACATCCACCCTTCACGCCACCCCCTCACCCTCCGTCCAACCTACACCGGCCCTCGTTTCAGCATACCCGTTTCACCTACACCATAATTGAGTCTGCGACTGCCAAAATGACAACGGTGCCGGTCAGCGAAGTTAAGAGCACACATGATCGCTCCTCAAGAACCGCGGCGCATTCCCATATCAAAGGCCTAGGCCTGTCAAGTGATGGGCGTGCGACAACCTCAGCCGGAGGCTTCATCGGCCAGGCTGCAGCTCGAGAGGTACTTGATGGCCCGCTGTTTACTCAATCTTGGCGCTAACCCGCTCAGGCATGCGGTCTGGTCGTCGACCTTGTCAAGGCAAAGAAGATGTCTGGTAGAGCTGTGCTGCTCGCAGGTGGACCGGGAACGGGCAAGACTGCACTGGCATTGGCCGTAAGCCAGGAACTCGGCACAAAGGTCCCCTTCTGCCCTATTGTCGGCAGTGAGATCTACTCTGCGGAGGTCAAGAAGACAGAGGCGCTCATGGAGAACTTCAGAAGGGCCATCGGTGCGCATCTTTTTTCCTCTTCCTCCGGCCACACTAACACTCAGCCACAGGTCTGCGCGTCAAGGAAACAAAGGAAGTCTACGAAGGTGAAGTGACCGAGCTCACCCCAGAGGAAGCTGAGAATCCACTCGGAGGCTACGGCCGCACCATCTCCCATCTCCTCATTACGCTCAAGTCTGCCAAGGGCACAAAGAAGCTGCGACTCGATCCATCCATTTACGAGGCTATACAGAAGGAGCGCGTGCGCTTGGGCGATGTCATCTACATTGAAGCCAACACGGGCGCTGTGAAGCGCGTTGGCCGATCAGACGCTTACGCGACCGAGTTCGATCTCGAAGCAGAGGAGTATGTGCCTATACCAAAGGGCGACGTGCACAAGAAGAAGGAGATTGTCCAAGACGTTACCCTACACGACTTGGACGTTGCAAATGCACGGCCGCAGGGAGGTCAGGACATTATGAGCATGATGGGTCAGCTCATGAAGCCAAAGAAGACGGAGATTACAGAGAAGCTGCGGTTAGAGATCAACAAAGTTGTCAACAGGTACATCGACCAGGGAATCGCCGACCTAGTACCCGGTGTTCTCTTCATTGATGAGGTTCACATGCTTGACCTCGAGGCTTTCACCTTTCTCAACCGCGCGCTTGAGTCGCCCCTCTCGCCCCTCGTTATTCTTGCTTCAAACCGTGGCAACACGCACATTCGCGGCGGCACAAACCTGCCTCCTTCGGCCCATGGCATCCCAACGGATTTACTTGCACGACTCCTCATCATTCCCACACATCCGTACAGTCCGGCAGAAATCAGCTCCATCATCACTACGCGCGTTACGACGGAGAAGCTCAACATCTCGCCGGCAGCAAAGGACAAGGTCAGCTCATTGGGCGAGAAAATCAGTCTGCGGTATGCGCTGCAATTGCTAGCGCCTGCCAGCGTACTGGCCGAGGTGAATGGACGGGAGAATAAGCAGATTGAAGTTGAGGACGTAGAGGAGTGCCAGGATCTGTTCTTGGATGCACGAAGAAGCGCAGAAGCATTGGGACAGGCAAGTGGGTATATCTCGTAGGTGCTATGTTGTAGTTTGTACAATAGCCCTGGCGTTTGGATGCAGAGGACGGTAGGCGTTCCTCAATCATAGGGAGCAGTGTTTGTTTGTTTTATGTTATCAAAAGGCTAGACGATATTTGCACTGGATAATACGATGTTACGGCACATGAGTTGTACCATGGCCTACTAAAGAAGAGGAAGAATAGTAGTGATGCATGGCAGTGAAATTGTAATATGTAAATACATAGAGCAGCCTTGGGGAGACGTTAGTATATCTTGATTCAAGTGGAGATGTCGACTTGCAAGGGTGACTAGGTGAGATTTGATCTGAATGATTACAGAAGATGTCATAGAATCGGACGCTAGATCTACGGACAGGGATATTCTTGAGCTGTGATTGCACACAACAGTAATATGTAGGGACCGTTTAGACTGTCGGGGTATTACGGAAGGAGTTCAGATGGCAAGAACAGGTTCTGCCAAGGACACACGACTTCCGTTGCCACTCAACGGCTCCGATTGGTTCCGTCGGCTATATGCCCAAAGCTACATGAACAAAAGCTGTTTGCCTTTTGACTCTTCGCAACCACGACCGGCTATACGCACATATATACATCAAGAACCTTGGTGCAAGTCACTACTATCACAAATATCAAACCACGCCTTTCTCGTTACCTATTACAATGCCTACCGCGATGCGCGCTCTGGTGCGCCTACCTCGGCAGCTGTCCAGGCGCTCTTTTGCCATGTCTGCACGCACCGCACAGTCACCATTTGGCTCTGGACCTTCGCCCCCACGCCTACCCAAAGAGGAGCAGGAAATCTTTGAGAAGCTGCAAAAACAAAGCACTGGGGCCTTTAGCACGCCAAGAGGAAGCGAGGAAGAAGCAGCGGCACCGTCGTCCAAAGCAAACATTCGCATGCAAATCAATCAATCGCCAGACTCTTCTTCTTCTTCGTCATCGCGGCCGCAAATCAATCAGTCGCCCGACTCATCGGCAGAGCCAGAGATCAGGTTTGAGAATGGCAAAGAGATCAAAAAGGGAGAAGAGTTTCATCCTAACATGAGAAGAGGCGCACCGCCCGAGTTTGAGGGCGATGTCAACCCCAAGACTGGAGAGGTGGGTGGACCGAAGAACGAGCCATTGAGATGGGGACACACAAGCGACTGGAGCTACAATGGAAGGGTGACTGACTTTTAATCGCGCAAAGCCATGAAGGATGGAGGATCTGACGCATGACCTGATGTGCAACATGCAAGTAGATATAAGTAAGCGTAGTATTAATTAGTCGATAAAGCTATTGTCATTCATAATTGGGAGCAATACTAAGCTGAGTCACAAGGTGGTATGCTCGTAGACCCAAAGCGTACCCATGTCCGCACCGGAAAGGTTAAAAAGGTCAACCATCAGTGTGCATACTTAGCTAAAGAGCAAGGTGAGGTGGAAATGCACGTGTGACATGCATACACGAGGCCATACGCAGGCGCGAATGACGTGGCGGCGAGTAGAAGAGCGAGCTCCAGAACGTGGACATGAGCGGGAAATACTCCGGGAACGGGGCGTTCCAGACGAGGGTCGAGTAGGTACACGAGAAGTTATTTTGGGGGGTTCCAGCCGACGATAGACGAGCAGATGCAGTAGGCGAGTCGCTTGGGCGGGGGATGCTTGGTTAACACTATGGCATTTGTGCGCAAGGATGGCGCTTTGAAGAGAGCGTTTTACTCGACCCTTTGCTGCTTGTATAATAGCTCAGGGACAAATAGGCGCACCCGACGAGTCTGACATGCGCGCCCGTTTCATGCTAACGGCATAGGGGCAGCGGTAGCGGTACAGAGAAGGCCATGTGGCGCAGCGTGAAGCCGTGGCTAAGCATTGGCTAGTGGCATAGTGGCTGCCTAACCACGATGGTCTGGGCCCGTGCCCCCTTTCGGTTTTCGGGGCCCACGAAAGCCTCTTTTCCTCTCTCTCTCACACACATACCCACACCCACGTACCTAAATACGTATTTCCGTACGACCGGCCCTTTCCCACGCCCTTTTTTTTCATTTCTCTCGGATGCCTCGGATTTCGGGCGCGTATACACTCACTTACAATACTCTACACACTTAGAATGGCATCTATACCCGCACTCGGATGCCTGTGTGTTCCTGTTACGTTTCAGGCAGCCCAGCAGCACTCGCCATGTGCACATTGGCGAAACACTCTATTCGTCTCGCCAGCAATCCCATCCCTGGAGCGATCATGTTTTTGCTTCAGGTCGCGACTTGGGTTGCAGGTCCCACATAGTGCCCAGATCAGCCAGCCAGAGTCTTTGCCAGCCGTCCGCTGCAGATCTCTCCCACACTATCTGCCCTCGGAGTAGCCAATGCGTGTTGCTCCCTCTCATCTAGATCCCACACCCCACCCGCCTTTATCCGCTTTTCCCCTGAGAGGCGTCAGAACGTGGGCATGAACTATTGAATCCCCAGGCTCTTGACACACCCAAACGGTGTTGATCACGGATGTGTGCTCCCGTAGTAGTCGTCTTACTTTGCGGTATACGCATCTCGGGCTCTCGTTGGTGCTCGTGGTGTTTTCTCGGTGTAATTGAACTGTCAGCTCACGCTATTTGTTGTCGGTAAATTATCCTAGTCTGACACCAGCGGCCCTGCAGCGCCTAACCCAGGAGTGCCTGGCTGCTTCAGCCTCATGCATACAACGCGCAGCAAACCGTCTTGTCACAACACCTCACAACCCCCCGGGTCTGGCTCCTGAATTCCGGCATCGCGGGTTAGCGCGGTGCCGCCACGACTGGAACTGCCCTTGACAAGATGTACTGTTTTGCATTAGCGGAGCTGCGTACGGGCGTCTCGACTCGTCCATTGCCTGTACATCTGCAGCCGACTACAAAGTCTTCGGCTCAGCCACCCTCGTGTTCGTGTGTGCCAACGCCAATATCAAAATAATCCGTGCCCATGGTATGTTGCATTCACTATAGCGTCCGTCTGAAATCTCACGCCCCGCCAATGGCTTGCTAACGCCTCGGTCACTACCAGTCTCTTCGTCACAATTCCCCTATATGACTCTCTGATGTTGTCACCCGTTTTCTTTTTTGCCTGTTTCTTCCCTCCTATCTAAAAAAGATCTACAACTCCTAGTCCCCCTGCGTTATAGCATTGTCACCACCGCCGGGGACCCGCGTCTATTCGGCATCATTGGCAAGGATATCGCCGAACACGGGCACCTTATTTGGGATATCCTTTGTCTTTTGACTGGCCTCGCTCCCTTTCTTCGCACCACAACAGCAGTAGCAACAGCAACAACAATGACAACAATATTGCGCCTGCTGCTTTGTGTGGCCTTCTTCTTCCACAGCGCTCTTGCCCTGGATGATGTCGTCGATCTTGGATATGCAAAGTACCGCGGAAAAAGTATCGGCAATGGCGTCATGCGCTGGGCTGGCATGCGATTTGCCCGCAGCCCCTCGCGGCAAGAGGGTCTGCGATTCGCTGCTCCACAAGATCCAGTCAAGGAAGAGGGCATCGTAGATGCCTCATCGGTACGCCATTTTCTTACATCGTGATCTGACAGGCAAGCTGACAGAATGATAGTTTGGACCCTTGTGCATCGGAACCAGGAGCGACCTCAACGCTGAGACTGGAGGAACTCATGGCGAAGATTGCCTCTTTGTTAACGTCTTCTCACCCGGCACAGCAAATGACACGAGCAACTTGCCCGTCTATGTCTTCATCCAGGGCGGTGGCTTCAGCATGAATGGCAACGCAGACTACAATGGTGCGGACCTGATTGATGCTGCTGGCAACGGAATCGTCGTTGTAAACTTCAACTACCGTGTGGGTCCATATGGTTTCTTGGCCTCAGATGAGATTGCGACAAACCAGAACTTCAGCCTGAACAACGGACTCAAAGATCAGAGACAAGCCCTCAAATGGGTACAAGCTCACATCCAGCAATTCGGAGGTGATCCTAAGCATGTGACGATTGGAGGCGCAAGCGCTGGTGGAGGCTCCGTCGTGTTCCAACTTACAGCCTATGGCGGTCGGGACGATGGTCTCTTCCATGCTGCTGCTGCCGAGTCTGCAGCTTTCCCATCTCTGCGTGACGTCAAGGATAGCCAGTGGCAATTTAACGAACTGCTTGGCGCAACAGGCTGCAAGGACATCAACTGCATGGCCAGCATGGATACTGTCCAGTTCCAGAAGGCTGTGCGCACACTGCAGAAACCCTTTCCTGGCGGCGGTGGCCCACCTGTATACTTCTGGAACCCCACAATCGATGGCGATTTCATCAAGGATTTCACCTTCAACGAACTAAGGGCCGGTCACTACGTCCATGTGCCCACCATTTTCGGTACCGCCACGCACGACGGCATCAACTTCACACCCCAAAACATTGTCTCGGTAGCCAAGGCAGAAAGCTTCTTGACTGATAACTATCCTGGCATGAAGTGGAGCACCATCAGTCGGATTTGGGGCTCTGACACTGCTATTGCCGCCGGTAACAGTGACCGCTGGAGAGCGGTCACGGCTGACATCTATGGCGCAATTCGATACGCCTGTCCTGGACTCAACATTTCTGCTACATTTGCTAGCGACAAGGAGCACTCTACATGGCACTACAGGTGGAACGTCGGAACAGCGTCGCACGTTGGCGAGTTGCTGCCCATCTGGAACAATGCTACCACTGCTGCTGGTGTGTTTGTGCAAGCTTACTGGGCGTCGTTCATCAGGACCTATGATCCGAACAAGTTTGCGGCAGAGTTCCTTGTCGCCAAAGGCTCGGAGTTGAAGAGTCCTAACTGGGAGCCATATGATGCCAAGGATCCAAAGAGATTGGTTTTCAATGATGACAACAATGTGGCGATGGAAAAGGTTTCCGAGGTGGAGCAGAAGCGATGTGATGATGTTGATTCTCTTGGGCTACACTTGAAACAGTAAGTCGTTGTCATGTTTGTTTTCTGGGAAACGCAAATGCTAACGGACGTTACAGACCCACTGCCAACGGCGGTAGCTCCTCTACACCTGCCACCCCTTCTTCTCCTTCTGCCCCCGTCTCTGGATCTGGCTCTGGCTCTTCCCCTGGCTCTTCCCCTGGATCTTCTGCTAGCTCTCCTTCCTCACCTCCCGCCGGCTCTTATGGAATCCGGAACGCACCATTTTCACTAACATCTTTGATTTTTGCTTCTATCACACTGAGCTCGCTCCAGTGGATCGTAATTTGAACACACGCGGACTGCGATAATAATATACCCTATTCATACCGTACGACTCGATCGTCAGTGCCTTTTGGATTAAATCCACGCCTCTCCCTTGGGAATTTGGCACCCTCCTACCCCCCATTCAGATCTGCAGAGTCCATATGAAGACTTTACTGCACCCGATCATTCGTATACGCACCAAGATAAGGCAATGGCTATTGTCCAGTGCGACAACAAGATTATATATATCGGTTAAGAGTAACACTCAACCGTTAAACTCGATGTTTTTGCGTCGAGAGTATACAGAATGATGAGGAGGAAGGCAACGAGAAAGCAATGTTTCCTTCATTGCTCGAAGAGATTTGCATTAGATTACCCGGGACCTTGGATAAGAAGACGACTTATAAGTCAAACAGCCCTATTTTCATTTGTTGGAGATGTAAGAGTAGTTTGACCCTTAGAACATTGTGGGGTAGCTGCGGTTCATCGCCGCGCTTGGTACCACTTTATACCAAAAGTGGTAAGGTACTACTGTAATGGAGGAACATATAATACATAGATAGCACTGCTAGTGCTTATGGAAAGCATCTAGAATACATACTGTGCACACTCGAAGTAATACGGTTTTTTATGTTGCAATCATTGTGCAGACATTGTGCGGACCTATCACTTCTACAGTGTGACGACTTGGGGCTATAATATGTAGATTTCATTTTTTTTCTGTAGGTGCAAGTTGCGAAAATACTCTTCTTGATTTAGCAGAGGTAGTTACATGCAATGTCTATCTCGCCGGGTGCACTGGAGCGGATGAGTAGCAAATGTTGTCGAATCGAGGATTGGCTGCAAACAGTAGACACCTCAGACGCCGCTTCCTCTAGTCTTACCACGACTTCACGAGAGTGTGATGGCTCACATGCCTTGATTGCACCACTCGATGCTCACCCATTGATTTCACTCGGGGCTAACAGCACTGCTAACTCTTGTACAAACGACAAACATCAGCCTTTTGCTAAAACACAACCCCATGAGTCTCAATTGCCATTCATGGCGTTTCCTGTAGACTACATGCCCAAGGTACCGCGCTACTACGCCACCGCCCTATCGAAGGAGGACAAGCATATCCTCATTCACGGCGAAGAGAACCACAACCTCAAACAATGGACAGGCTGGGATCTAGTCCGCCATCACGAATCTCGCAGAAGCCTCATTCCCCAAGTAATGCCCAAAGTCGAAAAGATGAATGCACTTGCCGATATCGAGCACGGCAAGCAATACAGCCAGCGTGCGATACCGAAAGCGAAAGTGAAAGACAAGGTGCTAGACAAGGTGCGTGGCCTATTCCACGTACCGCGTATCAAAATTACAACTGACAAAGGCAAGGAATACCAAGAGTCGACCTGCACACAGTCGACTCACGGCCAGCGTTCCACTAGCTCATCGCCCTCAAGGAGTCTATCAACCCCATCCCTCGCACTCGATAATAACGCAACAGAGCACTCCTCACCACGACACCCCCGCCCAAGCAGCAGCAGCAGCGACTACTTCTCGCACCGCCCCACGCATCGAACTTCCTCAAGCAGCTACCATCGTCGCATATCCCCCCTCGCACTCTCCCCGGGCCATCCCTCCGACTCCTCGCGCGTGCGCAGCCCACTATCCCACCAAGTCTCGTTCCAGCCAAACCCAGACATAACGTTTGATACCTTCCTTGCACCGCACGAGTCTGGTAAGGGCGAGGTGCTGCATGAAGTGGCGGATGCGAAGAAGAGTGGAGCAGCGAAGAGGCTGAGCAAAATGCCGTCTATGCCGCTGTTGAGGAAGCGGGATGGGGATTGATTAAGGTGTTTTGCTTAGATTAAATGGTTTGACGGGGGTGTTTGGATGTTTGGAAATGCATTTTACATGGGGAGGGCTGAATAGGCAAGTTAGACATATAGACTTGGCTGCGACAATGCATTGAAACTTTGATACTAGTAAAGTATACTACTAGTGGCCGCGAGGTACCCGGGTTTTCCGTTTTTGTTTTATTTTTGTTTCGTACTTTGTGAATGTCGAATGGCGAGGGCTCGTTTGTTATATGCCGTGTAGTAGTCGGTGGATGTTGTTGTAATTGTGTGTGGAGCCGGTACTAACCTGACCTGGGAAGTCAGGCACGGCTTGCCCGATTAGGGCAACTATTGCATGCACTGCGGGTGAGGGGGGGGGGAAGTATAACTCAACGTAAGTATTACTTGGGAAAAATAATCTCTCGTTTCTTTATAATAAAGTATATGGTAGCTCTTTATATATTGCATTCACTCAGATAATCTTTCTCTCTCTCTCTGTAAAAAAAAAACGAATTCAAGAACTGAAAATCAAAAAAAAAGTGAGTCGTCCAAAATCGACATCTTCACAAAAAAAATCCCCCCCCCCCCAACTAATGACTTCTCCCCCCAAAAGTGTCCTCAGACGCCCTCGTCCCCCTTACCATAATCAAAGGCGCAGGCTACGAATTCATCGCCCTACCCGAAGGCGACAATGCCACTGTCGCAGATTTCCACACGTACTAAGCCTTTCCCCCTCCCCTTCTTCCCCCACCCACAATCCACCCCAGTCTCTAATCCACACTCAGAACCCACACCCGCACCACCACAACCCCCACAACCCTAACCTCGGGCTTCTACAAAATCACCGCGGGCCCTGCCAAACCCGCCTCGTACACATTTGAAGAATCCAAATACGTGCTCAGCGGACAAATCGACGTGCTGGACTGTGCAACGGGTATCACGCATCATTTGGTAGCGGGGGACTTTGCATTTTTCCACGTGGGGTCAAAAGTCGAGTTTTCGACGCGGAGTGCAGGGATGGCGTTTTATGTTGTTACGAGGGGGATGCGGGTGGAGCATGCGGGGTTGAAGGGACGGGAGGAGAAGAGGGCGAAGTTGTAAAAGTTTGGGGTTTGTAAATCTTTTGCATTTGGTTTCGAGGTTTGTAGGTAGTAGTAAAGTAGAAGAGGAAAAATGTTGGGAGGGGATATATCCTGAACATCCAAGTTGTTTGAAATCGCCGAGCAAAGGAAGAGAAAAGAGGTTTTTTTGCATGAGAAAGAAACAAGAGTACAAGTTGTTGGCCCATTCATGCACACACACATACAACCCACCCCCCCCCAAGTCGCAGCGCCGTTAAACCAAGAAAACCAAAAAAAAACCAAAGCCGCTACCAGAATCTAATTCACATTTCCACCCCTTCTATCTCACACACACACGCACCTCCCAAAACAAACAAGTAATCCAAAAAAAAAGAAGAAGAAAACAAAAACAAAATCAAGCCCCAACACCAGGGATACTAACACCCCCTGCCGCTAAATTCAGACCTCCGCCTCTACTCCTCGGCCCCACAAACCCTTGTCTCTGTCGACCCGTACGACCTCTACCCAGCCAATTATACTTGAGTTCTTTATTCAGCCGCCCAATCTTTTCCTGCGCATCATCGCTACTCTGCAGACTGACGAGCACAGAGACGCATTGCAGCATGCGACCCACTGTCTCAGTAACTTTAGTGCTGTCCATGGGTTGTTGGCGAAGTGCAGCTGGTGGCATATTTTGGGTGTGCGAGGTAGGCGGGGGATACAAGTGGGCGACTGTGGGAGGGTGCTGTGAGGGGTTCGAAGAAAAGGAGCCGGCGGATGTGTTTGAGGTTGCGCGGGAGCGGGTGCTGGCAAAGGTTGAGGAAGTGATGCTTGTGGTTGATTCGAGGTAACCGCCACTACTCTGGCTAGTAGAGTTGAGACTACTCAGTTGTACATCGTTTGCGCTTCCGGCGGTGCCGGGACGGGTATCGTGGGGTATAGGTGAGGGCGACTCGAGACCTGCGTTTAGGTTTTCCAGCGAGAGTCGTGAAAAGATTGCCATAAGCGCTTCATAGCGCGGTAGAATGACGATATCGCGGAACATGAGAAGGGTCATGCGGCGGACTTCGAGTTCGCCGAGTATGGGTATATTCTTATGATTTGGGCTCTTGGTGTTCATTTCGTCAGGGAGCATGACGCCCCAGAATTCGGCCGCTTGGGCCGATGTCATGATGCCAGAGCCTCTAAACTCCATGTCCAGAGGGAGAAAAACAGCCTGGAGAAAAGGTAGTATGGTGGTGAATACAACAAGCCACATCTCAACGAGATGCGGAATCAACCTGTCATCAGGAACATGTCGCAGGGTTTGGTCCAATGAGCCAAAGCCAGTTTGAAGAAGCTCATTGAGATCTTCAATAAGAATAATAGGAGAGCGCTTGTGGATACAGCGCTTAATGTGAACAGTGACTAGAGCGTTGAAATCTTCAACAGGAGGCCGCGGGTCTTCGCCTTCAAATATCAACAACACCCTTGCTTTCAACAACGGCCACGCATCGTCCGGCGACAAACCGTGTATACCAAATGCGCTCCCCAAATGAGACATTTCCGATGTATGTGATAGGGCCTGTCCAGGGGTAGAGAGATTTGATGTCGTCGTTATGGTGCCTGCTAGCAATGGCCACTCGGATCTTTCTATGCTGAAAGACTGGTTGCGCTCTCTATGCGGCGGCTCCAACTGCGCATCCAAAAATGCCGCCGCTTTTTCTTCCTTCTTTGCCCGTCGCAAGTGACGTCCGCCGTGCCTTAGATCCAAACCCGTGACCGAACTCGCAAATGTACTCGAGTGTCCTGGCGATGAGGGCGCTGCGAATGAATACAGGGGTTCGGGCGCACTTGGGTTAGTGGGCTTGGAATTACTGCTGGCTGACGAGAGAGGAAGAGCAAAGCTATCTCCATCTTTCAGCTTATGTTTTTGCCGTGACAAGAAATGATGCTTGTGCTTTTCCTCTTTTCGTTCAGGCAAGGAGTCGTTTCGCGGAGGAACAAGAGTCGATGTGGACGCGTTGGCCGAAGAGTAGAGTGAAGCATTGGCACTAGTTGTGGACGAGTCGATCAGACTCGTCGTTGAGCCGGCCATCATCATGCGGTTCAAGGCCTGGGAGCTGTGAATGCCAATGCCAATCTTGCCAGGCGAAGGTAGGGCCTGGTGCTTGCTCTCTCCGCGATTGTCGACCTTGATGTTCTTGGGCTTGGAAGAAAACAGCTTCATCTTGCTCTTGCCTTCCTTTGGCTTCTGCGAGGACAGATCTGGTGTTGACGCGGGCTTGGGCGAGGCATGGGCCTGAGCCTGGGCCTGGGCCTGGGAACCCTCGACCCCAGGAGAGTTCAGCGGGCTTCGTGGAAAGGCAGCATTCGCGGCCGTGGTGGCCGTCATTCTACTTGCGGCGACAGGGTTTGGATAAGTGACGCCATTGGTGCGGAAGGTCATGCCCTGGGCAGGGGCGGCCGGGGGACTCTGGGGCTGAGAGCGTTCCGTGGGCGCGGCGTCTGAGGAGGCGGGAATGGTGGTGGAGCGCTTGCGGTAATGCTGGGGATTCTGGGCGTATGCGGCTTGGGCGGCGATCTGCGAGGCAGTGAGCTGGCTCTGCGGGGCCATGGCGGCATCCCTCTCGCGCACCGGGCTCTCCTTCATGGAGCTCAGGCTGGGCTCGAAGTAGCCCTGGGACCGCTGGCGTGGCCGGTGGCCTAGGTGCGCGCTGGCAGCGTGAGGCTGGCTCGGGGCAGCATCGCGCGTAATGGCGGGACGTGAATAGTTGTGGGCAGGGAGCTGGCCAGCAGTGCGCGACTCTGTTGTAGATGTGGGCGACTTGAGCGACGAGGGCGAGAGGACCGAGGCGGGCAGGGGAGCGCGTCGCTGTTGTTGCTGCTGCTGGGTCGCGTAAGGGCCGTCCGAGTCGGACTCGTCGAGAGAGACAGGGCGGCGGACAATGGGCGTTGCTGGCGGGGGAGAAGACGAGGGCATGGTGGGCGGCGATAGCAGCGGGTGGGTTGCTTTTGCGACCCTGTGGCTGCTGCGGCTTGCAGGGAAGGTCAGGTAACGGCAACGGCGTATGGCGTGGATGCAGATGCGCGAATGGATGCTATACGGATCGATGTCGAGGGAGGGCGCCTGGCAATCGGAGCTCCTATTCCAGCGCTCGCATGGCCGGCATGGGGACGGGGAGCGTAGCAGATGCAGGCGGTGCCGTGTGCCAGCAGCATCGAGGGGACGGGAAAGCAAGTGGGTGGGTTAGCAGAACAGTCGACGTCGATTCACACTCCCGTTGTTCCATGGCCCGCTAGCCCTCCTCCACTCACACACGCACACGCCCCGCCCTTGGCTGTGTCATTCTCCTCCTTCACCACCAGCACCACCTCCTGCACATATCCCTCCCCCCCCGACATCAAAAATGCCCGCCCTCACAGCAACCTACGCCTCACCCACATCCCCTTCCCACTCCTTTTCCTCCGATCTCCCCGCCCTGGCTTCACCACCCTCGACTGCCGACCGCGTCGCATACCTGGCTGCGCTCGCATCGGCGATGAAAACCATGCAAAAAGACGTCAACGATTTCCTCACCCAGAAAATGGCAGACGACAAGGCTGCCGACGATGCAAAGGACGAGGAGACGTATGGTGAGGAGGTGGTCGACGACGACTGAGCCCGCACACAAACATATCCAAGACAATTGCTATTCGATTCATGGGTATATACTATCCATACAGGCCTTCCACACGCCATCACCGCCATCCCGCCGCCCCGGTCGTTCTCTTGCCCACGCTGCCCCGCATGCACCCGCTGTGCACCACGCTGTTGTCTGGGAACACGCGAATCGCACTTCCACCAAACCGCTTGTGGCAGACGGCACAATGCCGGTCCCCGTCAATCACCACTCGTCTGTTCAATCCACCCGGCACCTTGCGTCCGTACTGGTCCACCTTGTTGTCGTTTCCAAGTAGCATTGCTGCCTCGACTGCCACCTTTTCCACCCCCCGCAGCCGCGAAACAATGCGCTCTTCGTTGAGAAGCGAGTTCGCATTGCGGATCCGACCAAAGAAGTACGACTCCAAGTCTTTGACGGGCAAACTAGGCGGGATCAGGTCCAGAGTTGTCGCTGCTGGGAGTCGTGCGCCGTGCTTAGAGAGCAGTTCGAGAGCAGGAGGCCAATTGGGTTGGTGCGGAGGTGGCGGCGAAAGATACAGGGATAGGAGCACGTGATATATCGACAGCTCAGTGTCTTCAATCGTCCCTTGAATGTTTGATCCAATTTGTGGTGATCCGATTTTTGGCGATTGGTTGGATGGGAGAGACGATGGTGATGCTGTGTAGACTTGGTTGCAGTATCTACAACATGTTTAGTTTTTTGTAGTCATTGCAAGTTCCATATCTAGACTTACTCCTCGGCTTTCTTGTAGTCCTTCAGCTGGAACACATAGATTGCCAGTGCTTGTTTGTGCGATCCCATCTTGCTCAACACAATGGCGCGTGCTTCATAGTAATCCGCATCTGATCGTTCCTGTCAGTCTCTGTGCATCCCATATCAATTTCCCAACCACAATACATACCGTTAGCTGGAAGCTGCTGGAACACACGATACCGGTTGTACTGTGCATTGCCCTTCTTCAAAAACGTCTGCAATCTCTCCCTCCAATCCGCCTTCTCCTCCTCGTTTGCGAAATCCCCACGCTTAAGCCTTTCCAGCAGCAAGTCGACCAGCCGCTGGTGAAAGTCGACATTGAGGTCGTTGAGCTCCTCGATAATATGCTCCAGATATCTAACCGCCAGTTTGAGATCAATCTTTTGCAAGAACTCAAGAACCCGGTCTCTCGGCAGCGTCTCCGCGTTTTCCGTATCCGCCAGGAAGACTTCCATCCCGAGCTCGGGATTCACTCGTAGCGGCCATTCAGCATACTCGAGAATAAGATCAATCAGCTCTGGAGGCAGCGCCTGTAGGTAGCCCACCGTACGTTGTGGTCCCTGTAGCGCAGACGAAACCTCCTCGTCCGCCTCGTTCTTGCCAAACTTCTCCAGCAACTCCAGTGCTTGTCGATGCAGCTTCTTGCCGTGCAAAAAGTCAATCAGATCCGCGTACCGGCCCGTCTCGTACAGCTTCTCCTGGACGACATCCGGCTCGCAAAAGTTGGGCAGGCGGAACAGCGAGCCTGCTACACTGGGATTTGCAATCATGTATGCCCGGAACAGTGTCGTGTCTACCAGCTGCGCCACTTCAAGCAGCTTGGCCTTCCAGTCTACCGGGCCCTGCAGTGAAGTTTCTTCGATGAAAATGTGGAAAGGCGGCTTCTCAGCCTCCAGTTGGCTACCGCTAGGCGTAGGCAGGGGCTCTTTCAAGTTCCCCTCTGTGTCAATGTAGCGCTTAATTTGCACACGGCATTGTGTAAGGAATGACTGTAACGCACGTACAGAGTCTTTGAACTCCTTCTCCGACACTGCTTTGTCGGTCTGTGCTGGATCTGTTGTCCTCTTCTTGATACTACCCTTTTCCGCTGCTGCCTCTTCTTTGACAGCACCAGCCCGGATAGAGGCAGTGTCTGAGTCGACCTTCTTGTGCCCACCAACACCAAATCGGCCCATCATCGACCGCCCAATCGTTGCTGCAGCAGGAGCCGTAGTTTCTTCAGATTCCTCTGCAGGCTTCTCCCCGTTTGTTTCATCCTCCTCTGTAACGCTTCCATCGCCCTTGACGCTCTCCTCCGGCGCCAGGTTTCCAGCAATCGATCTTGGATACAGAGCAATGACGCGCTCAGGCGGTGCTTTTGCGTCAATGAAGAGCTCCATTGCCTCGCGGTACTTTTTCAGATCAAACAATGCTTGTGCTTTGAGTATCTGAATCTCCCGTATTCTTTCTTCTTTGTCCAGAAGCAGAGTGTCTTCGAGCATATTGAGAAGACTCAACGCCTCGTCATAGCGTCCATTAGCGACTAGTTCATCAATCTGCGTCTCATAACTCTGCGCTCCCATTCGCCATATGCATCGATCACTGGCGACCAAGAAACCTTTACCCGCATGGGCCAGACTAATGTTAGGTTGGGGTACATGGAGGAAGTTGGCGTTGGGCAATGGGATGAGTTGTAGCAAGTTAAGTGTATCCGGATTCCTGATTTCCAAACTTCCCTTTGAAGGCGGTTGGAGGGTAAGCATGTATGGGTACGAGTAGGCAATAGTCTCAGGGGCAGTTTGCCAGGGCACCTGCCGCTTGTCAAGGGCGTTGCCATCCGTGTCGATAAACAAGCTGTTGACATCCTTGGCCAACAGCATCTCCCCCTCTCCAAGTCGTGTTGCCAGAGGCTTCGGCACCCAGCTGCCCATGCCCATGTATCCCATGCCCGAAGATGATACTGCGCCAAAGCGTGCCCCGCCCTGACTTCCATTCTCTGCAAGTGCACCTGGCTTGATGATGTCTTGTACCTCTTGTGTCTCAATATCGACCATGACGAAGCCGGGGTCCATGCCAGCGACAATTTTGGTGCCGGTAGCCCACGTCAAGCTCTTGACCGACGCAATCAGTGATATCTCCACGGCATCGCCCGTCAACTCCATGTCCTGCCACGTCCATAGTATAATCTTTCGCTTCACCGCAACAGCCAAATGGCTCACAATCGACGGGATCCCAGTCGATGGATCCTTGACAATGTTGCTAGCCGCAGCAAACGTAGTGGCGCCTCGTGTCTTCTCCAACTTCTCCTGCAGCGCATACGTTTGGATGTCGTGTATCGAGACATAGTTGTCCGACAGCGAGACGAGAATGTTGGCTTCCTTGATGATGGCTAGCTGCTGGATGGGTCGGCGCGAGAACTTCTCTTCTTCGCGGAGAAGGTCCGCAGGCTTGGGCTTCGGTGTCGGGGGCTGCTGCGGTTGGCCGTTCTGGTCACCATTCTGCTGCTGCTCGGCTTCGACGTCTTCGGCCTGGTCGTTTACACGGTATATGCGCAAGGAACCCGTGTTGAGTCCAACAAGCACGCGATCGCCTTGTATTGTTAGCCAAGTGGACCAAATGCTGTATAGAGGCACGCTCTACCATATGCGAGGATCGATTCGATCTTGGACTTGTCGCGCTGTTTAAGCTCGACAATAGGCCGGGCAGTGAAGGCAGAGAGCATGGTGGCTATTATTCCAAGGGTTGATTCATTGGACCCGGATGTTGTCGCTGCTATGCGACTGCTGTTGCGCGCACCGAGAGCTTCATGGGCAGTGCCGGCGTGCGCCTGAGCTGGGCGGTCCATCGTCATGGCCACGGAGCTTTGACCAGGGTCCAGCCACGTGCAGCCACATCACTCGAGCATACTGCATACACACCGGGTCTTGTTCCGATAGCTGATTGAATAGAATCTAGAAGTATAACAAAGAAGGATAATTTTGAGACCAGATACTTGTATTGGTATTCTACCTAATCTAACTAAGGTGCTCTGCCCGATTAATGGGCACAGTAGAGCGGCGAACAGAATGAGAGTGGGTGTTGCTGCATGAGCGAGTGTGGATATGTGTAAAGTGACTTTAATCAGAAACTCTGGAGTACACGATGAAGGAGAGCACTTGCCATTCTATATCATCTCCCCCATTTTCACACCCGCTGACACGCCACTCGAGTGGGCACATCCAAGGGCCATTCGCCGCCACCGCCGTCCCTAAAACGCATGCATAAACAAGTCCCGGGCGCAAGCGCCTCACAGGATCAACTCAGGCGGCGTTCAAAAGAACGCAAAAACCAACCCTTCATCCAGAGGGACGAGGATGCTTCCACCCGTACACAAACACAAAAATGTCGACTTTCAACGTCAACACATTTCCCCAATCTCCCAACGCGGTCCTCTCGAAAAACATTGAAAGTAAGGAAAATGGGAGGAAAGCACAACGCTTGTTACCAATCAGCACATCAACCTCTCTCTTTCTCCCCCCAGCAACAGCCGCAAGCAACGGGTGCAAAGCATACAAATTCCAGAAGTGGGCCGGTGGGTTGAATGGGAGAGAGAGAGGCGTGGCGAATGAGCGAGTCATATCCAACATATTGCCGGATCATATTCAGCACACATCGCTACTCTATTGCGTCTTTGGACGACAACACCATGTACGCCAAGAGGTCACCTGTGCAGCGCGGCAAGCGGGCAAGCCACGGCGAGGCGCGTTGCGGCGGTGATGCAGCGTCGAGGCGTAGCAATGTTGGCCAAAGGAAATAGAAAGTAGGAGGGCTGAACAGAGAATCGGGCGTAAGGGACCTCGGGAACAGACATACTCAAGGAGATATACACAAACCTCATCATTTGATGGAAAGACACTACAGACGACGCACATGTAGTCTCAGGAGACAAGGAGACTGCATGTAGGTTTGACGTAGGGGTGGTCGTCTGCAGAGCTTCACTGTCAAACTTTGCGATGAGGGGATATCGATCCAACGCGCAGCCCGCAAGAGAGAGCAGTAACACAAGACAAATAAACACAAAGAAATACATATTGGCTGGGTATATTGAAAGAGAAAAGAACCAAATGTGAAATCAAAAACACCGACACATGCGAGCGGAGAAGCAAGCTTCATCAACGCAAAAACATGTGCCCAAACCCCCTTCTCTGGAGAGCGTTTCCGCATCGTCACGGAGAAGGGGGAAGAAAACTTCAATCGCAAGTTACGGTCTGAGCAATTACGGCTCATCGCAGGTCGGTCAGGTCGATGATTGTCTAGTAGCGTGTCCAGCCTTGGACCGGTTGACTCAGAAGGCAAGCCGAAAGGTCAGGTGGTTCAAGACTGGGGTACTGTTATTCGACAAATACGGATCTTAGATGAACGGATTCTGCCGCTGCTTTTCCTGTGGATAGGGCGACGGCGCATATTGATTCGAGAAGGGACCAGTACGGTCGTCAGCAGGCGAGGGATCAGCAAGCTGTCCATGGCTACTCGTGCGCAAGTGGCCTGGTCGCGCCGATTCAGTCACCGCATGTGCACCAACACGGCCGACCTTTTCTGTTGTAGGCTCAACATGACTTTCTTGGTCGAATGTTGAAAAAGGCCGGGGTGCAAGCGTATAGGGCGCTGCCTTGTTGACATTGTAGTCATTGGGCACATATTGCGGTGGCGCGGTAGTAGGGTAATCGGCAGCAATCTTGGACTCATGGTCCATGGCAGGGTTGACAGCATAAGGGTTGCGTCCTGTTTCTGAGTAGTCGCGACGGAAGAGATGGGTTGAGGCGTAGACGAGACCACCGATGGCTACAAAAAGCCAGATTAGAACTAGGGCGGTGGAGATGAGCGCTTCAGTCTGAATGCCGCTCATGAGCTTGGCGATAACGCGCTCAACTGATTCAGTGATCTCATCCTTTGCTTTGCCACTGGGGTCAGCAAGAAGTTCGGAGGCCGAGTCTGAGTCGCCCTTTTCGGCAAGGGCACCAAGAGAAAAGGTGTCGTTAGCGACGCCAGGGAACTGGACGTGCGCGTTCTCTTGTACCCAGGTGAGGCCGCTTTGGAAGCTCTCGATCTTCAGCCCAATCAAGCAGTTGAGTACTTCTTTGATGGGGTCATAAAGCACAGTGCCTCCGAACGTGTCGTTGAGCGTGGTGCTCATCTGGTCGACGAATGCATTCAAAGTATCATTGACTGCAGTCGTACTGGTGTTGACCCAAGAAAAGATGTCGTCATTGATTTTGCTATCCAAGTTACCAACGGCACTGTTGACACCGCTGGACCATGCAATGGACGCATTGTTGAGCGAAGAGACAACTTTTCCGGCAAAGTCGGCGACTTGGTCCGTGAGTTCTGGGGTCTTGTCCTCGATGGCCTTGAGCAAAAGGTATTGACAGAAGCATGCAAAGAGACCAGCGAGACCCAGAGATAGCAGAAACAGCATGGGGACGGAGGTGGCGTACGCCCAGGCCCAGCGCATGACAGCTTGTCGACGGGCTGAGCCAAAGCGCCTACCGAACCATAGGCCAATACCGGAAGAAGTTGGGCGGGACGCAAGATAGACGACGTCCATGCCTTCGTGGCCCTCTGCGAAGAGGGCAGCACGCTCTTGCATCTTCCGGTAGCGGCGCATTTCCATCCAAGCCATGGGTGCGCAAACAAGGACAGCAGCAACAATGAGCACACCAAGAGCGATCTTCCGTGCATTGTAAGCCAACTCAATGAGGTCATTGAAAAAGTTGTTGATTGAGTTGCCCTCGGAACAGAAGGTGAGTGCCTCCTTTTGCGGCACTGGAAGAACGGAACGGTCGAACTCGAATGTGTTCATGCCCCTAATCAACTTCTTGACTTCCTCAAAAGGGGTGCGGATAATGTTGTCGGTAAAGTTTTGCACCTCCTTGAAAGTAGGGATTGACTGGTTGAGCTTCTTGAGGTTCTCTGCCATGTCGGGAGATAGCTCAAGGCTCTTTAGCTCTTTGATTTGCTCGTCCAGGTTGATTGTCGGTTTGGTGAATCCCGGAATGTTGAAGTTGATCTTGTCCATGATGGAGTTGATGCCGTCGGAAACGGACTTGACAGCGTCGCCCATGTCTTCGGTGACCGAGTTGATGGTCTCGTTCAATTTCTTGTTGACAGCCTCGCCGATTTCGACAGCGGCGTGCAGACTGCCACTGACGGCAAGGGTGATGAGGCAGAGATAGGTACTTGTCATCATGTGAATGACGAAGAGGACAATCTCTTCGACACCCGTGACTGTCATTTCGAGCATCGTCATGAGGCCACTGACTGCCTTTTCAACTCCAGAAGCTGTCATTTCGTTGAGGCCGGAGGACATGTAGTGGGGCATCGAGGCCATGGAGCTGCCAATGTTCTCGACTTGGGTGCAAGCACTGAGGGCTTCCCGACGAGCGGAAACGAGGCTTGAGTCAGTGGTTGCGATGGCGATGAGTAGTCGCACAAGGACGAGGAGCAGGAGAATGGTCCAGCGGTTGATCCATATCTGGGAGAGCCTAGCTCGAAGGCCGAGGTATGGGTTGAAGTTTGGTGTTTGGTTTATTGTAGGTCGTGGTGCATCTTGCGGTGGGTAGTAGTCTCGCATCTCATGACTATCGCCAGCGGACATTGATGGAGGCACAGATGGGAAGGGTTGCTGTTGGTTCGCGGAGGAAGCCATAGCGAACATGTATGACTGCGAAACGCAGGTCTGGTTGAGATATTAGAATGGGAAGAGGCTCGTATGGCTGGTGGGTTGGAGAGCAAGATGGACAAAAGCGCCGTTGTTGTTGATGTAGGCCAGCTAGATCTTGAATATCTACCACAGGTAGGTGGCAAGGTAGAGAATGGAATTAGGCGGAAGTGATGAAATGTAAGACAATAGAGAACAACAGAGAAGGAAAAAAAGACCAACGCTCCGTACAATGCAATAAAGGAAACGGAAGGTGAATGGGTGATGGGTGAATGTGGGTTTGGTAGAAAGAGACGGAGCGAATGAATATCTACTTGACAGTGACGAGAATGAACGTACCGCGAGAGAGCGAGGACCAGCAGCAGGCCCCCGACCGGGTACCAATGGCACGGCGAGAAGAGGCCTGCACGACCAGAATGTTTCGGCAGGGCATACAGGCTGCTGAGGCTCAAGTTAGAAGCAGCACTTGTCGGTAGGGCGGTGGCCCGAATAGGCGCCCGCAGAAGTGGAGCAAGCCACTGCCGGCCAGTCGTTTGCGAGTCTGCTGGCCGGGCTGGCGAGGGCTCGAAACAAGGCGCTAGAACAGCAGCGTCTGTCGGCGTGAGCTGTTTGGGGCTCGAGTGGCTGTCGTGACTTGTCGTTGCGGATGTTGTCGTTTGCTCCACGGCTTGCGCTCATGGGCGTGCGCACGGTGGGTGGCCGGGACGAGGGGCAGACCCCACGCCCTGTTGTTGGCGTTGGCGGCCAGCGCAGAATGATGAGCGTCTTGTCGAGCGCAAGGGAAACACAACCTCTGGGTGTCGGTCGGTGGCAGAGGAGGTGCTCGAAGCACGGCAGAGATGCGCGTCGCCGCCATTTTGTCCTGTCGCCGCATGGCAACCGCATCGAGGGCCTGGCTTGTGGCGCCGCTATGCCCTGTTTTCTGCGCTTTGCAGCACACAACACGTCATACCATCATCGCCCATGTCGAACCCTTCTGCTTCAACCCCCAGCATGTTCCTCGTGACCTGCTCCAACTGACACTCGGTGCACAGCTGATGCTCCGCCGATGCTCGAAATAGCCCCCGACATTATTCGAGAAGCAGGCGCCTGCGTTGCCCGAGTGAAGGCCGCAGATACACGACCATGGCTTCGCATCCACACACACTCCCTGTTCATGCGTGGCTGCGGCGTAGCGCTCTTGTGGGGAAGGTGCGGTCCCGTGTGCGGCCATCGATCGCTCTTGCCCAATCAACGTCTTGGCGACTACAGAGCCTCAAACATGGCGTTGCTCTGCTTCCAACCTCATCTCTCCTGTCTTGTATACGCTCTTGGCCAGCGCCATGTCTACCGTTGTGGAACAAATCTCGTTCGCTTTCTAGGATATATCTATCTGTCTCCATGGCTGATAGTTTCCTTCTCGCACTATTTACCAGAAAACAGTTCAACTTTGGTAGTTAGAACACCAGATGATGTTGTTTTCGTTGTCGGTGCACCTGCATCGAGTGCAAACGCCCATTAGTCGCGATAAGATTGCTGCACTCTGGAGTCACGGGCAATGATGCCTAGTCCTCTATCAAGCCGAACCCGAACTGTACTTTTCTTTCAGACAACTACCATCTACATGTCACACAGCTTTATTAACATGCAATACCTCTCAGAAGCATCTGGAAAATAAAAAAAATTGATTTAGCGGCTTCGTACGCTGAGGTGTCATAGGTCGTATATTGGTTACTGATGTTTTCTTACGTTAACAATCGAAACTACCATCTTAAGTCACATTCACCTCTTCTTCCATGCGATCAAAAAAAAACCTCTCCTGACTACATTAAAATTCACTAGTCTTGCAAAGTCCTCAGTGCCGCAACCGAATACTATCTCGATTCAACAATCCTGATGAATGAGACTTGGTATGTCCGGATGAGAAACTACGGGAGTCCTCTCAAAGAAAAAAGGGACCCAACGATAATAGGAAGTCACAAATTAAGCCCTAGTGTAGAACCCTGATACTAACCCGGCACTTGTGGAAATGAAGTCGTACTTGGCGTCACTCATACTATCCAACACCCGCTTTCTTCCTAGTATTCATGAAATTTACACAAGGTGCCATTGCGGCGCGTTTATGCATCACTGATATGTGCAGTGTGCTGCGCCGTAGACCCCTGATTTGTACCAAGTAGTCTAACCTGGCGATTTCGAGATGGAATGTGAAGTGTTAGTTACACCTGGGATGAGTACTATGACTTTCCAAAACATCGCGCACGCACCGTATGCTAGAGCAAAAAAAAAACCCCCCCCCCTCCTAAAAGTACATGTGTACATACTAACTCGCTAATTATTATGCACAAAAAAGGAAGACGAAAGAATATCAGTACATTCATTCACAAAGATCATTCATAATCTTCATCAAGCTCATTAAAAAGGGTATCATTAATTCCGAAATCATGACTATCAACATCCCCCCTCACGCTCACAGACTTACCTTCCCCCCATCCACACCTACGCTAAAAAAAAAGATCGAGATACAAAATTAATCATTATCGCAATTTCATATCCACCAATACTTTTTCTTTACATTCTTCCACTCGACAACTCACTCACATTGGCTGGGATCGCGGGTGATGGGCTAGGCGAATACTGCGGCACAGGACTAACCGGCGCGTTATCCGCGTAATATGAATGCGTCTGCTGGCCGGTAGCCAAGGGTGCGGGAATCTTGTCGGGAGAAGGCGCGCCATATCCGGCTTGCGACTGCTGCGCATATGCCGTTTGAGCATTGGGGTCGTAGAAGGGTTGAGCCGGGGCTTGTTGAGCGTTGGGGTCGTAGTGACCGTATGGCTGGGGAGGAGGTACTTGCTGCACCTGTGGTTGTGGAACGGGCTTTTGTTCGTGGTAGTATTGGACGCCTGCGGGAGGCTGTTGAGCGTTTTGTTGCATTGCGGGAGGAGGAGCGGGAGGGCCTTGTGCGGTTTGAGTGATGTTGTTGTCCGTCTTGTTCTTCTTCTTGCGTTTGAGGATGATCCAGACGGCGATGACTATGGCGGCTAGAACTGCGATACCGCCGACGACACCGCCGACTATGGGTCCTATTGGTGTTGAGTCTTTCTTTTTACCTTTATTCAAGCTTCCACCATCGTTGGTTTCGCCCAAGCCTGGCCCTGAGCTAGCAATGGATGTCACATCCGTTGCTATGTTGGTGGCTGATGTGAAGGTTATGGAGGGTATATTGTTGGAAGTAGTCCTGGCCGATATGCTTGTTGCTACTGCTGTCAATATCCTGTCAGCAATGCTATTTAACAATGTTGCCGAGAGGTTGACTTACCGGCTTCGGGCGTTGTCCTGTAGATGATGCCTCCAACACTCGTCTTGGCATCGCACCAGTAGTTCGTCAGTGGGTTTTTGTCGTTGATGTCCGTGGCCAATTCCCAGTAACTACACGTGCTAGATGCTCCTCCACTGCGCGACATGGATTAGCAACTGTGGGTAAAGACAAGACATGGTTCATGGGGTCAACATACCAAAAGATTGAGGAAGAAGGCATAATGACATAGTCACCTGAGCAGGAAAAGAACGTGCATGGTTTTGCTGGGTCACAGATCTGGAACAGGTTGCTGGATGTGGCAATTGCGTTGCCCTGTTCATTGGCTGTGATTGTGTCCCCTTTGGCAGGTCAGTAATAACCAGAGTAGACTGAGTATGCCGACTCACAGTACGTAGTGCCATCGTATTCTCGTGTAGAGATGTATCCAATGGTAGTGACGGCCCTCTTTAGCACTGGTGCTGGGGTAATTGCAGCCCGTGGTGCGCCCATGATAGCAGCAGCACCATCTTGCACCAGAAGGGCGAGTAGCAAGGGTCCGAGCATAACGGATGCCATTGGTATGGGTTGGAAGAACAGTAGCAGAAAGGGGGGGAAACCATGGGCTAAATGTAGGTTTCACTGAGCAAGGTACCTACATACGGCTTGGGCTACAAGCGATGCTAATTCCAGCACCGTCAGGCGGGCAGCGACGCAGAGACCCGCTGCGGCTTCCATGTCAGTACACATCTGGGACGAGCACAATGAAGGCTGTTCAGCTGGGGTAGCGTGCCAAGGAATTCGGCCTGCAGAGGGAGATGAGTCTTGCAGGAGCAAGATGGCCCTGCATTTCCCAATTTTCACAGCACTTGCGCTGTTGCACGTCTTCCATTTTCAATCTTGATGTTTCAGTCTCTGGCTCTCTCCATGTTGATGTCTGTATTTTTCTCGTTGACAGGCCAGCGATTGTACAGCGAACATGGTGCAGTGACGTTCAAGGGTAAGCGAGCTGAGCCAGCACAGCCAGGCGGTACCCGCCCGTGTCGTGTAGACAGCATTCTAATAGGCCACGGCACCAGCCGCTAGCCCTATTACTTCCCTTTAGAGTGACTGCCAGGCAACCCTCGGTCGCTACTCGGGATGTACATGCCTCACCGGTACGCCAACGGCTCGTTTGGGACGACACGGGTTGATCGACCCCTCATCATGGTATGATGTCCCAAGGAGCCTTGCGCCTAAGCCCCAGCTGTCAGATATTTAAAGTTAGTCAAGGTTGATTCTGTATGCACGGCGTAACGAGGGTTGTGGTTGTGCACGTGGGCATGTCGAAGCCTTTCATTACGCTGTCGTTATCTTTTCTGGACTAACTATCTCTTTTTCGCATAAACTTTACGCGATTTTAATGTCCATGCCCATCGTCACCGCCACCTTGCTCTTCCGGATCCAGCTTGATCAGGGTATCGATTCGCATAATAGCAACACACGCCTCCACTGCCGACTTCAACTGCTTGACTTTGCTCATGCTGGGTTCCAGCACACCAGCCTTGAGGGTGTCGTGTACCTTGCCGTTGGTAAGATCCAAACCGTAGTTCTTGTAGTTCTTGGACTTTGCAAGCTGCTTGGCATCTTGCGATGAGGGGTCAGCTGGGTTGACTGTACGTTGTGAAAGAGCATGTCGCGATCGTAGGTTAGCAACAAGCTCAGTGGCATCCTTGGCTGCGTTGATTGCCAGAGTCTTCGGGATGGCGAGTAGAGACTGTGCAAAGGCAGCTATCGCAAGCTGCTCACGAGAGCCCTGCATATATGATTAGCAATGGAATACTGTAAAAGAAGGTTGGAATTAACTTACCACTGACGTTGCCCACTCTTCCAGGTAGATGTGCAGCGCAGTCTCAACGGCGCCACCACCTGGGACAATACGTCCACTCTCCAGCGTGCGCTTGACGGCAGACAACGAGTCGTGTACTGATCGCTCCATCTCATCAAGGGCATAGTCATTTGCTCCTCGCAGGATGATGGATGCAGAGGAGAAAGCCTTGGTGCCCTTGACAAGGATACACTCGTCGTCTGAGATGCGCTCTTGTGATACCTCCTCTGCGTAACCCAAGTTGGCTGCCTCAAACTTCTCATCGCCGTTCAAGTCGGAGAGTGTGCTGACTAGGGTAGCTCCAGTGGCCTTTGCTATCCTTCGTAGATCTTCCTTCTTACACCTTCGCACCGCCATGGCGCCCTTTTCGACAAAGTGCTTTAGGCAGAGGTCATCGATTCCCTTTGTGGTCAAGATGACGTTGGCACCGGCCTTCAGGATCATTTCAATACGTTCAGTAACAATGCCAGCCTCGCGCTCGCGGATCTTCTCCAGCTGTTCCGGATCGTCAATGGTGATGTGTACGCCCAGCTTCATTCGCTCCTTCTGCAGGTTGATATCTAGACAGGCAATCTTGGCGTCGGTGATGCGTGTCTTCATAGCTTGCGAGGCGACTGTGCAGTTGAGGGCATAGCCTTTGACGAGTATCGACTGGGTAGCGCTTTGACCATGTGCCTTGAGGATGTTGACAGCCTTTACCGGGTATTTGACCTCGTTCTTGTTGTTTGTCATCTTGACAGCGGTCATGGCGTCTACGACCATGTTGGCGAAGAAGTCAGAGTCGGAGCCAATGATCTTGCTGGACATGGATGTCTTTGCAATGTTGACCAGCGAGTCCCGGCCCAGAGCATCAACCTTTGTGCTAATGTTCTCGTTCATATACTTGACAGCCTCCCTCAGAGCCAACCGGTAGCCTGTAATGATTGTGGTGGGGTGAATCTTGTTCTTCATGAGCTCGTTGGCTCTCCGCAGCAGCTCAGCTGCTATTATGACGACCGAAGTTGTGCCATCTCCAACCTCCTTGTCCTGCTGCTGTGCGAGGTCGACGAGGATTTTGCCTGCGGGGTGCTCGATATCGAGCAGACTGAGGATGGTGGCGCCGTCGTTGGTGACTGTGACATCGCCAATGTCGTCGACCATCATCTTGTCGAGACCCGAAGGCCCAAAGGACGACTTGACGACATTGGCAATGGCTGTTGTTGCAAGGACGTTCTGGTCGCGAATGTCCTGGCCGCTGATTTTCTGGCCTCCAAGGACTGTTTTGCCAGTTAGTCCATGTTCCTGTTCTCCGCTACTAGAGCTGGCCAAGCTTACACAGAGTGCCCCCGCTGCGTGACTGCTCGAAGATTCCTGCCATGTCGTCGTATTCCAAGCTGTGTCGCTGTGTTGTTTGCTGCCTCTACGCGGTCCAGAAAATCTCCAGCACGCCCGCCGCCCGCGTCGGCGAATTGTAGCTCCGCCGCTGTGCCAGTCGCGCTAAAGTGGACCCTTGCGCCGATGACTCGGCCCCTCCACACATTGGACGCTGCCCTCACACGAGCCTGCGCCCAAGACCGCCCTTTTCACCTGCTCAAGCTCCTTGACTGTAGCTGTGACGCATCTCCCTTCTGACACGTCTAAATCACCTATAAAATATCCTCTTTGTCCCTCAATTGCATGTAAGCATTCTCAAGTCGCGTCAGATACCCCGCCCTGCCCCGCCAACATCCCCTATAACACTTCCTACACTTGCCAAATACGGGCTACCTGAGCAACCACCACTATACACCCTTTTCCTGGAAGCTTGAATCTATTGCAGAGATTGCTACTGCGTTATCTGTACCTTTGATTGTGCTAACATTCGCCGCCTACAACAGACCCAGTATGGCTGAAGCTACGGCAGCCGACGGTCAGATGAAAGATCTTTCCATTTCTGAAACCAAGAAGAGCAAGAAGGACGGCAACCCCCAAAAAGCTGCTAAGAAGCCTCAGCAACAAAAGAAGAAGGTTCGCTCCCCCGATTGGAGCTGTGCTTGGAGTTTTCGCCATGTTGACACTGCAACAGATTGAGGGATCAGCGCTCATCGGTATCGATGTCGCAAAAGAGGTTGACCTTGGAGAATGGTACCAGCAGGTCATTACCAAGGGTCAGATGATCTCATACTACGATGTTGCCGGATGCTACATTCTCGAACCCTCCTCGTATGCCATCTGGGAGAACATCAAGTCCTGGTTCGACGCGCAGATCAAGACTCTCAAAGTCAGGAACGCCTACTTCCCAATCTTCATCAGCGCAGACAACTTGGAGAGAGAGAAGGAGCATGTTGAGGGTTTTGCTGCCGAAGTTGCCTGGGTCACAAAAGGTGGCAAGTCTGACCTTGAGAAGCCTGTCGCTGTGCGCCCTACCTCCGAGACCGCCATGTACCCTTACTTCGCTCGCAAGATCCAGTCCCATCGCGATCTGCCCCTAAAGCTTAACCAATGGAACAACGTCGTTCGGTGGGAGTTCAAGCGTATGTCCTTGGAAATACTGTCATTGATTTTCTATCTAATATCCCTCTAGACCCTATGCCCTTCATCCGATCACGCGAGTTCCTCTGGCAGGAAGGTCACACTGCGCATCTTACAAAAGAAGAGGCTGGCGCAGAGGTTCTGCAAATCTTGGACTGGTACTCCGACGTCTACCAAAACTTGCTCGCCGTTCCTGTTGTCAAGGGTACTAAGACCGTCAACGAGAAGTTTCCTGGAGCCGACTATACCACAACTATCGAGGGTTTCATTCCTGCAACAGGCCGTGGTATCCAGGCTGCAACCTCCCATTGCCTAGGACAGCATTTCTCAAAGATGTTCAACATTACAGTCGAGGATCCTCATGCCAAGGAGTCTGGCAAGTCAGAGCACGTCCACGTCTGGCAAAACTCATGGGGTCTGACTACCCGATCAATCGGTGTCATGATTCTGACTCACGGTGACAACCGGGGTTTGGTCATCCCTCCCCGGGTGGCTGAAATCCAGGTTGTCGTCATTCCTGTCGGTGTTACAGCCAAGTATGTTTTATCCGCGCGTCCTTAGAAACATGTAACTAACGTTAGCAGGATGTCCGCCGAAGACAAAGAGAGCCTTTACAGCAAGGTCAAGAAGATCTCAGATGACTTGAAAGACGCAGGCGTTCGTGTTGAGACCGACTACCGTGAAGGCTACTCCCCTGGCTGGAAGTTCAACGACTGGGAGCTCAAGGGTATCCCTCTGCGAATTGAGTTCGGCCCCAAGGATGCTGAGAAGGGCGTTGTCACCACCTCGCGCCGCGACATTGACGACAAGGATGCTGCACGTGGTACCATTAACGTCGATGACCTTACACAAGAAGTCCCCAAGCTTCTCGAGCAGATCCAAAACGATATGTTCGAAAAGGCTGACAAGACCTTCCGCAGCCACCGCGTACAGCTCACCAACTGGGACGACTTCGTTCCCACTCTTAATGCCAAGAATGTTGTTCTCGTTCCTCACTGTGAGGGTGACAAGTGCGAGGACGAGGTCAAGGCCAAGAGTGCCAGGACGGCGTTGGGTGATGGTGTCGCTGAGGACAAGCAAGCTCCTGCCATGGGCGCAAAGAGTTTGTGCATTCCTTTCGACCAGCCCGAGGGTATTGAGCCTGGCAAGACCAAGTGCATCAACCCCACCTGCACGACTCCAGCCAAGCAGTGGATCTTGTTCGGACGAAGCTACTAGTGAAGCGATGTTAGTTCGAGTGTTTGTGGCGTCCTTTTCTGTTTATTTGAGCATTTGGTGGCATGGAGTTTGATGGCACGGTGTTTACGTCATGGGGAAGGGGGTTGTCGTTGCACTAGCCATTTTCAAGTTTACAATGTTCGATATGATCGTAGGCATGATTGTCAAATGTCTATGTCTTGGTCTAAAACTTTTCCTTGTGTAGGTGTGCTTTCTGGAACTCAGTGAACGGAAATTTAGCAGCTTGTCATCATGTCGTGTCATGTGTTACGAATTTCTCCAGGTTTTCCCCTGCACCATTCACAAAATCATTTGTGCTACATTCGTGTCACGATTGACGAGTGTGCATACTTTTTTCTTGTACGAACCTAGTACTTTGTCACAGCATCAAAAATGGGAGTCAATGTCGTAAATCAGACATCCTCACAAGACCACGCATGAAGAGAAAACAAGATATTGGTGTAATCTCCCCAAGCACTGAGTGACATGCCGATCTCATTCTTCTAATATCTACCATAAGTCATGTGTAGTCATCATACAGCGTGAAGTCGTATCGAACCCTCTCTACCACCACTACATCCATACGGGCAACATCTAGCTCGTATCCATCTCATCACCACCCTTCTTCTTCTCCTTCTCCACCGTCTTCTTCACACCATCCAAAAACGCCTTGACCGCATCTCCGCCACCTAGTGGCATAGCGCCACCCCTCATGTAACCCCCGTTCTCAACATCAACTTTCAGGGCTTGACTAACCGTCGGCAACGCACCCGTCTTGAGCGCTTCAGTCAGACTACCCAGCGCAGCCCTTAATTGTGGCGCGCGCAGAATCCTGGTGAGAACGTCGATTTTCTCCTCGCGGCTCAGCGTCTGGATAGCCATTTGGGCGGTCTCAGAGTTTGGATCGATTTGTTCGACGTCTTCGACTTCGGCTTCGAGGAGGAATGGCGTGGTGGGGAGTTGGGCGCAGAGAGCGTCGATGATGTCATCTGATGCGTTTTGAACGGTGGGGACGGTGTGCGAGGGCCAGAGAAGATCGAGGAGCGTGGTGAAGGGTGCGCCGGAACCTTGTTGGCGCGAGCTGCTGCCGCCGCCCATGTTGCTGCCTTTGAGCGAGTCCATGAAGTTGGAGACAATTGCTGAGACATCGCCTGACGCGGCTCTGTCGAAATATTAGCTCAGTGTCTGAGAATACTAAGATTCAGTAGAGAAAAGAGAGCGGGCGCCGTGGCGTAGCTGGTGAAAGACGTAGCATGATGCTTATTTTTCTATTGTTGTACATGAGCAGCCAGTGCCAATATCCCATGTTCTTGGTTGGGCTTATGCTTCTTCCCAAACGCCGTATCGTGACAGAATGTCCTTTCGAGTTTTTTTTCTTACATTGGGACTCTGGCATAGTCTTCCATAGTAGTTTCGGTTGCTTTCAGTGATTCCACTACGCCACGACGCCGCATATAATTACAAGTAGACGGAACCTACGCTCTGCCGCCGTCAGCACCTCCTTCACGGGACTCTTCACCCTCCTCTCGGATATCTCCACCGGTAGCATCCGCTCCAGCGCCTCCGGTGCTACCGTGGCGGTTTCGGCTAGATGAATGGTCTACGTCTTCCATCGTCTCGTCTTCGTCGTTGCCGCCGTGTGGGTCGGAGAGACCGGCAAGTTCAGCCTGCACATCGATTTCCTCGCCTGTCAGTAGCAGGTCAACGATTTGACCAATCTTTTGATCACGCTCGCTGAACCATGCGGCACCACGTGGGTGTTCCGACTTGGATTGTAACCAGAAGAGGTAGCGCTGTGAACTGGACGAGAACTTGAGAACGTAGATGCGGCCATCGGTAGGTGATCTGAGATTGTCCGAGTCCTCTGCTGACTCTTTGCCAGTGTATGGGAGGAAGGAGCCGTCGCTGGGGATCATGATGAGGTCAAGCTCGGACTGGTCAAGGGGCCTGTCGCGGGGTCGCCAACAAAAGTGCACGAATTCTGGCATCGTCAGTCTGATGCATGGGGTGAGGTAGCTGCGCACAAACCATCTTCTCCCTGGTAAAGGTAGACGTAACCAGGTGTCGGGATTGGCTTGACCGTCTGCTGGTTGCCATCTCGGCGCTGAATGTGCGATTAGTACAGGTAATGTGATTGAAATAACTTCATCCAGCTTACCGTGAGCTCGCACTGGCCGGCCTTGAAGGTGATCAGTGGCTGAATGGACATGTTTGGGGTGGTGTTTGTGATGCTGGGGACAATGATGTTCGAGCTTCCCAGGCCACTTCGGTGGAGCTGGCGGCGACGCGGCGGGAAGCTCCGAGCGCCCCGGAACAATGCTCGGCCCGGTCACGCGTATCGATTGGACAGCTTGGCACACACTGGAGGATTTCACGAAATTCCGACCATCGCCATCACCACCGACCAGCACTAACGACCACAGCGAAACGAAATGGCGGCCACACAAGAGGACACGAAGCCCACCACCAAGAAGTTCTCCAAGGGGGAGAGGTCGATACCGCACCACAGCCAGAAGGCCAGCAAGTACTACCCTGCTGAGGACGTTGCCGTCCCCAAGAAGGTACGTTCGCGATAGAACCGGGAGCGTCAAGGCAAAGCGGAGAATTGCAAAGAGACGGGAAACGAATCAATGTGCCTGCGTGCAGCGGGTGCGCCATTATGGAACTTGGGAGAATAGAGCATCTTCTGGAGCTCCGCTAACTGCGACCAAAGGCCCGCAAGACTGTCCGCCCTGCAAAGGTTCGCCAGTCTCTCCAGCCCGGTACCGTCGTCATCCTCCTTGCTGGTCGCTTCCGCGGCAAGCGCGTCGTTGTCCTCAAGCACCTTGCCCAGGGTGTTCTCCTTGTTACCGGTCCCTTCAAAGTTAACGGTGTTCCCCTCCGCCGAGTAAACGCCCGTTATGTCATCGCTACCTCCACCAAGGTCGACCTTGCAGGCGTAGACGAGAAGGTTATCGAGAAGGCCAGCCAAGACGGCTACTTCACCAAGGACAAGGCCCCCCACAAGCCTGGCGAGGACGCTTTCTTCAAGCAGGGCGAGAAGCCCGAGGTGCGTAACTACAATGAGCGCTCTAATGCGACGATACTAACAATCGCAACAGAAGAAGGAGACCTCCAAGGACCGTGTCGAGGACCAGAAGGCCATCGACAAGGCCCTCCTGGCCACCATCAAGAAGGAAGCCCACCTCGCGGACTACCTCGGTGCCAGCTTCAGCCTCCGCAGCTCAGACAGGCCTCACGCGATGGTCTTCTAAGCGACGGATAACGATCGGGCATTCGGCGTTCAGTGCATGGGATGAAAGATGACTTCGGCATACTGCAGCCGTACTAGCGAGGATCAAGAACCGCAGCGGCATGGCAGCCAATTTTTTTCATGGAGGATACCGCCAAGGCATTTACCATAAGACTTTATAACGAGCAAGCGAATCTGAGACGGTCCAGAAGTGAACATTTGGTCTCTGCTTGCGTGATGTCATAGTTGGGCGTTCAATTGGCGCGGTACATACAGGGCGGTAATCGAGTACTGATGCATGGAATAGAGTTACAGACACATTGACATTGTTCGACCGATGACTGCGCCGGCTGCTACAAGAGCTCCATCCGATTATGACGTAAAGGTATCAGAAACGACTACAACCGACCTGAACCCATGCCCCAAGGACCAATCGCGCCAATTTCAATGCCTCTTTTCGTGTTCCACCTTGTGTTGATGTGCAACTTACTTTCTTCCTTTACCTTTTTTGGATCTTCCAAGTCTCCCCGCAAGTCCGTTTGCTGCATTCCCTGCTTCGTCCATAGCCTTTCCTGCCTTGGCTTCCACATTGTGCTTTTCCATTTCTGCCTTGAGGTCCTCCATGACATCCTTACCCAAGGTCGTTCCATGACACCAGTCTAACACACCCAGGCATCCGTAGTTTCCTTCCCCCTCACTCATCATATGCGCATCAGCACGACGTGCCATGCCCCTCAACATGATGGTTGATGGTAAGACATTATAGCCAGAGTACACAAATGTTTCTTCGAGACTGAAGAGTCCAACCATGATGAGGTAGGTCAAGATGTGCATTCGCAATGTGATTGCGGGAAGGTACAGAGGAAGAAAACGGTGCAAAAGATGGCAGATGGGATGGTCGTAATTTGCCACAAAAGAGTAAGGAATGCGGATACTGTGATGCCAGTTTTGGTGGAGTGTTGACAGGGCCCCGCCAGTGAGTGAATGCAGGAGGTGAGTGTGGATGTAGTATTGGAGGATCTGATTTGACTATTAGTATAAGTTGACTTGCAGAAAACGGAAAAGCCAACTCACGTTTCGCGACACAAAGGCAATGCTGCCGTGCTTTAGCATGGTCCAAGGATTCGGCAAGTGATTGAGTCCCCATCTGCTGCCCTTGATGCGCAGTAGGCTCCTCATTTGGAACACATCAGTCACAAGAAACTCAATCCCCGCTTGCAGCGCAACCGTAAGCAGTACATTGACACAACTCCAAGCCACTACCCTTCTTGCTGCTCTCGCACCACCTCTTTGGTTACTTGGGATTCCCCATTTTCCCTGGCTCTTGAATTCGACCGCAAGACTAGGCACGCCAATGTCGAAGATAAGAAAGATAAGGCTGGGTATGATGTACAGTGATAGTCGCAGGACGAAGGGAGCAACGAGTTCCAATTGCAGAGGCGAATAAGATGCAGCGATTGTTGTCCATGCGACAGAAAGGAATATGAGGTTTAAGCCCGTAGACCACGAGCTGAACATGGGTATGGCGAGGAAGGAGCCTAGGGGGAGGGCGATGGGCGCGATGATGGAAGATAGGAACGCGCCCATCTTGAAAAGCGGAGTACAATAAATGTTTTTGACGATAACAATTTTTCTCTCGAAAGGATATGGTTGCAATAATGTACTTTTTCGTTAGTTTGCAGGGTGGAGAATGCGCAATTAGGATATGATGTTTTGCCCAATTTGCATGTGTGAGGCGATGACGTAGTGGGGGCTGGTAAGACTTGGTTCTTGACACGCGGGTTGATGTGTTGGTGGGACAAGCGAGCGCGTATCTACGTAAGAATTTCGTGACGTCTCGAGGCACCCTACTCTATTCTGTGTCTAGGAATTCGCTATGGATATTTACAATTTAATTGCTATCACGATGATAGCGATCCACACAGTACTCAACATAAGGTTCCTGAGCCCTTTGTACGTTTCCTTCCAGTTGACATCATCATCACGAAGCTCTACGTGATCACCAACACCAAGCTCTACATGATCATCAACACCAAGTTCTGTGTGAGGCGCAGTCCTCAGCGCTGTCTTGTTTTTTTCTTCGTCGCTTACGCTTTTTTCGATACGGGCAACCATTTCTTGTACATCAACTTGATGCTATGTTCTTGTGTTAGCGACGGCTTGCTAATTATCGAGCACGTTGGAATGTAATTATACCCTGGTTGGAATTCGGCTTGCTATTATATGTCAGTATGAGCGGATTGTGCAGAACATAAGTCTCACCTGTAACAATGACTTCTATCTTGTTTGTTACCATCCTGAAGTTTGTATGAAGTTGTCGTTCCCCAATGTGTGCGCTAGGGCTTCGAGTTCGTTGTGAATGTTGCAGGAACAGAGTATGAGATGAATTGATAGATAACGAGTTTTCTTATGGCTTTAGCAGTAGCGGAGCAGTGTGCTTAGATGTTGGTTTGAGTAAATGGCCAACCTTTTGATTATAATTATTGCAAAGTGCCATTGTAGAAGATGTCGTGATCCAGTGTAAGTTTGCTACTTGTGATGTCTCTCCGTATCTGGAGAATTTACCCAACGTAAGGAGCGTAGATGAGCTTCGGTTAGAGGTATGGTCTTGCAGGTTTACCACCAAAATACACCTCCCCTGTGTACATCTCTTGGCAATATAAAAGAAAACTATCGACAGATGAAACTAGACAGACCTTTTGTAAAGCTAAGTTCGTCACAAGGACAGGGCGCAACGCAGACGCCACAGTTGAGATAAAGACAGAAGCATATACGGACATGGGAAGGAGATGTCGCAACCTGAAGCTCACCTGAATGTACAGATTGTTTCTAAGAAAACACAATCCGTTCATGACACGGTACGGTATACTGATTGAGACCACGGCATTCAGACCTTACTTTGACCAAAGTGCTCTTTCCAGAAAGAAAGAAAAAAAGCTCACACTTCTGTCTTGGATACGATTCATGCTAGCACTTCAACTACCTCGCGCATGTCCGTGTAGATTCAGAGGCTTTTTGCATGGGTTTCTTGGCCACCACCGCTGTGAAAAGTCGAGAGCATGGTTAGCATATGACCCTGTATTCGTCTGAATATCAATTCTATCAATACCGATTCTATTCCGAGCGTTCAAAAGAGATATTACAGTATCGCAGTGAAAAACCCGAGAATCGCGCGAGCGCAACGTAAAGGCGATAAGACAAAAAACAACAACAGGAACTGTCTTTAGCTAGGGTACCTTAGTTCATGCATTGTCTCTGGTAAACGGGAAGGTTGCTCATTCTGCGAACCGAGCTTAAAGACGGTCTGTGGCGTTGTTTGCTTAACAAGACGCACTTTGTACTCCACGAGCGAAATCGGCGTGGGTCTCCCCCCACCTCCCCCTTCAATCGGCAACCCCATACGCCCTTTAAGTGACATGCACCGTTGACAAGTACTACATGTCGGGAGATGATTCACCATACTAGACTCCATTCGTATACCAGTCACCTCAATTCCCTCATACAAGAAATTCCGCTGAATAATAAGACAATCGTATCGTGACGTGACGTGATAGCTGCAGGGAGCGGGGGAGTGTGGGGGGCGGGGCAATAGCAGCCGTGTATGTATTTATCCCCCCCAAGCGTTTATCCCTCCAAGACAAAAATACCAAGCCTCCAGAACCTTCATCAATTCCTGAGTTCCGATTTTATGATCTTTGCGCTGCAAGCTGTGCGCCCTGCCCAATTACTTTTCAGACAGACATCTCCAGCGACGAGACTCGCAGCTATCAGTGCACACGTGAGCCCGAGGATAACCGGATTCAGAACTATGGCGTCCATACCGAAGACGATGAAGGCGGTGTATATTGAGAAGACGGGTGGGACGGATGTGTTGCAATATAGCGATGTGCCGGTTCCTGAGCCCAAGGAGGGAGAGGTACTCGTTAAGAATGAGTTCATTGGTATCAACTACATCGATACGTGAGTTTATCATGGTATCTCCGCAAGATTGCCGCTCATATCGTATTCAGATACTTCCGCTCAGGAGTCTACAAACCCACCCACTTCCCTTACATCCTGGGTCGCGAAGGCGCAGGAACTATTGCTGCAACCGGCTCCAATACACCCGCCGACCTCAAAGTGGGTGCACGAGTAGCCTACATGGGTCAATCGGCCTATGCGGAATACGTTGCTGCGCCAGCGAAGACGACGGTTCCTTTGCCAGACTCTGTTCCTACTAAGACAGCTGCTGCTTCCTTGCTCCAAGCGCTAACCGCTGTAACTCTTATCCGTGAAGCGTACGCTGTGCAAAAGGGCGACTGGATCCTTGTCACAGCTGCGGCCGGTGGTGTCGGACTGTGGTTGTGTCAGCTACTGAAGGCGATTGGCGCAAGAGTCATTGCGACAGCTAGTACGGAGGAGAAGAGAAATCTCGCAAAGGAAAATGGTGCTGAGGTGTTGCTTGAGTACTATGAGGAAGACAGAGACATTTTCGTGAAGAAGGTCCTGGAAATTACGGGAGGGGAGGGTGTACATGCCGTCTTTGACTCAGTTGGCAAGGCTACTTTCGACAGCTCGCTTGCTGTGGTGAGGAGGAAGGGTACTATGTGTTCATTTGGTAACGCATCTGGCCCTGTGGACAATTTTGCTCTTAGGTGAATTTGCTCTTTTCGTCCTTTTTGTGGAAATAGTGACTGACGCAACTGTTAGTCGTCTTGCAGCAAAGAACATCAAGCTCGTCCGACCCACGCTCTTCAACTACCTCGCTACGCGCGAGGAAGTTCTAGAAGCATCGAATGAGCTGTGGAAGTTTATTGAGAAGGACGGGCTGAAGGTCAAGATTCACGATGTTTATCCTTTGAAGGATATTGTAAGGGCGACTCAGGATATTGAGGGCCGGAAGACTACTGGAAAGTTGGTTCTGACGCCGTAGGTTCATGGACAGTGAAAACGAAAATGTGAAATCATGAATTTATTAGGGGCGGCCGAGATAGTTGGGTACTCAGAGCACTTCGAATACCAATCTCCCGTACAAAGTCAACCCCTCATTCGACTATAAGGAACCCTGATACCAATCATAATGCCTTGGAAACCTCTCACTCCTTGCAGATTCCATCCATATCACCCAAGTATCTTTCCCTCTAGCCAGCCTTGTTCAAGCGCACACGTCATCGGCCGGAAGCAAGTTATTATACTCTTCCGACTTGACATCCGCTGCTTCAGTGATGGCTCCGGTGGGCTCTTCAACGCTGAAGAACGCATCGCTATCCTCGTACTCTTCCTTGACAGCCGCTTTCTTGGTCATGTTGCGCTTGCCACGCTTTGGCTTGACATCTGACTCTTCATCTTCATCGTCAAGGACAGCGGTAGTCTTGAGAACTGAGCGCTTGCGCTTCGCGTTGGGTGATGTCTTGACATTCTCAGAAGCACCAGGTTCGTCCTTGGTAACGGGCTTGCAGGCAGCCTTGGTCTTAGCAGGAGAGGCCTTAACGGGAGAACTAGGTACAGCGTCGCCCCTCTCGAACGCCAGTTTCATACGAGAGTAGCGCTTGGATGCTGCACCAGTCGTAGTGTTGCAGGCTGTGGCGATGACTTCCCAGTTGATAGGCTATCCTGCTGTTAGTGGTGTACTCTTCCTGACGTTTTTGAGGTGATGTGTAGCATAACTTACGTTCGTGCGGGTGCTGTGCTTAATGCAGAGCCAGAGGAAGGGATACGAAGAGCTGCTAGACGTTTGCTGTCTCTCCACGGCTGACTTGAGGCGGGACCAGCGCTTCATTACTGCGCCCTTATTCAGATCAAGGGCAGCACTGACGGCTTCCCAGTCGATCTGTTGCAAGTTAGCGACGTTGTTTATGCCTGAATTGCGACTATTTATAGATGGCTTCTCACTTCTGCAGAGGAAATGGTAAGACTTACAGTCGGGGGGCCATTGTGGGTCAAGACCTGATACAGATAGGTGATGTTCTCGCTATCCGAAGGCATTTTGAGTCTTGTTGGCTTGTTTGGTAGATGTTTGGTGATAAGGTGCGCAGCTTACTGTATTAAAGTTGAGAGTAGAGTCTTCGAGCAAGTGAGGTGAGCGACAAGGGAAGTCTCACAGTCGTCCTTATATCCCTAGTGAAGGCAGACTCCCACAGCTTAGTAACCACACGTGACATGCAGTTACGATTAGCGCGGTATTTGGCAGGCTTTCAAGGATTTTCTAGAAGGTGACGTCGAATAAAGTTGAGGTGAAAGTGAAGGTTAGTGAAGACAGAGGCGTTTGTGACCAGCGGCAGACTGTCAGTAGGCTGCCATTGCGACACGACTAGACCAGAACTCAAAGACTACGTCTTGAGAGATTTTTATAAATAGAATGTATTAGAGGGCTAGATATATAAGAAAACAGACCATGTTGTTCGATGGTATGTTCCTTTTAGCTATCGCAACAACAGTGTCTCGTCTATCGCATGTAGCGTAAAATTATCACACCAGCACGACATGATATCTTAACTTTCCATATGATCGGTGTAGCATATCCTCATCCCTCTTAATCCAATTTGTAGACTTCGCGCTTTCGCCTTAACCTCGATACTGACCGAAACGTTGATTAATGACTTGAGCCTCACTATAGTATAGCAGTTCGTTCATGCGTGTGTGTGCGTTTAACTATAAGAAAGTTTGGCTCAGACACTCCTACTACCCGCAATTCAGTACTCATCGTTGACAAGAGAAGACGTGGTACAGGTAGCTATGCATTGTTTGTGCTCAAGTTCAACCGGGCCCTCTTTTGTCGCATCTTACCTTGGAAATGATCACAACCGCATCAAGGCCGATTTCACAAAATGCGATACATTTCATATGTCCCATTACGCTATTTACATGATTCCCAACACATCTACGACACACCCAGCCCCACTAGCGCCTTCGCATCCTCCCCCTCCTCCTCCCCAATCCCTCTCCCCACCAACTCCGTAAAATCCAACCCAACGTCCCTCAGCATCTCCGCATGTTCATGCGCCAACCTCAGACACACATTCCACACGTTCCCGCCCTCCTCCACACTGCTCAGCTGCCGCTTGAGCAGTACGTTGAACTGGTCAATATGTTCTTTGGCCCATTTCACGCAGGCAGACATGAGTTGCTGGGGGAAACAGCGCTGGAACATGTCGACTGTGTTTTTGATGATGGTGAAGTAGATATATGAGATTTGGAAGATGTAGTCTGGTAGATTGCCTTCGAAGACGCATTGACTGTGAAGAAGCATTAGCCAACAGATTATAAAAGGAGAGAGAAAAGAGGGAGAAAACGAACCGTGAGCGAGTCTTAATGAGGTTACCGCGAGCCTCGAGATAATCTTCGCGCGCTCTGTCTTCGAAACCTAGTTGGACAACCCAGCTGACGTGCTGCCGTACAGATGAGAACCAGTTGTTGTGCTCTACCATGTGTTTGACCAGCACATTTGCCAATTTAGCAGCTCGCTCGTTGACCTTGTATGTTACAATGGCTTTTGCCATTTCGTTGCCACGAATATTCTTCGCAAGTGACTTAAGTCGATCGACTTTTACCACTGCTTCCTCGAAATGCTGCAGCGCAATCTCAATGTCCAAGTCATCCAATTGGCTTTCCACCCAACGAACATTTCGCTTCTGGCCATCTACGTCTATAAATGTGTTGGCTTGCTCGTTGTTGATACCATCAGAAAGATTATCAAGAAGCTCTGTCCTGTTCATGAGTGCAGGGTCACGAGAGAGCAGGTGGCTGTACGAGTCCTGGGTCCGGTCCTTTTCTTGCACATCGGCTTCTTGACTCTTACGCAAGTCATCCTTAGTTTTGCGGAAGGTTGCAACGAAAGCGGACTTGTCACCACTGTCTTCTTTCTTGGTATCATAGGTAAATGATTCCGCGCCCGCACGGATAATGATGCGCTCTTCTGGTGTCCTTGTGACATGGGTGTCTAGTAATGGAAAACATCGCTGCGCAGTAAATTCCATGTTTGTTCGATTGCCCTCACGCTGCCCGGGGATATCGTTGCGGGCCTTCTTTTCTGTCGCAATCAGAAGGTGATCGTTCAGGAGGAGCAACCTGACTCGTCGTCTTGCTTTCAAAGTTGCAGAGTCTAGTTCGAACCATTTCCCTGACTTCCACACTATGTATCGTCCGGGTATGGGAGGTAGGTACTTCTGCGAGCCTTCGACATCCCTGTACAACTGTTGCAATTGGCCTGCTCGCAGCTGGTTAAGATCGCCAATCGAACTTCTATTAGCTCTCCTGTTGCTTGCAGCATCGTTGTTTGCGCCAGTGGCCGATGCTGTCTGCTCAAGTGTGGTAGTCAAGTCGGACATCAACTGGCGCAGTGTTCGCATTTCGCCCTTGAGCTTCTCCGCCTCTTTACTGATCTTGATAAACTGTGTGCGGTTCTGGTATACGTTGTGCTGGAGATCAAGGGAAGTGCGGTGCTTGGTCTTGCGTAGTTCGTCTTGGTAGCGGTTGATGTCGGCTTCGGAAGCATCTGCGAGGATAGTGGATACATCTGAATGCAGTCAATACTTTATTGTACATATTCCCTTAATATGTGCGCCTCACATTGCTCTACTTTCAAGTTGGGGTCTCTGAGTGCGCGGGGGTCGACCTGCAACGCCCGCCCATTGGACCCATTGGGCGCATTCGACATGCCTTGCTGCCTGGGCTCTCTCGTCTGGCTCGGCTCCCTTTCCTGCCGGTACTGCATAGGCATCTGAGGCATAGGCGCTCTGTCCCTGAAGTCGGGAGGGTTCGTCGTGACCTTTTGCGAGTACCTCCTCTTGACCAAAGCAGCCGTCTTATCAGGCCGCTGTGGGTTTGCTTGCGGAGGCGGAGGCGGAGCATCTTGTCTCGTCCTAGATCTGCTGGATTCATTCGAAGGGCGTCCTGAGCCTGGCAGTGAAGATGGAGCGACGGCCACGGGCATAGGCGCGCTAATCTGACGCGGCGCGCTGATGACGGGCGGGGCCTTTTTGCTCTTGTCCCCCCGCTTCTTGCGAAGGGAGATGCCCTTTTGCTTTTCCGACATGCTGCCTTTGGGGGGGATGGTGGCAGCAGTGGCAGCAGCAGTAGTAGTAGTAGTAGTCGAGGTATTAGTCGAGGTGGTCGTGACAGGTAAGCGCAAGTGCATCATGCATGCCGTGCATGGGGCCGCGGCGAGCGTGTGAGCTCGGACCCTCCACCATGTCGGATCGTGCCTTCCCTGAACTTGGAGAAAAAGTTGAACACCACACACTCACGCACCACCGCCATCCCTCCTCCATTTCCAAGGTGTACCGCCGAGCCTTCTCCGCCACCAAGCGCTCTTCAATCCCACGCATTCGGCCGCCATCATGTCCAACTCGTCGTTAAAACCTTCCACCATTGCGGCTATTAGCGCCGGCACCATCATCACAGGCCTCCTCGCATATGCCGCCTACTTCGACTACAAGCGACGAAACGACCCCAATTTCCGCAAGCAGCTCAAGAAGGAGTCGAAGCGGACAGAGCGCCAGGCCAAGGAGGAGGCCGAAGCACAGGGCGCCGAGCAGAAGAAGGCCATCCGGGAGGCGGTCGAGCGCGCAAACGATGAGGGCTTCCCCAAGGACCCTGAGGAGGTCGAGGCATACTTTATGCAAGAGGTTGCCCAGGGAGAGGGAATGGTGCAAAAGGGTATGCAGTCATTGTGGTCACGGTCGTGGTCTTGGCGGGGTGTGGTGCTAATTGTATGGCAGGTGCGGATAACGTGGAGGCTGCGCTGTGCTTCTACCGCGCATTGAAGGTCTACCCCAACCCCAGGGAACTGATCAACATTTACGACAAGACTGTCCCCAAGGTACATTCCTTTTCGCCACCTTGTGCGCTCCGATTTTTGCTAACACTACACAGCCGGTTCTAGACATCCTAGCCGAGATGATCGCCGTGGACACTTCAATCCCGGTCGGCGGCAGCAAGACACCGTCTGAGGCGGGCTCAGCAGGCGATCTCGAGTAAAACGTCGCTTTCGACACTAGTACTTTGATCAAAATTCAGCAAGCTTTCACGGAACCCCTCTCCATCTGATCACGACCCCATGTAATATTCCTGTATATGTAATGGCGCCATGTGGTCCATCTCACGGTTGGCGTTCCGGTTCAGCACGATGCACCTGGATGGCACAATTGGTTGGCATGGGCGGGCTTCGAGTGCTTATACATAATCCCACAGCGCCGGGCGTCGCTCCATTGACGTCATGCCATGGCACGCACGGATACGCCCTGGTATATTACAGAATACACGTTTCCGACGTTAAAGATGCATGTAGCCCGTGTCCAAACGCCTTGCTGATAATGACTTGCGCAGACTCGCAAGAGACCCCCAGATATAATGAGAACAAGACAAAAAAAGAGAATGCTGTGAACGAATGAACCAAGGTCGATTGGTGAATGGGTCGTGACATTTCTAACATGAGCATGAGTTTTCCTGTGCGGGCTGGCTGGGGTTGATGTTCACATCGATCACTGCCAAGCGGATTAGCATGGCACTTGTTCACGTGCCGACTTTGCAACATACTCTGACTCTGCCCTTGTTGGCCCTCGCCCTCCATGCCCGGTAACGCCTGCGCAATTCTCTTGAACAATGCCTTGACATTGTGCCCGACCTTTGCGCTAGTCTCGATAAACATCAGGTTGTTCTTCTTGGCCTCCTCCTCGCCCTGGGCTGTGGTGACCTCGCGCTTGTCGTTCAAATCCGTCTTGTTTCCTACAAGCACAATGATAACATCGTTGCCTCGCTCACCTCGCACATCGTCTACCCACTTCCTTGTGTTCTCAAACGTCTTCTTGTTTGTGATGTCGTACACAACTACGGCTACGCTAGAGTCGCGGATGTACGAGGGAATCAGCGAGCGGAATCGTTCTTGGCCAGCAGTGTCCCACAGCTGTAGGCGGACTGTTCGATCTTCAAGGTACATGGTCTGGGGGCTCCAGTCAGGAATTTTCTAGAGAGCACGCTTTGGTGTCATGGGGGTGGGAAGCGCACCTTGCTCAGAAAGTCGATGCCAATGGTCGCTTGGTAGGTATTGTCAAACGAGTCGTACATGAACCGGGTAATCAAAGATGTCTTGCCGACTAGGCATTTGGTCAGCATACATGGGCGGATGTTTGTGCGAGAATGAAGCATGCATACCACTCTGTTCACCCAAGAACACAAGCCTACAGGCAATCAGTATACAGGGTCCATGTGCGTTGCGGAGGACACCTCACTTGAACTTCTTCAGCGGATTCGAATACCCCGCTTGCGCCATGACGAAGGATATGGGAGAGAGGCCAGAGAAGAAGACAAAAGCGAAGGACTAGGCGTGTACACAGCAATCAGGGCTCCGAGTTCTGTATCTTGGCGAAGTGCGGTGTCCGGAAAGGAGTGCTGGTCCAACTGGAGGCCTCGCACCCTGTACTCTGGCCAACACCGACTACCGAGAGGCGCAGGGGTGCCGGGTGGGTCTTGCCAGGATGTCCGTGCGTGCGTTGGTCGGAATTTTGGCTCGAACTTTTTGCGACAACCAACAACCCCACGACTTGCCCGCAAAACTACGCGAAAGACGCAATGGCAGACTCAGGAGCCGCACCGGCGCAGCACAAGCAGCCTAGTCGCAAGGGAAAGAAGGCTTGGCGCAAAAATGTCGATGTCACGCAAATCCAGTCTGGCCTTGAAGAAGTACGAGAGCAGATAATCCAAGGGTATGTCTCGCGCTGGCCACAGGCGTTGCATTATATTAACAAACGGCAGTGGTGTCATTGCGGAAAAGCCTGCCGATGAACTCTTCGCAGTCGATACCCTTGGATCTGCCGAGATCAAAAAGTCTATCGCAAAGCGTCATAAGCCTCTCAAGGTTGATGAGATCCTCGCCCAACGCTCTGCCGTTCCCGCCGTCTCGACCAGGAAGCGTCTCTCGGACATTGCCGACGATGGCAAGAGAAAGAAGGCCAAGGTTTCAAGTAAGGAATACGACAGATTAAGAGCCATTGCCTATGGCGGCGAACAGGTCAAGAAAGATGTAGTGCAAACTAGTGACGCTGTGTATGACCCATGGGCGGTACAAGAAGTCAAGGAAGATCCCAGATTTGAATACCTGGAAAAGAAGAAGCCAAAAGTCGAGCCGAAAACGCTCAAGCACGCACCTATCTCCCAAGCAAAGACCGGCAAGCCCATCCCAGCAGTCCGTAAACCGACTGGCGGAAAGTCATACAACCCTCTACTGGAAGACTGGCAGAATGAGCTCATGCGCGAGTCTGACAAGGTTGTCGAGGCCGAGAAGAAGCGCCTAGAAGAGGCTCGTGAGGAGGCTGAGCGTATGGAACGGGCGGCCGCTGAGACGGAATCAGACTCTGGCGAAGAGAGCGTTTGGGAAAGCGAGTGGGAAGGCTTCAGTGACAATGAGAACAAGGAGGTAAAGAAGAAGAGGCCAGAGAGGAAAACCATATCCCAGAGGAACAAGATCAAGAAGAGGAAAGAGGCCGAAAGGAAGGCCAAGCACGAGGCCAAGATGAAGGCAAAAGAACAGCAACTTCAAGAGGTCAAGAGGCTAGCGAAGAGTGTTGAAGAAAAGGAGAAGGCAAGAGCTGCTGTACGCCAGGCTCTTGAGAAGCAGAACGCTGAGGCAGTAGAAGATGATGGCGAGGAAATTGAGCTTAGGAAAAAGCAATTTGGCAAGGCTCCGTAAGATTTTCTCCTCACTTTCACACCGCGCTGTTTGCTAACTTTACTCAGATTGCCAGAAGCTCCACTCGAAGTTGTGCTTCCAGACGAGTTGAGAGATTCGCTACGTCTTCTCAAGCCAGAGGGAAATCTTCTCAAGGACCGTTTTAGGACAATGCTGCTGCAGGGCAAAGTCGAAGCCAGAAGACAAATCCCGTATGCAAAGCAGAAGAAGTATACGGTGTCCGAGAAGTGGAGCTACAAGGACTGGCAATTGCCAAAATAGACGCACTTTCGCAGATCAAAAGGGACCGGCGTTCCTCCAGACTTTTGAATATGATTATTACCTTCTTTTTCCGCCATATCTAATCTGATCTGCATTATACCATTTGGATGTTTGTTTCTATGTCGTTCGAATGGCAACCCTAGACAGTGGCATTCTGAAATGTATTCGTAGAGGCTCGAAAGTCTCAATGTTTAGTGGTACAATCAAGTCCTGGTGGTACCACACACACTTATCGGGGCTCTTCCCCGACTATAAGGGCGAAGAAAATGTTATAATTACTATTGACACATACTCAAATATACACGGCATTCCCGTTGGTAACAAGATAAATCAGGCAAGAGATGATGGAAAGCATCAAACATTTTCTAAAATACAATCTGAGAAGCTATTCTTGGAGTTTCTGGCATTGAATCTATAGGGGGACTGTCAGAGGACAATGCTGAATGGGATTTCATAACTTTACGCGTAATGAAATGTGCGACGCGAATGTCGATCAGGGAAGTGACCCTGAATTGTGGGGTAACCGCACGGGCCCCGCAGCGTCATCGCTAGAACACAAGGACAAGGATTGCGGTCATTTCGATTACACTTTTGGCATCTACAAATCCGTACGATAGTAAGATTTCGGAACTGTCGGCTTATGCAAGCCACGTTCCCTATTCAATGCGATCCTTTCTTTGGCCTTTGCACCCCTCTTCCTACCACAAACAAAGCCAACCATGTCCTCCTCTTCGTCCCGTCAGCGACCTAAACAACCATCTCCAAGCACTAGTGACAGTTCGCCCCAGGCTACGCCCTCGACTCGGTCTTCAAAATCCTCCGATAGCCCATCTGTGATGCGTGAGCCAAACTCGTTCGAACTACAAACAATCTCCCCACACCAGGAGCCCGTGTCGAAAGAAGAGCTGGAAGGTGAAGAAGACGACGGTCTGCTACCTAGTGGGCGTCGCCCCTCGATCGATTCAGTTCAAAGTTATGAACTCTATACCCCAGACGAGGACCGTACAGTCCTGAATAAGCTAGATCGGAGGCTAGTTGTGTTCATGGCCTTCCTCTACATGTTGGCGTTCTTGGATCGGTCGAGTGAGTAGATCCTAGACCCAGAAAGATTCAGCGGCTATCTCCATAGCAGGTGCGCGTATGATGGGAATTGGTCAAACCGCGTTCATGCTGACGAAGAATGCCAGACATTGGTAATGCACGTATAGCTGGCCTTCCAGAAGACTTGAAGCTCAGCCCTGCTCAATATGAGTGGCTTCTATGGGCCTTTTATATCACCTACATTATCTTCGAATGGATGATATTAATGTCCGTACAATTCATCCCAAAACTGATGTGTCGCTAAACGTGAATAGGTATCGCGTTGTACCGCCACACATCTACATCTCCTTGTGTGTCCTGTCTTGGGGCATCATAGCATCGCTCCAAGCAGTTACGAATTCGTTCGGTTTCCTCTTTATACTGCGAGCTCTGCTTGGTCTCAGTGAAGCTGCCTTCGCTCCGGGCATACCATTCTACCTGTCTTTCTTTTACCGCAGACGTGAGCTCGCCTTTCGGACCGGACTCGTCGTCAGTGCAAGCCCCCTCTCGGCATCATTTGCTGGCGCTTTAGCCTATGGCATCACCAAGATCGGAGAGCATACCCGGCTAAATCCATGGCGATTGTTATTCTTGGTGGAGGGATTTCCGTCTGTCCTGGTTGCTGTCTGGGCCTGGGATGTCATCCCAGACGGGCCGGGTTTTGTAAAGTGGCTCAGTCCAAGGCAGCGTGAGGTTGCAGTAATGAGACTGAGATCAGAAAAGGAGAAAGAAGACCAAGACAAGGATGATGAAAAGTACCAAGGCCGAGGAAAAAGAGGAGGTCTCGATTTCCGCGAGGTGCTTCAGACTCTGAAAGACCCAAAGGCCTACCTGACAGCGTTTATGTTCTTCTCTTGCAATGTTGCATTTGCTTCAATGCCGGTTTTCTTACCCACAGTCATAAAAGACATGGGCTGGGAGTCGATTACCGCGCAAGGTTTGACGGCACCCCCGTATCTATTCGCCTTTGTAACTGTGCTCATCACCGCACACTACTCGGATCGTCTGCAGTCACGCTCAACCTTTATCATGTTACACTCCTTGCTCGCCACGGCCGGATATGCTACTATTGCGATATCTGGTTATCTTGAGTCTGACAACACCACAGTTCGCTATATCGCCCTATTCCCTGCCGCCGCAGGCTTCTTCAGTGCGATCACATGTATCGTAACGTGGACGGTCAACAACCAGGAAAGTGACAGCAAAAAGGGTGCCGGAATGACCCTTTTGAATCTCATTGGACAAATCGGGCCGTTGGTTGGTACAAGCATTTTCCCTGACCAAGATGGCCCGTACTATGTCAAAGGCATGAGTATATGTGCTGCATTCATGCTGCTAGTTGGAATTCTCGCTGCGGTGCTAAGATGGGTCCTGATCAAAGAGAATAGAAAGTTGAAGGACAGCGGTCATGCAGAATACGCGGGTGTGCCATTCGAGGAGGGTGGAAGTATGGCGCGAAAGAGGAACAAGTTCCATTTTATGCTGTAGATAGGTATGTATAATAGAGTTTAATCTATTCTAAACATATCTACTAGCCCTGCTGTGACAAGATCCAGATAAGGCATGAGGTACTATATTGGCGTGCTGATACAGTACTAACTCAAAAGTCTGTTCGCACTAGCGTCTGGGCGCACCAACACTACTTTTTTGCCCAATTTCAACACCGTGCAACTCCACCAAATCATATTTAATTTTTAAATTAAGATAAAAGAATTGCTGCTGCGATTGCTAATATTTTGTCTGG